CTGCAGTTCCCTCTTTACACACCGTAATTTCTGTCTCTCTCTTCAGTTGTTCTATATATAGTAAAGGCAAAAATGCCGTAGAATCGCTTTTCAAAACAGAAAACAGATGCTGACGTGGATGTTATGTGTACAGACAAATAGGTAGGAAGGTCTGACAGAGGTATTTGCCCGAGACAGTGACAGCCACCTTTACAGGACCAACCAGCTGTTACCAGTAAGCAGTTTCCAGCCCTTTTCTGTCTGATGCATTTACATTGTTCACAGTCCAAGTAGCAACTTAAAATGCGACTGTTTAGATCAAAATCTCTTTGATTAAAATCCTCTCCTGAGAATATATAGCTGCAGCTGGTGAGTCTCAGTTTCACTGTAAATAATGGGCCTCAGAGCGTTTTCGCCTTGACTTACTGCAGAAGTTTAAACCTGAAAATTTGACTAACTTTTATGCAGGTTACATGCAATGGATGGATCTTTGAAAAAATGAAGATAATATTTTGTGAGCCCCAGTTTCACTGTGAATAGTGAGCTACTCAGAGGCTCCACTATAAGATAGATTTCCCTGCAGTTTTCTTGCAGCTCATTGGTCTTTTACTACAAAACATCATGCACATTTGTTGCTGACAATGAGATTTTGGATCTATAATAGATTGTTTTAGCTATACTTGCATGAAGATAGCTTGTGAGTCTCAGTTTCACCATAAAAAGTAAGCTACACTGAGGTTTCACCCTGACTCACTTCTGTAAAACCCAGTGATGAGACATGTAATTGACTCACATTTAATGGGTCTTTTGTAGCTGTGTTTGCATGGAGTTAATTTTTGAGTCTCAGTTTCACTGTAAACAGTAAGCTACACAAAGGCTACACCCTAACTTACCTCACTGGTTTATTTGTCTATTTATGGGTCTTTTGCGTCATTATGCTAAGCAGATTTATACCTCATGATAAGGTCTGGATCTGGAATAAATTTTAGCTAAACTTGCATGTGGTTAACTTGTGAGTCTCAGTTTTATTGTAAAAGTAAGCTTCATGGTGATCACCCTTAACTTATTGGTTAAAAGCCCAAATGAGGCAGATTTTCCCAATATTTCCTCAGAATTAAGGAGTCTTTTTTTTAACATAGCATCAAGCGGATATGTCACTCATAATGGATTTTCTTGTAACCAATCCTCAAACTCAATCACAACTAACAACTTGCTCTAAATCAGGACAGAAAATATATTCAAGAGAAGTGACTTTTTAAATCTGATCAATCTGTTTTTCATATATCTCTATTCATCTTTGCTTCATCTTGTTTGACACAAATAACTTTTAAACATCCACTTCTCAGGAAATCAAATGTGCAAGCTCCTCTCACATGGAGGGCCCCCTGCATAGAGCCCCAAGACTCTGAAGCAATAAAGCAGACTTTAACAAGCTCAGCATGAATCTAATATCACTTGAGCCGATACCGGGAGCTACTGGAGTCTCCGAGCTGCCGTTTCTGCCCGTTTTTATTTCCCTCGCTTCCCCTTAATAAGCTCATCAACTAAGAGGTGCCTGCATGCTGAAATAGGCGCTGATGAGTAATGGAATAAAGAATAGTGAGTAAAATTTTGATGACATGCGTTTCAAAAAGCCCACAGCCAGCACACAAACACAGACAGACTCTGGAGGAGGCGGCGTCTGTCCACTCCACTCACAAAGTACAGGGATACAACATCCTGGCAAGTACGAGGCACAGTCTGAGGGTGAATATGAAACATCTCTGCAGCTATTCTTAGAAGGGGATGGGGTGATGTTGCTAAATATAACCGGGTTGTTTTGTGCCTGCCTTTCTTTTTTTGCTCAAGCTGAGGCCTTCCTGGGCTGTTATGGTCTTTTTTTAGACTATTACATAATAAACAGATCTCAAGGCATGATGCAATACAGTAACACAGAGTCAGGCCCAAAGGAGGTTTTCCATCGTCCAATATAGAGGAAGAGATCTGCTGTCTTTAAAAAGAAAACATACATATTTTAAAAAGTTTTTTCTGGGAAGTAGTGGGGCTGTTTTTGCAACAATTTCAACCAACGTGTGCTCGACTCTTGACAGGATAAAACAGCAAAGGAGATAATTTTTTTAGCTTGCTGTTAGCTGGTGTGGTTGACAGGTAGGGGAAGATAATGAGTTTTTCTCCTGGGACACATGTCATCTGGAGTATGCAGAGAGAACAACAGCTAAGATGAAAAAGTGCATTTCCCAGCATTGAGATATGAGCCTCGGGACAGATAACATTGATGGCTCGCTCTCAAATTGAGAAGAGCAGGTCAGCAGAGCCTCTCTGGTCCCTGCATTCAAGATGTCGCACAGACGTAGGGCCACATCAAGCCTCAATCAGAGAACATAGCTGTGACAGGGCTGTGGAGCAAAGTGAAGAGCTGTGGCTCTGTTTCAGAGCTTACATAACCCTTATACAGATCAGTGTAAACGCCTGGATGCATATTTTTAACGATGTCATTGTGAATGGGGAAAACTGTCAACACAGTAGCGTAACTAGAAATCCAGTTCTGTGTTTTTTTTACACCCACAGAGGCTTTTTGATGTGGTCCATAAAGTTTTTCCTGTGACCTCTTAATCCAAAGCGTATTCAGCCAGTATTTTGTGAAGACAAAGACAGTTTGCTGTATATGTCTGATGAGAAAGGAGTCACCGATAGAGTTCTGCATGGCCATAAAACATGTACTGGACTCACAGGAACACTACTTTTTTGTTTTATCTTTCCTTAAGATAAAATACTTTGTTTGCAGCTTGAAGGCTTCCTGTGCCTTCAATATAAAAAGTTGTACAATGGCACAAAACTAACTTACTTGTCTCACAAACTAGCAGACCAGCTTTGCTTCTTTCCAGCATTGGCAGCATGATGTTGATTTTAAAAGTCTTGACACAAGTCAACTCGGTTGGCCAACATATTGGGAACTTTTAAACCACCAAGCAGCTTGAATTTTTTGGGCTTTTCTCATTTAAAGAAATTCAACAATAAAAAGTCCTTTTGGTGTAGCAGTATTTTTAATAAAGAGGCTGTGGAGACTAAAGAGGAGTGAATGTTGGACTAATATGTCTGTAAATGTTGACAGCAAATCCTGCAGTGTCTGCCTATGTAGGGGAAGCTTAAATAGTCACTATTTCCTGCTGCTATTTTACAGGTTAAAAGTTTGCCTCAAATAAGGTATAACTATAAGATAATATTCTAGCTAGATAGATAGCATGACCGTTTTCTAGCTTACAGATTGGCTTGCAAACATTACTGGTGGCTAACATTATTACCTGCTAGCTAAGATTACTCTTTTCAGCTAGTACTGACCCACTATGGTATTACTGTTAGCTAATGTTACTACTAGCTTGCTAATTTTACTGTTTGCAAACATAATAGCATGCTAACATTGCTACCAATTAGCTAATATACTGACTAACTGGTATTATTGCTACCTCATCAATAGTAATGTTGGTAAACATTTCTTCTAGCTAGCTAATTTGACATTTGCTAGCTAACGATATGCTTGCTAATAGCTGTAGCCATCATTCAGTCGTATTTGCTTTTTAAGTGTAACATATGAAACCATGAAATAGTTATGTTTGCTGGTAAATGGCTGAATGCTAATGTTAGCTGCTCATTTCATTTTCATTTTCATACTTTATTTCATTCAGTTAATATTTAAAATATTCAATACAAAGAAAATCTTAAACATGAATGAAAAGGAGTAGAAAGAAGAAAAATCTTATAGCATCTGCCCCTCTTTCATAAGATATAAATCAACTAAACACAATAAAAATAAACAAAAGCTGCAGGCTAACATGCCTTTTTACAGTTCATTATTTCTTATTTTTCAAAAACAAACAGAAAAGACCACGTTAATTCACATTTTTCCACAAAACAAACATACCAAGACTCAGATAAACATATTAACATAATTCATGATGATTGTCCATTCAACTGGTGTTTTAGCTCCTGAAAATGTGCTAACAAGACTGGCAGCCAAAGGGTCAGTGTTTTTAATCATGTGTCTTAAAAAGCTAATCATAAAACCAAAATTCTGATTATATCCAGAAATCTAAAATATCATAATTCTGTGTCAATCCAAGGGAATCAGAGTGACTTTCTTTCCTCAAAGGTGTCAGCAGATACTTAGTATTCATCACCGAAGGCAGGGGTAGCATTTGTGGGCAAAATAGATGAGAAAGTTCAGCAGCGTGTCATGTTGCATTTTAATTCAGAGGTCTGACTCGACTCTTTCACCAGCAGAGAAATTGTCACTCTCTCAGTCACCCTCCTCTCATTATTATGTCTTTTTCACAGGCACTGTTGAAAGATATGCTGCTATAAACCAATCATGAGCTGCTCCATACAATTAAATTACAGCACTCTGCTACAAAAGGCTGATACCAAAGAGTGTAACCCAATCAGAGGAGAGATTTGACCTCACAAAAGGTACTCACAGGTGAATGATTTCTTCTTCGCCTTTGTCATCTGACCGCCAGCCTGGACACAACGACAAATCACATGGTGCTCAGGTGACCAAAACAGGTTTATTATGTTTTTAAAAAATGCATCTACAGGTGCTGTTTTTTTCCCTCTCTGCTGCTTTTTTTGGATCTCCAAAAATAGACACAAAAAAGACTGAATGTCTTTAGCTAAATGCTCTGTGATATCTAAGTTTATTCTTTGTACAAAATGAGATGAACAAGTGAGCAATAAATGATTAATGGTCAATTTACTGGTGGCCCTCTGAAATATTGAGAGAGCGAGCTCAGCCATGAAATGCAATGTAAATGGATCTATTTATAGCGTAGCAGAGGAAGTCATGTGGAACAGGCTGGTCCGGGTTGCCTTGTTCTTATAGCTTTTAGAGGCAAACGACAGGGGAGAAAAGGGGGCAAAACACACACAACACCCACATTTGCATGTAAAGACACTTTTCACGGGGACGTTAAACTTTCAGACTCACAGCAGGAATAGCAATAAATAATTTCCGCATTGAGAAAGACGGAAAGCCCCAGCTCGACTCCCATGTGCTCTGCAGCCTCCCACTCTGATTCAAGCCTCAACACCACCCCCCTCCCCTCTCGCTTTGTCTCGTGGGATTGTTTGGGAGTGAAAAGGAAAGGAAGTGACATGGTAAAACCGCTTTTTATTAATTCTGAGAGGAGGGAGCGTTTGGCGGGGTGTCACAGCAGCTGATGGGAGCAGAGAGCGTGTATCAAACATTGGATATCGGGATGAATAACTTAACACAAAACCCCCAAATCCTCTGCTAACAGGAATCAAATGTGATCCTGTGACACCAGTGGGCAAAGGCGGGATGCAGACAGGGCCTTATTTCTGCAATTTTATTACATTATTCATCACAAGCCGTTGATCTAATGGAAACATATTACAAGTACACTTTGTATGTGAATATGTGGATGTTCAACTGCAGTTTATAGAATGTGTCTGATCATTTGTGACTGGCTTTAAATTTGTCTAATTTGGCTCAAGGTACAAACTTTAAAGCTTTTTTTTTTTTAGTATTATGATTTTAATGTAAGAGCTGCAGCTTAAAAAAATAATTATTACTGTTACATCCTCTCTAAGAGGGCATTGTGCATTTTGAAAACACCCTATTTGACTCAATTAAAGTCCAAAAGCAAAAAAACCCCACTCTGTTTCAATGATATAGAAGGTTAATAATCTCACGTGAAGATGTTAGTGCACTGCAAACGTTAAGTATTTGTGCTTGAAAAATGACTCTTACAAATTAACCAATCAATGTCACTCTTGTTATAAAATTTGTAGTTCTGCAGGAACTTTCAAAGAGTCTAAGGGTTTCCTACTGTGGAGACCAAGAGCATGATTGGTCAAGAAATCACAGCGTTCATTAGGCAGAGTTTCATTAAAGTCTATTTCCCCATTATTAAAACCACAAAAGCCGGTATTTAAAAGGAGGTTAAATGTACCTCCAGTCACACTTGAGTTAATTAAGGTTCCTTATCTTTACAGGTACTAAGAGCAGGGTGTGAATGCAGGACTGTAAATTGGACTGGAGGGACCTTTAAGTCCCTGAAAAATGCTCCTCTGGATACTCATAGTTGAAACGCCACTTTGGTAAGTTGCTCCCCGCTCTCTCGTACTCAACAGCTATAATAGAGACACTCATGGAGACAAAAAAGCCTTACTGTGTGATCAATTATTTAACATTCAGGGTAATTCCAGTCTGCCTAATCTGATGTCACTCAGCAGAGCCATAATTAGGGTTTCTTATGGCTGTATGATGGGCCATGACTGATGTTCGGTGGGACTAAACTGCCATCTACTGGCTGCTGGGTGAATCACAGACGGACGTATTACACACAGAGGGAGGACATGTTTGTGAGTTGAAATACTGTCTAAAACTGTCCTCAGGTTACAAAAGTTTTAACTGCAGTAAATTCATGAAGTTTTCAGCCTCATTTTAAAGTTATATTTTTAGCTCACTATAAAAGAGCTTTGTGAATTAAAGTTAAAATTGTAATGAGTTAGTTTATGCAGGAGTTGGGGAGATTTCTCATTTACACACACTGTTTTCCATCAAAGCATCAAATTTGAACTCCCAGATATGGATGTAAGTGATGGTTATTGTATGAAAAGAGGTCAGAAGAGGTATTTCTTGGCTCAAGGTGAAAGAAAACAAATGTTTTTAATGTTTAAATTCATTGTTTAAATGGAAACCGAACTGTTGGGCTGTTTATAGAGATATTTTAACCCCTTAACTCCTGAATTGCCTCTTTAGATTAAGCATCTCATTTATGTGGGTGAGACTGCAGTCTGTTTAGTTTGATCAGTGATTTGTTTTTTATATTTCTACATTTTCTACATCCATATTTGTGTGTCTTTGAGTGTCTGGCCTCTTGGATGAGTTGTGGATTTCACTGAGCATATGGCGGAGCCTGAAAATCTTGAATCATGAATTTTATTGTAGGGGGTTAACTACAGTGTCAGGGGAAACTACCTCTATCTGCAGCTGAGCGTCAAACAGATAAACACAAAGCTTGTTCAGCAAATCTGTTGCCCAAAATAACTTTTTTTTCCAGACAGGAGAGCGGTGTGCATAAGAACAGTGAGGTAACCCTCTGTGTGGGAACAATCCACCTGTCACCAGGTGATATGAAGAGACTAGAAAAACTGAAGCTGGACTCACTCTGAGCTCCCATACCAGTCCGGACAAACAGACGAGATGAGAGGCCTCTGGTTATTGTTGGTGCTCGTGGCTGCGGCCAAAGCTGATGTGAGAGTCTTCAGTGGGTGAGTTAGTGTGTGCACAGAATAAGAACCAGGTAGAAAAGGCAATTAATTTTTGTTATTCTAATTTAAAAAAATTTAAAAATCATCACATCTCTAATTTTGGTATGGACTGTGACATTTCAGGCTGATCAGGGTTTCTGTTACTCCTTTTTACTTCTGTCTATTTTTTTTATTTAACCAGAAAAGCAGAAGTGACAAATTCAAGAGTGATAACAGCAGCAGTAAAAGTAATGGAAATACAAATCATAATAGAAGAACAATACATTCTGAATCATATAGCACAAAGTCGTCTGATGAAGCATCCCCGACCTGAAGCATGTCTCTTTAAAGCTGTCAGACTACCTTTAAAAAGAGTAAGAGAGACAAGATCCCTCAGACCCAAGAGCTCCAAGCCAGGAGCAGTATATCAGATAAGTGCCTGAGATTCGGTCTGCAGGTGGATACTGCAGGCTAGGCACTGATAGATTAGGGCCTTAAGATCTGTAATAAATCTTAAAGCTTCACAGTGAATGATACTCAGAGAGTGCAGGCACTAAGGGGATATAAAACATCGCCACAGTTAGGGATATAAAGGTATGAGCAAAAGAAATATATGATTTATTACTTTAAGAGAAAGTCACAAAGTTGTGAAATAAAATGATAGAAGGCAGGTTTCATCATCACGAAATTTGATTTAGTTTATGTAAGACAAAAGTTATATATATTATCTTATATGGTATCAAAAGTGTTTACAAGTGACCTGATATTGGGTTTAAACTGAGCAGTAAATCACTGTGTCATCAGCATATGAACAAATATGGACCTCTAAATCAGAGCTGTACCTTCAAAACAAACTGTACATAAAAATCATTATTTTGTTATTTTGAAGTTATATCAGAAACACTTTGATAAACATTTGAGGACTCACAATTTTCCCCAAAACTTAAACAAAATTAAAATAAAGGTTAAACTTGTACTGATGCTAACAATCCTTTATAAGTTTCAGAAGATAAAAGAGAAGTTTGAAAGTATGAGTATTCGATTAATTCGTACTCTGAAGGGACACAAACTCTCACCTTGGTTTTGGACGCACAGAAGGTCTTTGAATGTCCCCCCCCCCTTTTTTTTCTAAGTGTCTAATCATTTTGGAGAGTAAGAGCTGCTACAAGCTAGCTCAATAGCTGCTGCTGCATCCTTTTTCACTCTGCTGTGTTTAATGACGTGTGGGAACCAGTGGACCACTGCTATGAACTCTCAGTATTAGCATACACTTATTTTAAGCACCACATAAATGTTTCGCCTCATCATAAAGACAGTTACCGTCAGTACCGGGAGTAGATATGGAGATTTATTGATATGCTTAATATCAGGGCAAATACTGCAGAATGTCCAGCTATGTAAAATGTTACATACATATAAAATATCTGTGGCGTATCATCATTCTTTGTCTCTGAAGCATAAAAATACAGAGCTGACATCAGGAAGACAAACTGCAACACAAGTGATATTAAGTTAATCTACTCTGGACATGTCTCAAATGTGATGTTTTACAAATAATATCCTTTTCAGCGTCCTCATATACAGGCATTATACTTGAAAAATGTAGGCAAAAACATGACCAGATCCTACTGTGCAGTTCGTGGCGTTGTATGACACATTTTCTCACAAAACAAAGTTTGTTTAGTGAAGTTAGGATGCTTTTATATATCCCAGAAAGGTCAATTATTAACAGATTATCAAGTCTAAATTCACAACTCTGAAACTCATAAGGCAGCGGTATCTTAAACACTACACATTACATAAAAGCACCAAGTAGTATTGGGCAATTTACAGCAATTAAACTGTAATTTTGAAAAACTTCTGTGGTGTTCTGGCAAAAGGACTGAAATAAAAGTTTTCTTCAAATGGAGAAAACTTTTATTCTGAATTTCCACTCTTCCAGCTCTCATTAGTCACCACTCAGTCTGCTGTTTAGTTTAGGGGAAGAAAACTCAGTCAAAGTTATTAAATTATTGTCACTAGAGACCTAAATAGACTCCAAAAATGCCTCAAACATTCAGCATACCAATAATATTTTTCCATGCTGAAAAAGCACATTCGTATTCGGGGAGCAGATCATGAAGGGACTTTCTGTTTGGAGAAAGATTAAATCATAATTACAGTCATATTAAAGAGAGCAGAGTGGGAGTCAGGTCTGGTACTTGCTGTTCTGTAGGAATAATTACTCGCTATATTTCTTAGCAACAGATTTATTCTCTACAGATGAACTCAGTGTGGGTTTCCAGAGTGATAACATCAGCTTAAAAACTCTAAATGTAAATAATTAGATTCATAAACTGAAATGTTTTTTTCCAGAGATCAAGTCATCAGGGTCAATGCTGAGACTGAAGACCAGCTCCAGCTCCTGCAGGCTCTGGAGGCTCGAGAGGAGTGGGAGGTACACACACACACACACGCACACATACACACTTGAATACAAACACAAGCACACAGCAGAACAAACACCTACACAACAAGTTTTCTCAGCTGCTTGTGCTAAACAGTTTCTCACAAACTCCCAAAGGTACAAAAAGGCGAGTGTGTGTGTGTGTGTGTGTGTGTGTGTGTGTGTGTGTGTGTGTGTGTGTGTGTGTGTGTGTGTGTATGTGTGTGTGTGTGAGGGGGCTGAAGGTTAACAGAGTCATCAGCTCTTGTCAGGAAGTCAGAAACCCTCAGAGTATCGGCGGCTGTTTAGTTTCTACCCATTAAGACACAAATATGAAGCATAGATCAAACTTTGCCTTCTGTTTGAGTCTAATTATTTCGTCCTCTCTGCTTCTTTAAGCGGGAGTTAATACCAGTGTTGGAGCAAAAAAGTGCAACCAATGAATGAATGTCAGCGACAGAACCTCATTTAGATGTGACGCAATTACGTCTGGTTGGTTAGTTGTTTTAGAGTCATACTGAAACATTGTGCTGTTGATTTGAAGATGAAAACTTAAACTCCTTTTTTTGCCATTTTCACAGCTTTTGTATTGTAAAATGATAGCTCAGATAACCATCATTAAAACCATCATTAAAACTACAAATGGAAAGTTAATGCTGGAGCCTAAAAGAAGTTTTAACATTTACAGATTTCATTTCATCCAGACACCGCGTGTTTTCTTATGAATATTATAAAGAGGAGGGGTGTTTGAGAGTGTCATGGCAAGGATTCACAGTCAAATTAGAATAATGTTACCTGCTGTTTCCACGAGTAAGGAGGACAAACAGGTTTGAATAGTTGAATAGAATAAGGCAACTTTTAAAATGCATTAAAATATGTGAGATTGACCCAAATATATTCATTAACCGCAGCATGGTACTTCTTATTTTACAGCACCACCCTCTCTATGTCGTATATCTTCTTGTTTTCCAGTCCTGCTCATGATTTCTCTTCACCTGTTTGGTTTAAGGTGGACTTCTGGCTGGACCCAGTCTCCACTGATCTGCCCATCGACATCCGTGTGCCCTACGACAGTCAGACCGCTGTGATGGAGTACCTCAACGCCAACAGCATCCGCTACTCTGTCCTTATCAGCGACCTCCAGGTACGCAATCTTAAACTCAAAATCACGTATCAGCTGATTGTTTGAGCACATGTGCGCTGAATTTTAGCTGTCCTCTGTGACACATTCAGGAGCTTCTGGATGAGGAGAAAGTTGAGATGCAGAAGAACCAGATGAAGGAACGTATGACCAAGAGCTTCAACTTTGGAGCCTATCATCGTCTGGAGACGGTACCATATTTATACAAACTTAGATGTTTCTCGTGACACTCTAGATTAACAGTAAATTCAGGCAAACCTTTGGCTGTGGTTCTCTAGAGCAGGATGTTGGAAATCTATCAAATCTGAACACATAGAGGGAACTTTGTGATGGAAATAATTAGATGTATACATTTTTCATATGTAAAGCTGACGCAGAGTTTACTTTTATATGATCTAGCCATTTGTCTGAATTATAATCCCTGACTCACAGATCTACAGCTGGATGGACACTCTGGTGGCTCAGTACCCAAACCTGATCTCCAAGCAGGAAATTGGTAAATCCTATGAGAACAGACCCATGTATGTGCTCAAGGTAAGACTTACTGCATGTGTATATCTGTTTGTATGTGCACACACTGTACAAGCATGCAATTTTGATTACAGCTCTGTCATCACCGTATTTAGTTCAGCACTGGAGGAAACAAGCGTCCTGCAATCTGGATCGACACTGGAATCCACTCCAGAGAGTGGGTGTCTCAGGCCACCGGAGTGTGGACTGCCAACAAGGTACAACATGTCAGCCAGATCAGTCAGTGATGTGATAAAGTGATTTTGCAATAGGGTAGACGTTGCAAGATTAGAGATCTTATTCATTCATTCAAACAAATACATGGACATTTGATGCAAGCACCGTAGTGATTTTAGAGGCACTCAGCTGCAGCTCTGTAGTCTCATCATGTATTTGCAAAAAGGTGCTGAGCAAGTCCGTTTAAATACTAGCTTTCCTAAAATCTTATATCTACTTATATTGCTGCAAAAATAATAATGGATATGAATGAAATCTATGGCTGGTTATGTCCAGGGCATAGTATTTAAAACCAGAGGCATAATCAAGCAGTTCCTCATCATCTGTTAACAGCTCAGATCAGCCTCTGTTAACTAAATACCTCAACAAGGCTTTTTAAATTCACACGAGAGTCTAAAATTGTCCCCAGATACTTTACCTTTGTCATGACTGTCACCTTCAATTCTGACATTCAGCGATTCTGCTGCAAGAAACTGTTTAATTAAAAGAAACAGATTGACGCAGTTTTTAGTGTTGAGTGCCAAACAAGAGGCATCAAGATTTTAATTCACACATCTTCAGCAGCACCTCAGATTTGACCTGATTTCACATGGACATCTGTGCCATTTTAGTTCAGCCTGATGTTTTAACCAAACTTATTAAACATAAAACAACAAAAAATGCTAAGTTCTGTCATTTTTCACACAAAAATGGAAATCTGTCTGTGGTCGCAGTAGAAAATAAGTTTAATCCGCTCTCTGTGTCATAGTTCATATCTTTGCGTTTCAGATGCCACTTTTGACCTTTTGTAAAAACTTTTATCTGACATTTTACAGTGAACCAAATCACCAGCGTAAAAAGATAATGAAATTAACCTTTAGCTGCAGCTTTAATTAAATCCTCATTTATAATCAGAGGACTTTTTTCCATAAAAACGTGCATAATATCAGATAATACTTATTTTTTTTGTTATTATATAGATTTAAAACAGACTTACATTAATAGCATTGAAGCCCACTGAGCCTCAAATTTCCTCTTTTCTGGTAAACAGTCTCTCGTCTTCTACTGTCATGGATGTTTAAAACTGAAAAAAGATTACTTCATGCTGCAGATAACATGAAACATTCTTATTTTATAGCTTAATATATTTTTGTCATGAAACCAGTGCTCTCTACTGTCCTCAGATTGCCACTGATTATGGCACCGACTCCTCCCTCACCTCCCTCCTGAACAACATGGACATCTACATGCTGCTGCTGGCCAACCCTGATGGCTATGCCTTCACCCACACCAACGTGCGTCACTGTCAAACATGTTGAACCCGTGGTCGTATTTGATGTTTTTATTTATCCTATGAGATGTGACACTTAGAATACATGCGAACATCATATGTTGGTTTCGTGCACTTTGCCTTAAACAATAAGCTCAACTGACTGAAACTGTGTGATGTGTTCAGGATCGTATGTGGCGTAAGACCCGCTCCATGAATCCAGGCTACTCCTGCCGTGGAGTCGATCCCAACAGGAACTGGGATGCAGGCTTTGGTGGTAATGTATTGGGAAATCCTCTATCCTTCTTCTTTATGAACCCTGGGGTGTCTTTTGCATGTACTGTACTGTTAATGTCTCCTTCCAGGCCCCGGAGCCAGCAGGTACCCCTGCTCCGACTCTTACCACGGCCCCTCAGCCCACTCTGAGATCGAGGTGAAGAACGTGGTGAATCTGATCAAGAGCCATGGCAACTTCAAGTCCTTCATCTCCGTCCACGCCTACTCCCAGCTGCTCATGTACCCCTATGGATACTCCTGCAGGAATGTGCCCCATCAGCCCGAGCTGGTAAGGGATGGGGATGGGGGGTGTCTTAAATGAAGAGGAAATACACAGCAAGCGCTTTCTCTATTCCTCTTCACTCCTGCCTGCTGTACCCCTGCATCTGTCTTTTTTGATTAGTGTACCTGAACCCATTATTGTGCCCCTTTTCTTCTTTGGTTACAACAGGACGCTGTTGGCACAGCAGCAGTGCAGAAACTCACCTCCCTTTATGGTACCAGATACAAGGTTGGAAGCATCTGCAACATCATCTGTGAGTCATTTTTCACCTCAGCTCCCTTGACAGCTCTTAAGGATTAAATCTGTTAAAGCCTTAAAAAAAATGGATGAATGTGAAGTTATGAGCATAAACTAAAAAAAAGAACAAACTCTGAATGTTTGTTTGAAAATCAAATGAAAAAGAAATATAAAATATTATCTTGTAAAAATGTAGCTACAGCAACTCCTCTAGATGCTATATCAAAAAAATGTGTGCTTAGATATCTTGTTTTGTGTATATTTGTAAGAAAATAAGCAAAACATATGAAGAGACGGATGTGCCAAAGACTTGTTAAGTTAATGTAGAAACTACAAACATGGAGTTATTTGTCCACCAGAGGTCACTGATAAGTCTTTTGTAATAAAAATTATATTAGTTATATCAAAACCTTGTTGGTATTATGAAAGACTGTGCTCCTGATGACAAAAAACCCTGGGTTGATTAGATTTATTCATGTCCTCTCCTCTGCTTCTCTCTCAGATCAAGCCAGCGGCGGCAGCATTGACTGGTCCTACAACCTGGGAATCAAGTACTCCTTTGCCTTTGAGCTGAGAGACACTGGTCGCTATGGTTTCGTCCTGCCAGCCAATCAGATCATCCCCACCGCTTCTGAGACCTGGCTTGCCCTGAAACACATCATGGAGTACGTCGCTGACCATCCTTATTAAGATTATGAAAGGAAAAACTTCATACTTCAGTCAGCTGAGACAGACTACACTGATGTATGTCAGCTTACCTACTGATAATAACCAATAAAGTCAACCTTGTCTGCATTTCAGGACTAATTTTTGTCTTGTTGAGTCCAGTTCTTTAAAACTTGTTCACATAGAAGACAAAATCTGCAAAGAGATGCCATCACTTTGTCCTCTGTGGGGCACGAAACCGACACTAACTGGAGCTTTAATTAATCTAAAGCAGTTTCAATTGGAGCTAAAGGAACTATTTTTGACAAATTAAATGCAGAGGCCCCCACTTTGAAATAAATATATTTAATACATACAATTTATTTAATCCAATACTTCTTATTCTGATTTTTCATAACATGAGCAGAATGAGCCTAATTCAGAATTGATTGCCTGCATTTGTTGCTTGTATTTTTCTTATACAAATACAATCAATTTTGACTTGAAAAACTTTTTAGTAACTAGGATTGGAATAAAAAACAGGTATTGGTGAGTTTTTAAAACACAAAATAAGTTATTTATTAAAACACATACAATTTTGCTTGATATTTGTCATTAATGTCTAATGTCCAAGGAATTGTATACCTGAAATGTTAAGACTTACTGTAAGTATGTTATTATGTATAACTCCAATAATTATAATAATAATTAATAAATAAAAGCCAACTCTGTCAGTCCCTACAAATTCAGAAATGTCATTAATGATAGTAACGGTCAAGTGTCTGTTTTTGGTATCATATTACATTTACATCTTTCCCGCCTTTTAACGCCCTCCATCTCACGAGTGTACAATAATTTTCTGTCGCTGAAAATTTACCATCGACTTTGCCGTCGAGTAAAAATATTAAAATGCGGTATCTCAAAGAAATTCATGTCGAGAATTTTAAGTCATGGCGGGGGAAACAAGTTATCGGTCCTTTTCTGCGGTTTAACTGCATAATCGGCACCAACGGCTCCGGTAAGTGAACATTTAACGGTCACTAGCTCTGGCTCCGGTAATAGCCAACTGTAGCTAGCAATGCTATATGCTCAGTTAATTACACAAGGCTAGCTTAAGCTTTATCCAACCGAGATTTATGATAACCTTAAAACAAGCGTAAACCTCTTGTGTAAATTCAATTCCTTTATTAAAATTAAGATATATACGTATGTATGATAAAACTTAAGGCAAGTCCAACGTGATGGACGCCCTGAGCTTTGCTATGGGGGAGCGGGCTGCCGCTCTCCGGGTGAGCCACCTCAGAGAACTGATCCATGGAGCTCAGATCGGGCAGCCTGTGGCCGACACCGCCAGCGTCGACATGCTGTACTGCGACGATGAGGACCAGGAGATCGTCTTCAGCAGAAGTGTACACGGTGAGTGAAAAGAGTGAAGCTTTAAGAGGCTGTCCTGATTAATATTTGTCATTATAGGTTCACATTTGATTAAGCAAATAGTGATCAGATATGACTTTTTATGTTTTGCCCTGACTAGATTCATTTATTAAGGCTAAGCTGCAACACAGTGCTGTTCAGTGTTCTGATGCAGTAATAATGACACAGTTGGGAGTCAATAACGCAAAGTACCAAACTTTATAAAGATTAGTTACTGATAAAAATATGTGTATTTATATTTATATTTTCCAAGTTGCAGATTATATCCAAACAGATGCCTATAAAACTGATGTTCACTGTTTTTTAGGTGACTCCTCCGAGTGTCTGATTAATGGTAGACATGTCAGTCTGGCAAAGTACATTGAGGAGCTGCAGAAAATTGGCATTTTTACCAAAGCCCGAAACTGTCTGGTGTTCCAGGTAAACACTCCTATAAATGGTTTTTGTTATGCACTTACATATTTACAAAATGCAAAGAAAACTGACATGAAAGTACCATAAAATTCATTGTATAAGACTTACTTTTAATACCTGTAGCCGTGTTGTACCGCATCAATGATTATGTCAAAACACACTGCACATTGCTGGACATAAAAACACACAAATATGTCAGAGAAAGAAATCGGCCCAGCACATATATAACACTGTAAGTAAATGATTTTTCTGTGCATGGTTTCAATTTCAGAACAAGTCTGTAACTCATTTTGCTTCTTTTCAGGGAGCAGTGGAGTCCATAGCTCTGATGGACCCGAAAGAGAGGACCAAAATGTTTGAGTCCATCAGTCAGTCGAAAGAATTTGCTGCAGAGTATGATCAGAAGAAAGAGGCTCTGCTGAAAGCTAAAGAGGACACGCAGTTTCACTTCAACAAGAAGAAATCTGCTACCATTGAGAGGAAACAGGTGTCCCGGGAGAAAATGGAGGTAGATTCACAGAAAAAGAGAAATCTGATATCCCTGCCACTCTGAATGAACACTTTAAGCATCATATCTCTTTCTTGACTGAGCTGCCTCTTGGAAATTTTGCTTAAAAACCTGGAAATGAATTAAAACAATGAATCCCAAATGCCAAGCCTGTGCAGGTGTATAAAGTAGCAGTAATGGCTAGTTTATGTTTGCGTACTCTCCCCCTCTTCTTTCCCAGGCTCAGAAGTACCAGACTCTTATAGATGATCTCTACCAAAACCGCCTGCAGCTGGGTCTAGCTGAGCTGTACCATAATGAGATAGGCATCAGAGCCCAGAACGATGCCCTTAGGGAGAGACAGCAGGCTGCAGATGTCCAAAACAATAAACTGGCGAAGGCGGATAACACAGTCAAAACATTCAAAAAGGAACATGGACGCCTCAACAGAGAGCAGCAGCACATGGAGAAGGAGATCCTGTGAGTGTAGATTGACTTTTTTGGCACAGTATATTTATTTTTTGTCCCACAGTATATTTGTTTTAAAAGTCTCAAATGTCCCTCAACTTGAATAAACCTTCTCTCCCTCTGTCACTCAGTGCCCAGGAACAACTCCAGTCCCAGCGTCGCTCCCAGTACATAAAAGCCAAAGTGAACACCTCCCATCACTCGAAGAAAGCAGAGGAAGTCGATAAAGCCCTGAGGAAGAGTCAGGCGCTGATGGCAGCTAAAGAGCAGGAGCTGGCAGAAGGACGGCAGGAGATCGCTGAACTGGAGATGACCTGGAGGAGCTACGAGAAGCAGGCGCTGGTGAGGGGAGCCTCCCGGGGGCGAGACATCGATCTGGATGAGGATCAGGTGAGTATGTGCCGCCTACTCTCCCATCCAGTCAGAGAGGCAGCAGAGAGGTTGGAAGCTAAAGCTATATGTAATTTATTTTCCAATGCAAAATCATACCACCCCACTGGTACTTCAAATTATGAAATAAAAAAGTAGGTTATTGGCTTAACATCCTGAATGTGTTTTTCTACTACAGCTGGAGCGATACAAAGAGCTGAAGGAGCTGGCCAGAAAGCAGGGGGCTGTCCTCAGCCAGCAGGCGGAAAAGCTGCACTGGGAGGTCAGAGCGGACTACGAAAAAGTAGCCTTTGACCAACGCAGGAAGAAGGAAGTGGAGGTACTCAACTATAAACCTTACACTAAGATTTATCTGTATCTGTGAGCGATTTATGACTGGACTAGCAAAATGTTGTCTTTGGCCCCTTGGTGTGCCGCAAAAACAAGTAACTGACTTAACTTGTCATCAAGTTTTAGGTGGACATGACAAACTTGGAGGCACATAATTGCTTATAATACACATCATCATCAAAATAATGTAAAGCTTTGATTATTCCCACTCTTAGTCGTGTTTTGGTCTGAAACAGAAATAGGCTTTTTGGGAAACATTGTGCTCTTAATTGTCAGTTTTTTACAGAGCAGTTTTTTTTTTAACAAACTTTATCCAAAAAGTACTCCACAAAGGAATGGAGAGCTAACCATACAGTAAAACTACCGTAAAATTACAAAAGCAACACAAAAAAGATGAAGATTTGTGGAGTCTGGCATCGCGCACTGACGTTTTAAAATACTGCATAAGATTTTTATTTAATGGCTGCTTTACTGAGACTCAGACTTCAACATCCTCTGTTACAGGCTGCCATCAAAAGCAACCAGGCGCAGCTGGAGGATTTAACACGAAGAGCAGAGAAGTTAGAGGAATACAACAAGACCTGCAAGTATGTGGCATACCTGTACAATGTAATACCAGCTGATGAAAGCATATCTGTTCCCAACAGACTTTTGTTTGAATGTAAGGTTGTTTATCAGTAGCAGTTGATGTGCAACCCCTGACAGAAACAGCACATTGAAAAGAGGGACTTACTTCATGTTTCAGGACTTCCCTTGAAGAGTATCGTCAGAGGGAGAAGAGCCTGAGTGCGGAGCTGCAGCACGGCCACCAGCGCCAAGCAGAGGTGAACCAGGAGCTGAGTCAGGTCCTGGAGGAACTGGGAAATGCCCGTCTGGACAGCCAGGAGAGCAGACGCCAGCTGCAACGCAAAGAGCTGGTAGAGAGGCTCCACAGACTCTACCCTGAAACAGTGGTAAGAGTCAGACTGATGGCTGACAGTGAATTTAGCTGGGATGACTTCAAGAAGTCACTCAGGTTCTGCTAAAATAAACCATTACAGTTAAACAGACTGGTACTTGTTGGATCTTTTGTGCTGCTGAAATTCTTGGCTTCATTTCCTCCCATTTTTCTCTGTCAATATTTCCCTTTTCTTCCATGGCAGTATGGCCGTCTGTCTGACCTGTGCAGCCCCATCCATAAGAAATACCAGCTGGCTGTCACCAAAGTGTTTGGCCGTTACATGAACGCCATCGTCGTGGCCTCTGAGAACGCAGCCCGTGAATGTATCGCATTCCTCAAGGCAGAGCGGGTTGAACCTGAAACCTTCCTACCCATCGACTACTTGGAGGTAAGTTGAATCTCCTCATAGTTGAACCAAAAAGACAGTTGGTGTATCTCTGTAAGTTGGACAGTTTATTTGCTTTTGTTCACTTCTTGCTTAGGTGAGTCCTCTGAATGAGCGACTGAGGGAGGTGCCTGGCGCCAAGTTGGTGGTGGATGTCGTCAAGGTGAACACTTCCCCAGCTGCTGCCCAGCTGAGGAGGGTGGTGCAGTTTGTCTGCGGCAACGCTCTGGTGTGTGAGACCATCAAAGAAGCAAGGAGCGTGGCCTTTGACAGGCAGGGGCGCCTGAAGGTAAACCTTGTCCTCATCCAAAGAGAAAAACAAAACATCATGTATTTCCAGATTGATATTGAGGAGGTGTGCACCCTGTTCTCTGAGGCAATCATATGGTTCATAGAATTGACTTCATCAGGGGATGCTTTTGAAATCGTACACCAACAAATTGGTGTTATGTTTTTTTTCCATTCTTGTAAAGATTATATCTCAGCAACATCTTGAGGGAATATCATCCAAAACTGTTTTCATGTTCTCTGTAGACTGTCTCTTTGGATGGGACTCTGTTTACAAAGTCTGGTATCATCTCCGGAGGCTCCAGTGACCTGAGATCCAAAGCTCGGTGCTGGGAGGAGAAGGAGATGAAGCAGCTGATGGAACAGAAACACCAGCTGACGGCAGAGTTACGGGTGAGCAAACACAAGAAAACTGCAAAACCAAACTGTACTGCACCGTACACTGAAGAAACACAGGTGTATGTGCAATGCATGAGTATTTTACTGCCCCAAGTGGAGTGGAGGGTTTCCCTGACTAGGCCGTTTCCCCCGCTACCTGACTCTGGTTAAGCTGTAGAAGATAGATGGATGAATAGATGGAACTTTCACTCTGTGATTTGCCCCCTGTGATAGGATTTGATGAAGCTGAAGCGGAAGGAGTCAGACCTGAAACAGAACACAGCTCAGGCTCAGGGTGTTCAGACACGTCTCAAATACTCCACATCTGAGTTGGAAAACCTGCGGAAGAAAAACATCCTTCGCTGTCAGGCGGTGAGGGCCACTGACTCTTACTTTGACAGATTCATATCATCTCTGTTGTTTAGCATGGATGTATAGTTTGTCTTTTCAATCTCAAAGCTTGTATATATGCCAGAGAATAATCAACAGAAGCTTGACGGTCCTCACTCTCTTCTTTTTTATCAGGAGATTTCTCGTATGGAGAGTGAACTGGCAAACCTGGACTCTCAGATCCTGATGCAGCAGGAGATGGTGGAGGCAAAAGATGACGAGATGAAGAAGATTAGAAACCAGATTAACCAGGTAAAAACCTATTACAGCATGAAAAACACCATGTAAGGGAGACTGTCCATGACACATACTGATGCATCGTCATTGAATTGGAGTGTTGAATACTGTTCAAATAAAAAAGAAATCCAAAATCACATCACTGTGGACTCATTTTTAACCTTCTGTTATTTACATTTAGAGGCAAACGTCACTCAGTTTAGAGAGTAGTGTCATATTTGGTAATTAAGTGAACTGCTCTAGATGTGGCAGCTGGTAGAAAATTCATCCTTAAATCTGCTTGGCTATGGTGTAATTTATAGCGTTAAAAACATGATGGATGCTCTGTGTTTTTAGGTGGAAGATTTAGTGTTTTCTGACTTCTGCGCTGAGATCGGTGTGGACAACATCAGGGAGTACGAGCAGGAGTATCTGAAACAGCAGGCAGAGCTGGACAAGAAGCGGTATGACAACCAAACACTTGCATCTCCAGTCATCTACCCTGACAGCTTCACTTAAGTGATTAAATCTTCAGTGAAATTATGAATTGTTGTAAATGTTCTCTTCAAACAGACGGGAAAATCACTTCTGTAAATCACAATTTAAAACGTTTGGGGAAAAGAAGAAATGATTTTTAATATTTTGAAACCATTCTGTTACTTGACGTAAATACGTGAGTTAACTAATGCAACGAAGACAGTGGAGGAACTTCATTTTTTGTGATCAGAAATGTTTGAATTTGTCTCCTTTCAGTCTGGAGTTTGAGAGTCAGCGCACTCGCCTGAACGGCCAGCTGGAATACACTCAAGACCAAGTGAGGCAGCAGAAGAAGAAGATCCTCAAACTGACAGAAACTATTGAACAGGCGCGGAGAAGCTTGGCTGAACAGAGAGAGGTCATTGCAGACTTTCGATCTGTGCAAAATGACACTGAACCACAGACTGTTTACAAGGAGAAGATTAATCTGAAGACTGATCATTCTCAGTGATCGCAAACCTCATAAGCTTGATGTCTTCACTTCTCTTAAAGGATGAGGAGAGGCTGCTGGTGGTGGTAGAGGAGGGTCAGAACAAACTGCTGGATCTTAAGAACCGGCTGCTGTCGAAGAAGAGTCAGGTGGCCGCTGCCAAAGCTGAGCTGGACAAGGAAACCCAGACTCTCCAAGACATGAACAAGTAATCACACCAAAATCTTGCTTTTCTTTTTTGTTGGGTTTGTCTCAAAGTGGTCGATTCAAATTGAAGTTGTGAGACTTTCTAATAGTTGGTAAGAGGTGACAAAGTTTTCAGACTTTAAATCATGCTGCAGTACTGTTTGAATCTTTTATTATCCAGGTTTGAGACAGCTTTTGAGGTCTTTACAAAGATTACAGCAAACAAACAACTTATTCAGAACCCATGTCTGTTTTGTGATGAATTACTACTTAAAACCGAACACCAGTGTGGGTTTTTTTCTTACTTTACATCAAAACACTCTGATCCTTCAGAAATTCCAGGCTACCTTTGACTAACATGATACACCTTGAAATCAATGCAACTAAGAAGTCGTTCCAGCTCATTTATTTCTGCCTGTTTGTGTCTCAGAGAGTCTGTGAAGCTCCAGCGGGAGGTGATGACTGCAGAGTCCGCCTTGGAGCAGAAACGTCTGGCCAGACACAACTTACTGCTGACCTGCAAGATCCAGAGTCTGCCCGTCACAATGCTGTCTGGGAGCCTGGACGAAATCAGCGAGGTGCAGGTGAGAAACAGGGGAGCACAGAGGGGTTTTAATTTTAGAGACTGAAACTCTTCGAAGGAGGACATAAGCCCTGAGCAAGTTTTGAAAAGAACAGGATGATAATTTGAGCTCATGTTTTCTGCAGGTAAAGGAGGAGTACACCATGGTAGCTACATGCTAACATTAGCACTTGATTGATTATGACAGGAAAGCCTTTAAATTTTTTGAAAACTGAAACATAATGTGAAAAACTTGATTTTCCTGCAGCTGGACACAGAGTCTGAGAGCACCTTAGCCACCATGGACATCTATGACAGAGAAGCGCAACTGGTCATCGACTACTCTGAACTTGGGCCAGATGTCAGGGTGAGACAGGCAGCCTCATTATTGCCCTCAACTCCTCATAATGCAGATGATCCGGATTCATTCTCCTGTGTGTGTGTGCAAAGGCTCTGCTGGAAAAGACACAAGCGGAGGACTACTTGGAGAAGATGAAGGAGTCGGTGTCCTCCGTAGAGCTGCTGCTGCATCGCACTTCTGCTCCCAACCTGAAAGCTCTGGAGAAGATGAGGGAGGTGACGGACAAGCTGCAGGGAGTGACTGAAGGTAATGTGGTGCTTCATGTATGTTGATTTGAAAACAGATGTAACTCACAGTGTCAGACCTTCAGATGTGAACAGCTCTGATACATGTTTATGCTTGTTTTGGATCATTTATTTTATTGAAACAGGATTTGTAATATGCAAACTGCAGTTTCCAGACTCCTGATTCCACTTTGTTTTCTGTCTCTACTCAGAATTTGACGCCAGCGCTAGAGCAGCCAGGAAATGCAGCCAGGAGTTCGAGCAAGTGAAAGTCCAGCGCTTCCAACTCTTCAGCCAGTGCTTTGAACACGTGTCAGTCGTCATCGATCAGATCTATAAACGAATCTGCAGGAACAACAGCGCCCAGGTGAAGCTACCAAGCCTGAAACGAATCATCCCACTCACATTTCTCTGTAAATTTACAGCCAAGTCAGTTTGCTCTCCTAAAATTCAAGGTTATTTTACTCTATTGTGAAGAACCGTATATCTGCACCTACTGTTAGGGGAACAAGTATTTTGCCAGTAGTTTCAGTCAACAAGTGAGTTTTTTTCTACACTGCAGAATTTTTTTGTCTGACTATAAAAAATATCAAGGAGTATCTTCCAAAAAGAAAACAGACAACCCCAAAGAGGAGATCTAATAAATAAAAACTGATGCAGACTTCTTTATACGCTCCAGGCCATTCTGAGCGCAGAGAATCCAGATGAGCCATACCTCAGGGGCATCAACTTCAACTGTGTGGCTCCGGGGAAACGTTTCATGTCCATGGACAATCTGTCCGGTGGAGAGAAGGCCATCGCTTCCTTGGCTCTACTGTTTGCCATCCACAGGTAACACTGGGCTAGAAGCAGCTGGTTTATAACCATCCACAGTGATGAATTACAGCTCTGAAAAGAGGGTTTGCAGACGCACCACAGCTGTCCACACTCCACAGATGATATGATCAACCTCAGTTCTCTCTGTGGGCTGGGACTACTCATGGTGTTATGAGTTTTTAAGCTGATGCACAGACTAATGTAGTAAAAGATATGTAATTTCAACGCCTGTTAATCCTCTGGTCTTTCATATCATTAACTTTATTTGATGGATTTTATCTACTGACATGATATCTGTTGACTTAGCAGCTTTTTTCCTGCTGAAACTTTTTTTCTTCTTCACTTTTCACCTCTTTGATAATACAGCGCTGTGTGTTGGACTGTGCTTCAGATGGTCTTTCTGAAGCCCTCCTCCTACAGTATTTAACACCTGTTGCATCAGTTCTCATGACAGTGGACCTCCTATTTAACCATTACTGTTGGTCAGCATATGTTTGTGTGATTCCTTCAAGTTTTCGCCCTGCGCCCTTTTTTGTCCTGGATGAGGTGGATGCGGCTCTGGACAACACCAACATCGGCAAGGTAACACTTTACAACACCACATACGTTTATATAGGGAAATAATGTGTTCAGTTTAAAGAGCACAAAAGAACAACTCGGGTACAGTATTACCATCATTACGGTACCTGATTTCTAAGCGTGTTTTTGTTTGTGTCCAGGTCACCAGTTTCCTCAGAGAAGAGTCCAGAAGTAACATGCAGATCATCGTCATCTCCCTGAAAGAAGAGTTTTTCTCACAGGCCGACGCTTTGCTCGGAGTCTACTCAGATGTAGGAAAACTATTAGAACACATTGTTCGGTGAGGAAGAAATTAAAATGACTCTGAGCAAACTCTGTACTTCTGTCAACTTTTACAGTTCGATGAATGCATATTGAGCCGCATTCTGACCCTCGACCTGCGTTCCTACCCTGTGGTTGAAGAGGACAAGGAACAACAGGCAGAAAGGGAGAAGTCCAGACCTGTGTAGCCGGGGAATCTGCTGGATGAAGCCTTTACATGTGTGTCTTTTGAGTTACTGTTCACACACCATGAAATTGTCGACAGCAATTTTACTTAGAGTTCATGAAGTAGTTACCTGAAGAAAGGGAGAAACTTCAGTTTTCTATGTTCCTTTTTATGCCGTTGACTACCTCAAGTAGCTGGTTTTGTGTTTGTTAAAGAGAAAACGAGCAAATTTTGCAAGAATTAGTGCTATGAAGACTCTTTAAAACAGTTGCTACTCCTCACACATTAAAAAGACTGTTCATGGTTTTAATCTAGTTTTAAATCTTTCTGGATGTTCAGGAAACATTTTGTACTTGTGTTTGAGTTGTGTTTTAAGCTTGACTCATGTCCTGTTTATTACACATTTTGCAAAGTTGAAGAGGCTGTTTGTTTTTTTGAAACTATATTACAAGTGAAATGCACTGGTTAAAGTAGTTCCTAAGAAAATAAACCAAAAATGTGTGAGGAATTAAAAGAGACAGTGGGCAAAAACAGGTTAAAACAAAAAGTTATATGCACCATATAAACATTTTGTAGTGATTTGAATATATAATAAATGTTTTAAGATTAATATTTGATCATCTTAATTTATGACATTTATGCACTCGTTAAAAGGGGCACCACCCACCTTTAATGGTGGGAAAATAAAGAAAAACAGAAGTTTAATTCAGAAATCAAACATTCAGTTAATCTTAAATTAATCAATCTCATATCTCAAGCCGAAATTCTAATTTCAGGGACTCCACTTCTGAAAGAATACTAACAGACAGGAACTTAGAAAAATAATGATCTGTTTATTACAGGATAAATGAAGGTACAACATCCATGCAATAAATGAGGATAAGATGAATATAGATGATAACAGATGAATGAAAGATTCTGAGTCAGGCTAGGAGCACTAAAGTTAATGATAGTGAGTGAATATGTGCTAACATATTAACCTACATTCACTTTGCTGTAAAGATAAATTTGGATGTGGTTATCTGAGTTGAATGCATGAGACAGCATCAGCCCTGTTTGATGCTCTGGAGGTTTGGATACTTACGTGAGGCTGGTCCTTGGAGAAGATGGAGCAGGTCCTGAAGGTCCAGGCTACGGGGTCAAGAGGTTCAGCTCTGAAGAGGACCAAAGTCAGACAAAGGACAGGCTGGGAGTCACAGCACACAGGTCCGAATGCAAAACCAATTAAGTAAGCAAATCTTCTTAGTGAACCGATTCCAGTGATGCAGTGCATCTAAAAAAACTGCCGTGCCCATGTTTCTATTTTTCAGTTGAGGATACTGTAAATGGTTGGCCAGTAGATGGCGGTAATGCAGCGATTGTCGTTGCCAGCCGCCACGAAACGCAGCCGAAGAAGAAGGAGATGTTTACCACTGGAGCAGTAGAGGGCGATAACGACACACTCCTAGCACAAGAATAACCTCGTGATCATTATTTACGGAAGTATCACCTGAACTGAAACTGCAGCACTGACTCATTGTCGCAAAATAGCTTTAAAATACGCGCAATGTCACCTTAAATATAACAGTCCATTGACGCATATGTTTGATGAAACGACGTCAACCTGGAAGCCTTTGAACAGAGCTGCTAATACGCTGCTAAGTTCGCTAGCGCTTTCATTGGAATTGCTGAGACAACACTGTTTTTTAACGGACGTGCCTCTGTGGTTGTGAGTCAGAAGAGGTCTGTGTTGTATCACTTTGATTATTTAACTATGATCTTTGTGGCTGCAGTTTTGAAGGAGAGCTAACCGCTGTCGAACCTGCAAACCAGCCACTGAACCGCGATTACAGCAGCAGGATGGGAGCCGAGCAGAGTGGGGATGCGGAGCACAAACACTCCGATTACAACTCAGCGGGTGAGAGACACTGCTTCCTACAAACAGTTTAGATTTTAAAAGAAGAATGAACTGGATTGCACAGTTCACCTCTGTGAAATTACACTAAAAATCTGTGTATTTCAATCTGCGGAGATGGTGCAGCTGGATCATACATGTATGAATTTAAGGGTCTTCACTGTGTTTCTCTCATTGACATTTAAAAAGTTCAAAGCCATCCAGGCTTTGATGTCTTCAAGACATGCCAGAAGTCATCCAGCCTTTAATTTAATACCCAGGTAGGCTGCTGACTGTTTTAACAGAGTTGTTTTGGTCGTTTTGTCTGCAGTGGTGCCGTCTCCAGCAAAGCAGAAGGCAAAGATGGATGATATTGTGGTCGTGGCTCAGGGGACCCAGTCGCTGAGAAATATCCACAACGATCCAGATGTCATCAAGCTTCAGGAAATACCCACATTTCAGCCGCTGTTAAAAGGTAACCTTCTTATCTCCCAGACTCTTACAGTGCAGCTGTACAATCAACTTTGACAGACACTGATACACACATAAGGAGCACTGCACAGTCAATTAATGATGCACACAGTGCACAAATTTCTATGTGATAGTAAAGTCAACAATAAACACACTCTTCCCTGTCTCTACAGGAGTGCTGAGTGGACAGACGTCACCCAGCACTGTGTGTCTGGAAAGGCTGGATGCCGTGCAGGTGATGCAGCTCTGTGTGAGATATCAAGACCACTTACACCAGTGTGCCGAGGCGGTGGCCTTTGACCAGAACGCTCTGGTCAAGAGGATCAAAGAGGTGAGTGTACCATAGGATAACAGGAGCTAAGAATAAACTCCACAAATCAGCCATATTAATATATATCATGTTTAAAAACAGTGACAAAGCATCTTTTTATGTACTCATTTGTTGTTTGAATATTCAGTTTTTGCTCCTGAAGGAGTCAAAAACAAAATTCGTGTTCCAGGATTTATTCTAACATGTCAGGTTTTTTGTTTCCTGAGCAAAAGTAAAAATTGTCATCGCTTTCAGTTTCTGAACATGAGAATTTGTGTCTGTTGAAGGAAGTACTCTGTATATTATTGTAAATTGTATTTTATTTTGTGATAACAGTTTTATTCAAACGATTCTTATAATATCAGAAAGATAGTTGTCTCTTGAAAAAGTTCCAAATTTCACATTTCCTCTTTCAAACAGCTGGAATGATCCCCTTTATTTCAGTCTCTGTCATGTACTTCTGTTTCATAAGAGTCATATGTTGGTATCGAAGCAGCATTCTTCCTCTTTTTTCCTCTCTTTGACTTTGACCTGATTCAGGTCATCATCAAAAGTCAAACACTCATATTTTTCCACCCCTAACGCTTCTTTCCAGATGGACCTGTCTGTGGAAACATTGTTCAGCATCATGCAGGAGCGCCAGAAACGCTACGCCAAGTACGCCGAGCAGATCCAGAAGGTCAACGAGATGTCCATGATCCTGAGACGCATCCAGATGGGCATCGACCAGACAGTGCCGCTGATGGAGCGCCTCAACAACATGCTGCCTGAGAGCGAACGCCTGGAGCCTTTCAGCATGAGGCCTGACGGGGAATCTACCACCAAGTAGCCACTGTAAAGACACGCGAGCGTCCGTCCAGTCCTCTGTCCGGGAGAGAGAGCAGGTCTGTCCAGGTGTAGGGAATCTCTGAAGCTTTTAGAGTCTTAAGTTTTGACAACAAGGTGTAGAGCTAAGGTTTGAATGTGCCACATGAGCCCGTATTCTTTCACTTAAAGCCACAGAGGGAAGTTCTGCTCCTCTGTTGATTTTACAGCTTCCCTTGTGAACAGAGCAGCAAGATTTCTCTCTTTACTGTTTAGTTTTCTCTTACAAAGAGTCTGCTCCAGCCTCTTTTGAACCCTTAATTACAAAGAAAATTTATGTCTGTCGGCTGTAAATCAAGCCATCGTAATCTGTCCTGTTGGCCGCTGTTACTGGCATAAAAACTAACTTTGTGAGAAATACTCTGGCTGATGATTTCGGAGCAGATGGTTTGCTTTGCTTCAGTCAATCATATAGAATCATCAGTGAAAAATTTAGCTTGTAGTATAAACTGAAAAACCTCCTCAAAGCTCACAACATCTCACTTTAACTTCTGATACCGTCAGCCGCTGCCTTTAAATAAACCCAAAACAAAGAGGGGCCTGAAGGTTACAACTTATCTCTGACTTTTAAGGATTTTAAAACGGCAATCCTCCAAGAACAGTGCATCCTTACATGTCCTTAGATAGCTCTCTCTGTAGGAATCCTTTCCTGCAGCTTTTTTTGACTTACACGGTTGGCTATATTGTCGAAAAAGTCCCCGGAAATTCCTCCTCTTGCTCTGGATTTGCAGTGGATTCATTTCTTCACTTCAGACAGATGTGTTTTTGGTACTTGTGACGCTGATCTACATCTCACTCCTGCACCGTATGCCTTTGCTTTTTATTTTCTGATTTATGCCTGCATATGTTTTTGGGATAACACCAACAGAAGACTCCCAGAGAGGACCAGGATGGTTTATTCTCAGAGGATTACATCAGAAGCATGGACCTGCTTTTTGTTAGAGGCTGAAAAGAAACACTTCAACTTGGACGTGGGATATTCTAGATAAACTCATGAACTCTGAACCTTATTTTTGCGATGAGGGATTTAATTTATTTGCTTAACTTTCCTCTTACATTCGTGTCAAACCTATCTGCATGCAAAACAGGACTGAGCAGTGACCCACATTTTCATCAGACTGATCCAGAACATCGCTGGGAAATACTGGAAATAATTGCAGTCATTTCAAATCAGAAAACATCTTACTATTTATGCATCACCTCTGTTAACCTAATACGACGATGGCCAAACATCACACACACATCAGAGATTCACAGGCTGTTTGATCAGGACTATCATGGTCAGAAAAAAGCATTACTGTATTTTTCGCACTATAAGGCGCACCTGATTATAGGGCGCACCATCAATGAACGTGTCCATTCGCGTCTGTTTTCATACATAAGGCGCACCAGATTATAAGGCGCATTTAGCCAATCAAAACAGTCAGATAAGTCAAACTTTATTTAACTCATTCAATAACTCTGCGAGGCTACGGTAGCTACAGTGCTCCGACAAGCCAAAAGGATTTTAAGTGCGCCTTTTAGTGCGAAAAATACGGTGAATTCACTTCGCATCCTTTAAATGTTTGTTTCTGCATCATAAGTGTTGTGTCCGGGAAATAAAGGGTCATTTCACCCAAAAAAAAGAAGATAGCATTCATCTCTGTTTCCTCTTGTTTCATCTGTGCATGTACAGGTGCAGAAACATGGACCCTCTGGAAAATTATGTTTATTTATACACTCAGTAGTTGGTCTTGGCTCCTTTTTGCACTAATTCCTGCATCAGTTTGACATGGCATAGAGAGGATCAGTCTGTGGCTCTGCTGGGGGGTCATTGAAGCCCAGGTCTATTTGATAACTCCTTCAGCTTGTCTGTATTGTTGCTCAAGTGTCTCAGGTCAGTAATACCACCGTCAGTAAAGCAGTTTGTGGTAGTTTTGGCGTTGTGGGAAGGTGCCAGGTCCTGCTGGAAAAAGGAAACCTGATTTCCATGAAGCCTCTCAGCAGACAGGGTCAGTTGTGTTCCTGCATTAGCACTGTGGGTCCAGCAGGTGGCGCCAGAGATTGCTCCACACAGTCTGTTGCTTCTAGATGAATTTTAATGTTCAGAGGCACAGAGACAGAGCTGCTTCAGATTTAGTGTCATTTCGAAAGGACACTCAGACAGGAGAGCTGTAGCTGCTCACTCACCGACCGTCACAGATCTCACATCTCTAAAAATATGGAAGAAGGTGACCTGTTTTCATTTATAGTATGTCCACTTAAGCGGCAGAAAGCCTAATCCCATCTGAGCATGTAATTTTATTTATGTCTACCTCCACTGGGAATAAAGAGATTACAGTTGTTGCCAAATATTTTTCCTCTAATCCCCCTAAAGGTAACCTGCTCATAGAAGAATTACCGCTCTGACAGGATATTGTCCTCCAAAACTGCCCTGATTTGGCTGAGAAGATGAGCTTTATCGGCTCTACTTTTAAGAGCTGCACAAACAGTTAATTTCTGCATCGCTTTCAGCTTTAAAATATAGTCTATTAATTCATTAATGGAGCAATGCCTGCAAGCCTCTCAGGCTGGCAACTCCAGCTGTACTAATTTCACACTTTCCATGCGTCATTCTCACAACCACCCAGCAAATGTACACTCTCAATTTATTGGTCTATTTAAGTTGCAAGATTTCCAGTCTCTCCCTCTGCTCAGTAGCTAACGCTGCAGCTCTGCACCAGGGCTGGGCTTTAATCTCAGTCTCACCTACTCCCCAGAGTCCACCCTGCAGGCTCAGACTAGAGGTCAAGATATCTCATCATTCCTCAAATTACTCCAAGTAAAACAAATCAGTGAGGAGAGATGAAGTTAGAGCTGCGATATGAAACACAAATAATGTTCTGCTGCTGCAAAAAGAGCTGAAAGAATGTGAATTACCACGCTGATAGAAATATGAACAAGAAAATTAACTTTTTTCAAACTCCCTGTAACGTCTGAGTTGTTTCAAAATACGCAAAATGAGACGAAATGCTGCTGCTGATTTACTGTTGACGCATGAGGCAACCATCTTGGATTTTAACCTCGGGGAATCGAAAGTCACTCTGAGTGTCCAAGTAGCAATCCTGACCCAGTGAAGGTCAAGTATCTGAAGGGGATCCCAGAATTTCCAACTACCTAGAAAAACGTAACTGATTTGGTTCAGAGGGGTCACTAGAATCAACATGTCATGACAACTCCCCACAGTGCCTTTAAATTAGGTACTTACGATGTAAATGCTGCCTAGTTTTAAAGGTCAAGTATCTGAAGGGGATCCCAGAATTTCCAACTACCTGGAAAAACATAACTGATTTAGTTCAGAGGGGTCACTAGAATCAACACGTCATGAAAACTCCCCACAGTGCCTTTAAATTAGGTGCTCATAATGTAAATACTACCTAATTTTGGACAAAAAGGATAAACCGTTGGAGTAAATGACGGAGAAAAGGATGAGCAGTGTGAGACTTTGGGGTGAGGAGCGAGGCAGGAAATGACAAAGCTGTTTAGAGATTAGAGGCAGAATACGGCCACCCTGGGGTCTTTATTTGCGGATTTAATACATGATTAAACTCAGTTTTTCAGAGCCATCCCTCTTTTCAGTTCGTGTTTCGGCTCTCTTTGTTGGTAGAAACATCACAGCCGCCTTCTGTGTCCTGTGGGGATTACAACATGTACCTCTGGATCAAACTCAGAGACCAAATCAGAATTTGCAATGAAAGGATTTTCCCAGAAAGGACCCGCTGCAGTCTGTAAGCTGCTCCTCTCTGGATTCAGCAGTGCGTGGTGTTTCTCCCCCATGAGCCTTTGCAGTCTGATTAGGCCGGTTGTGTACGTTGTTGAATTTTTTATCGGCGTATAAACACGCTGAACTCAATTACACCTACAAAAGGATGCTCCTCCGGCTGGCTCTGCTTTGAGGTACAGAATTAGCCTGCTTCGTTGACATAAGGGACGCACGGCAGAAACAAGTTTTCTTGTGAATTTAAAGCAGAGCTCCTTTGATATGTTATCGCCTTTCATGTGTAAATTAAAACGGGTGAAAAATGTCTTAAATAGCCGTGGGGGTATTGTTTGAACACTGAAACAGAAATGAAAATTGTCACTGCGTTCTGTGGCGAGGAGGTGTGAAAGTTCCTGCAAGTCTTTGTAATGAAGAATAGCTCCTGACGCTCAGAGCTGGATATTAACGCCACGAGATGATACAATACGATCTGCCACCAGGAAATTCATTCTCTGAAATGAAAGAGAAATCCAATTTCCCCTGTATACTTCTCATTTGAATATAAATCAAAGGCTGCTTTTTCTGGCCTGTTTTGCCCACTCTAAATTGGAAACTTGAAAGTAAAGTCTCAGCTTTCTTATCCCCATCATCTTCTAGGGTGGTTGTTTTACTGCGATAAGAGTGGAAATTTGAGTTTCCTGACATCACATCTCTTAGCTTTGAAAAACACTTTACATAATGATGATTTGTTTAAATCAAACGCTTGCATCAAGTTTTAAAGTTTGAAGTAAAAACGGAGGTTAGAAATGATTAATTGACTACAGATGGGCTGCAAAACCATTAATTTGCCCCTACAGTCATTTAAATAACCACTTTCTTCATGTTATTTATCTTCACTAAAATAATCCCTTTTCCTAAACTCTAATTTTTGAGACATTACAAAAAATGAATAAGCTGGGTCTGAGAATGATTAGATTATTGACTCTAGGGCCGTCCCAATATCCCAATACTGACTGTAACCGTCTTTTCAAACAGTTAAAACACTGATATTGTGCCAAGAATAAGAATCCAGTCATACTATGAGTCTTCAACATGGATAACCACACATCTTTCAACAGAGGACAGACGAAGAAGAAGTTTCAGACTGATAGCGAGCTACACCAAAGCCTTTCTCTCTTGAAGTTACTAATCAATTAAAATTTGTACTTTCTTCTACTTTATTTAACGGTTTTCTTTCAGTTTTTGTAACTAACAATCAACCAGATGTAGTAAACTTCAAAATAAAAGCGTAGTCTAAACCATGTTGGAAATAAAGAAACCTAAAAGCAAGACTGAGGAGTATCACAATAAAAGCGTGACATTTCTGCCCCAAACTAGTTTCAGCCACAGGGCTCTTGATGAAGATAAAATCATAAATTTAAACATGAGGCAAAAATCCAACGTCCTAACAGTCCTTATTGATTTGTTAATTCTTAAAGTAAGACTACAAAGTATGAATAATTATATATGATGGACTGAACTTTCATAGACTTAATAGGCTTCACTTTTCAATATCTCAAGTTGCTGATTTGGACTTTTTTCCTGAAGTCCTTCAAACAACATCCTAACTGTCTTCAAACAACGATATTTGACCACTAGTGTAAGAAAGAACCTTTTTAGTGGAAGGTGACTTAAAAACAGGTTTCTGGTTTTATTTGATTTTAAATAAGAAACTATTCAAGTCATGCTTTTGAAAATGTTCCTACTCTGTGTTTTGACTCCATATGAATTATTTTGTGGAGGAAAAACAAGATAAGGTATTACTGATTGATTTAAAAACTCAATAGTTAATGTGATCCTTTAATTCAACAGATTTTATCCCCTCACTCTTATTTTTCGTGTGCATTATCCCACCCCTCTTCCTCCCGAGCAGGTTGGAACCTTTTCTCTGAGCTCTGCTGTGGCAGTAAGTAGCTCGAGGAAAGGCGAGAGGCGTCCCTTAGATGATTGCCTGTATCGACTGTATTGACTTTCATCTTGTAAAATTACCCGCCACTGCTTTTTTATTTGACACACTGTCACCTACAGTGATAGATTCCCCCCAGACCCTCCCTCTTGAGAGCTGTAGCCAAACGATGTACCTCTGACCGCAGACATGAATTCTTCTTGGGACCGGATCTGTCAGGGGACATCTAATAAAGGTCTTCTTTGTTGCTTCATGACACAGCCGTGTTCAAGGACACTGAGCTGCTACAGCAGACCGTGAGATGTCTTGTCCTCCCACTGAAAACCTTTGCCATGGACGTATATAAAAGGAGACATCCTTCATAAGAACGTCTTCAACAAATAAACCCGGTCGAATGCCATCTGAGCTTGGAGTGAGTCTTTCAGAGGACCAGCTGTGGCCTCAATCAGCTGTTTCTAGATGAAAACATTGAACACTGCAGCTGATGAGGCTCAGAAATATCCTCTATTATTTAGTTTTCCATGATAAGGTTTGTAACCACCCATGGAGCTCGAGTTCTCACAGGGCTGTTCGGATTTAAAAAACGCCATACAAGATGAGCAAGTGCTGCTGTAATACCGAAACTAAAGAAAACCACCACAAGCAGCGTCGAATGAGCCATCATGCTATTATACATACTACTCTGTCTGAGTCAGAGACAGGAGAGTTCAAATGGCTTTAAATCTGTACCTGTTTGCAGCCATCATGATGTAAACCTAAAACACATGGTGCAAAATTCATACAGATGAAATAGTTCATACAAGGCTTACTGACCAGTATGTGGTGCTGTGATAAAAATGTAATTTTGAGCATTTAGTTGCTACTGGAATTCAAAGTTTGGGTTAGTTTAAACTCTGTATGTTTGAGTTACAGTAACATGGTGAGGCGTCACTCTCTCATCACTCTTCATACCGTCTCTTTTAGTTGTAATCCAACATTAACACCTGAGGAAGATTTAATCCCAGTATGACCCCTTTAGTTTGACTCAAAACACACTTCTTTTTCTTGTATTAAAATTTCAGAGAGGTTTCATACAGGTAATTTGCAGAACTCATGACAAATTTTAAAGTTTCATCAATTTTAGGGTAAGTTAGAGTCACTACAAGTGTGATATATTTGAAAGCACAAGAGAAAATAGATCAAATACACGAGGGTCTTACTTACTCAGGCTTTACTGGTGTTAAAGTACAGTGCAAATACAAATATAAGTACAATCTATGTTGTCTTAATTTACAGACAGCTTACCTTTCCAGCTGGTAAACCTGAAACTAGATTGCAAGGCCTGGTTGAAAGCCAGGAAATTTCAAACTTGTTCTTTGAAAAGAAAGATGTGCTTCATATGTGTGACTAAAAGATATTAAATTGTTTATAACCCGGATTTAAAAAGCAAAACATTTCCACTTAACCAAAACCACACAGGTTTTAGTGTAATTACAGGTGCACTCAAGTGGTTTCAAAGGTCCTACATAATTTAGAACGAGGCTAAACCAAAACAAAGTCAATGCAAAGAAAGGTTTTAGGAACATTTAGACAATGACATCAAACACATTAGTTTAAAAAAAAAAAAAAAAACACACTCTGTTTGGCCAAGCTGCAACCTCCAGTGTAGCTGATGTAGAAGTGAAAAAAATTGCAGTTCCCAAAGTGTCCACTTGAGGCTTGCCCCAAAAGTTCAGGAATCCCCATTTGGTCCCATTTTAAAATTCTTATAGTTAAAGCACTATTAAATATATTTACGATCTGGTTTTAGAAACACTATTTATGGTCTCAGAAGCTTATTCTTTACTCGTAAAAACTTGACGAGGGAAGAATTACTTTCATAACACGTTTGTTTTAATCATATCAAGACATTTTAGATTCATCATAAATTAGTCATTGTTTCCCTTAGATGTCTGTGTGACTACTTTCCCATTTGTACTGTTTATCTGTAAACAAATATCACTCCAAGGCCTCTTTACACCTCCACTTGGTCTGATTTAGAGTTGAAAACTGTGATTTATGCGCCCTTGAGCATGGCACTCTGCCCTCAGCTGCCCAAACAAAGCAGCCAACAGCTCATAATCTCTGTAGATGTGAGTATTGGTGAATGAATGATGTTAAACACCTCCTCCCCCTTGTAGTTATTCTTGCCATTCATTACTGTAATGGGGAGCATTTTCTGGACGTGTCTGTATAAATACAGGTTTGACAACAGTCATAAAAAGAAGAAATAAAGCAAGGATGAGGACATTTTGAATCTGAGATAACACTGACATGCTGGAGAAGTTGCCTTTGATCGGACGTGGGACGGTGAGAGACTCAGATGGTGATTCAGAGCCAACGGGGCCGCTGCCATGAAAAGTGAGTGACAGCATCATGTCTCATCTGCGACAGCCTGTAGCCAAACAAACAGCAGCTCATTACAGCATCAGCTCCGACCGCCTGCTGCGAACGGCAGAGAGGTGACATTGGCTCATAATGTGCGGGAGGGATGAGCAAGCGAGCGGGGAGGGTAGAGGGCCCGTGTGGAGTCATAAATTGCTTAATGTTTCTTTACGTCTCAGCGGTCATGATGTCTAACCCATGGTACTTGAACTTTGGATGCACTGGCTGCCGAGAATACGGAGAAGTCAATCTCATGAGGAGCCGCAGTCAAGCTGTTTGGTTTGTTAGTCAAACATTCATGACATGGAGGCACCAAAATAGAAACTTCTAATCATAGAGGTGTAGCTGCGAGTGTGTGTCCTCATGTGAAGAGGAGTCATCTCACTTTTCCAGACTTCATCCATCTTTCTGTCCCAGTTTCAATCCCTTATCCTGAGGAAAATCCAAACTAGAGAAACTTAATGTGAAGTGATCCAGTTCTTATCAAGTCACTTTTTCCAGAGTTCCAGTTCGGTCGCTCTCCCTGTTTCATACACTCTTATGTTATGAAACTACAAGGGGTCACAACATGCCAACCTGAGGACGACCCTGAGACCAGAGCCACAAGTTTGGGGTTATTTGCGTACTTAAAATAAGTCCGATGAGTTGTGCCTGCATGCTTAGCTCAACCACATCATGATAAACATTTAAAGCTCTAGTGAGGAACTTTCAGTTTCTGTTAACTTTGGCGCCCCTTTGTGGAAAAAGTAGTGTTTGTTTATCTTGTCTTCTGCGTGCCTTAAGCCGAAAACATACAGGATCCATGTTGAGCACGCTAAGTGTTTGGAGTGTAGCAGCGGCGTAGTGCAGCCCCGGTCAGCTGGGCTCAGTATGGAGGAAACAACATGCTCACAAAAGGTTGTTTTGCCTTTCTGTGGTCGAATTCCTGCTAATTTGGATATAATTCAGGAACTGTTGAGCCTCGACTGTATGTTAAAAAGCCTGATTTTACAGTAACCTGATTTTACAGTTTCAGTTTTTGCAGGTTTACTTGTGTTTAATAAAGTAAACTATGTTCCTTTACACTGTGCTGTTATCTTCAGACAGAGTTAGCAGTTAAAAGTCCGCATGAATCAGGGATTGACCATCAGATTGTTCTGTGTTACTGATAAATCCATAACCAGGAAATATACTGCATGACGTGTGGTTTTTGTGCTTGACATCCTGTCTAGAATGATCTTCCCTGTGTAGATTGACGCATGTTGGAAGCGTAGAGCAGAGAAAACAGACTAATAGACATGCATCTTTAGCAGAGCCACGCTCGACATGCTTCTGAGACGGAGCTGCGACGCGTCCCGTGTGCGATGCTGCATTGATTTGAATGGAAACCTATTTTCCATGTGACGCTGACGGAACACGCTCAACATGCGTCCTGAATGTTTTAGGCTTTAGTCGTGTCTTCTAACAAAAACCTATCTTGTTGATGCTTGACAGTGATTAATATTATGTATCATAGAGATAGCATCAGTAAATAGAAGTATCTGGTTGGCTGACTCCTACCGCCTCTGACCAGTTTAAGGTATTACTCAAGTATGTTGCACAATCGGAGCAGATCTCAGAGTGCTTAAACTGTCCCATCCAAATGAAGTATTCAACACAGGGATGTAATAAATCCTGCACAAAGTGGGCATATATTTGTGGACAAACTGCTGCCCCGCAGTCACTGTTGTGAAAGCAGTTTCAGGCAGTGTAGGTGTATCAGATAAAAACACTGTCTGAACCACACTGAGGCCTTCACACTGTGGTTGTGTGCTCGGAAAAGGCTGCTGCACTGACTGGTGTGCGCTGAAGGGTCTTTTTTCCAAACAGCCTTTTTATGTGAAGACAAAATATTTCATCCATTATTCATCGAGGAGTAAGAGGAGGAAACCCGGCGAGACAGGAGCCACGTCCATCACCGCTCTGTTATGTTGGACTCGCTCAGATGAGTGAGTCAAACCAGCCTCTGGGACTTCTGCTCTCTCTCTCCGCTTAGTGTTACTTATTGTACGACATTTCCATTCCCGTCCCCGGGCTCTGGTGTTTTGCTTTGCAGCGTTCAGCTGCTGGGTACTAATGTGGCTTTTTTGTTTACAGTCTGTTTCTTCTCTGTCTCATCTTATTGAGGGTTTAAATGGATAAATACATAAAATATTCATTATCATTGGAGTGAAACACAAGGAGAAAACACAGCCGTCCTTTGGAGAATGAATGAAAATACTGTCTGTTAATGCTATGGCGTATCAGTCACAGGGAAAAATGGCAACATAAATGTTATACAGTGGATGTACTTTAGAAAGATAGGCACTAAATTAAGAACAAGGTTGTGGTACATCTAGAACAATAGCAGTGAGCATGTCATTGTTAAATATATTTTCATTTGAGAGGGAACACACGTAGTGTTCATTGTGAGCAAAAACAATTAGAAGGAATTCATTATCTTCCGTTATTCATATGCAAATCTAAACGTATCCCCTACAAGTACGCCCTCCTCTTCAGTCTCCACTTAGCGCCATGCTCCTGCTTTGTGTTTGAGTGTGTGTGTGCTCGAGTGTAGGGAAAAAAACCCACATCATCACATCCTATATCAATTATGTGGAGTGGTCTCTTCACCCTGATTACCAGAGAAGAGCTGGAGCCAAATGCTTTGTTGCTGGAACACACTGTGGGCAGATGGGTTGGTGTGTGTGGTCGGTGAAAAGGCTGTGGAGGACCCTCGAGGTTTGATCAGAACAGAACTCGATAAAAGTGTCGGCCAGGAGTGAAATGTCCTCTTTGTGTTCAGCTTCTCCCTGACTGTGGAAAAATACCAAACCATTAGCCGAATCAATATCACCTTCGCCCCACCATCACATTATCTAAAGCTTCGGGTTTCAATTTTGCCTCTCTGCTAATGTTCATGCCAAACAACGCTAAACAGAACCATGATTTCAGCTGCCACAACCTTAAAGTGGACGACTAAACAGAGCAGTGTTTTTTTATTGTTGAGTGTTTTTCCCCAGTAGAGCTGATTTACTTCAAACTGTTTATTTCAGGGACACATTTGATCAGTACAACACCAACGGCAGAGCTGTTGTGATGTATATTGGCGTAGCTATGCTTAAGTCATCAATTTCCACCACTGTGAAGCAGTTTTGCAGACCCTTTAAAGTGTTTTTCTTTTTTCTTTTTATAACAATACACATTCACAAGCCGCGCACTGGGCTCAGCTGTAAATAAGTCATTGGTTTAAGTGTGATTTTGTTGAAAATAGATGACAGAGCAGTTTTGAACACAATTTATAAAGTACCATTCACCGCTAGAGCTAATAAAAGGGCCTAACAAAGTCCTCCATAATATCAATAAATTAATAAATTGAAATATGATACAGAAAGAGAAAGGGGGGGGGGGGGATATTTGGCAATATGTCACTGTCTGATGCTACATCGAACCACTCCTTGCTTGCTGCACTATTGGTAAAGAGACCGTGGCTTTGAAGAGAAGAAGCTCCTTTGATGCTAGTTAAGTGTTATCCTTCATTTACCAGGTTTTCGGGTAAGGATAGGAGAATCAAAATCACTAAAAATCCAAAACATGACAGCAATTAAAAAAACTGAGAGGATCTGAAATTGATCCCTGTGGAACTCCAAAGTGAACCAGAAAGCATTTATACCCAAGCCATGAAACAGTGGCCAAACAATGTAGAATTAAAGGTACAGTGAGTAAAACCTGGATGTGTTTTGTGATATTTAGCAGTTAAATTCTAAAGGGAAATGCTCCCTTGCTCAGCCCTTTTCTAGGTGAAGTGACGGTGGTCTTTGAGGAGAGAAGCTTCTGTGATGCACCATAAGTAATATCCTCTATTTGCCAGGTTTTTACCATGTTCCAAATAAGGATAGAAGAATTATAATTCCCCCCAAAAACACAAAAATAAGGCAGCATCCCAAAACCTGAGAGGATCTAGAATTGATCCCTGTGGAACTCCAAAGTGAGCAACTAAGCTTTATGTAAAACAGTGGCCTTACTTCTCACTTGATAGAATCAAAGGTGCAGCAAGTGGATTTGGGATTTTTTGCAATGTGTAGCAGGTAGATTCTAGAGTAAAATTCTCTCTTACATTTCTCCAGTTCTGAGCTTTACTTAGAATCCATTTTCTAAAGACATCAGTTATAAATGTGTGATTAAAATATTAAGGAAAACTACAATTGGATTTCTTCTTTTTAGTCACTGAAAGATGCAGAATCATGTTTATTTATTTAACTCAAAACTCTTGTTTTTACAAGAAAGCTCATTCACTGGATTTCAGCATGAACTATTACTGTATTTTGACTTGTTTTCATAAGATAACTGGTGTGTGTTTGAGGAAGTTTAGCTCCTCTCTCCTGAAAGACATTGGGCAGTGATGTTATGTGATCAGTAATAAAAAAGCTAAAAATACCCCTGCTGCAGATGGAATGATGCATAATGCACAAAAATGCATAAAAGAAATGTAAAATGTGCCAGTATCTGCATATATGATGAGTCTATTTTCATCAGGAGCCAGTTGGAGTTTGTCATCTTTGCACTGTATGAGGAAAGCCTCAAACAAATGACTCGCAGGATAGAGAGAAGGCTGGTTTTATGCCGAGAAAACATGATATTTTTTCTATTTGATTAAGGTTATTACTCTGCAGTCAAGTATGACTCAAGTGTCAGATGGAAGAGAAGAGACAGATGCTTCACAAACATTTTTAACTTTCTTTTAAAGTCCACTCTGCTCTGCTGACTACTTTCTTCTTTTTCTCTCTGAGGGTTACAGATCGATGGAAGTTTGATTAAAATTAAACGATAAATGGAAGAAATGGAGCCTGGAGAAGCTGTCTGTTAGTAAAGGTGGTTATATAAGTGACCCATGATGCTTGCTACCTTTTGTTTAGTCATATTCGTTTCTGTCTCACTAAGACTTTCTGTCAAAGGTTACTGAATCCAATTCAAACCACGCTGAGCTCGACCTCCAAACTGCAGAGATCTCAACAGGATTAAAACACAGCTTCAGGGCCAGAGCACTAACTATTAGTGTGCTGCTGCTGCTGCCGCTGCTGCAGTATTATAATGTTGTCATGTTTTATTGTTATGTGCGTTTCTTCCCTCAAGCTCCAGATCTTGCTATCTTTTGTTATCCATACTGATACAGGTCTTCAGTTTTTTTGCCTTCACACCACCACAGCAGTGATTGTTTAAAACTGACGCTCACTTTGTAAATGAATCAACAGCCAAATGTCCAGCGGCGGGTATCAGGATGTGTCCTTGTTAGTGTTTAGATTTCTCTTTCTCAGGGTCTTTGGTGGATTTCTTTGCTGCAGTTTTGTCAGTTTGTCATCTTACTGCTGCAGGATTCTCTGCTTTATGAAGGTTTTAGCTGAAGAGGAACCTGCATTATTCACTTATGATATTCTTCTAACTCGCACTTTGTTACCCTAAAAACGCAGGTGTCTCATCCCTATAATTGCAGACCAGATTTCAGCAATGCTAATCAGACTGTTCAACCAAAATAGCACGTGCACATGCTAACAAGCGATCATTTAGCATTGAATTCACACTGCAGCTCTGAGAGCTCGTCAGGCTGCCCAAAGACAATGTGTGAAATGTTTATAAAACTGTTTTTGATGGTTTGCAAATTATTAAAAATCTACATTTAAATGGAAATAATGCAAAAATGTTAAAATGAACAAATTCAGGATAATGTCCCTCAGCAAAACTGTGAAGATTTGGCAGGGTTTTATCATCTGGAGTACAAAAACATCATTAAAGATTCAGAACCTGGATCAGACCTTAAACCAATATTGCGTAAGAGTGATCTCCGGGGCCCTAGGGGCAGAAAACAGACATGACTCTCTGTAGTGGAAGTCACCACATGGACTCTAAATCGCACCGTTTTTTGAAGTATCAACAACTGCAGGTTAAAACTGTACCATGCAAAAACCATGGAAATCATGGACGTGGATGTGGAATGGAACTAACTTTGCACTTACACATCTACGCCACATCTTTAAAGGCTTTTAAAAGGGTTTTAAAATGATCAAAACTGATATTAAGTTGCTGAGCCAAACTTTTTAAAGTATTTTTGTAGTGAAGCCAATAAATCAACTTTCAATCTCCTGCAAAACCTCCCGCTCATACGGTCCCTCCCTGTGGGTTTAAAAGCAGTTATAATGTTGATCACCACTATTAACATCTATTCAAGAGGTTAAAAACTTATTGCTGAATATTTCATTCGATTTCAGAGAACCAGGCCCAGAGAATCCACGGAGGGCGGCGCTGTGGTCCGGGGCCTCCGCGTGATGAGGATCCGCTCACGTCTCGCCGCTGCCTTTCATCCTGTTCCGGCGGGTTAAAACGTGAGTTGCAGTTCACTGAATCTTTAGTCACACTGGGAGCTCTTGCAACCCTTCAAATGATCGGTTATGAAATATTCAGAGCTCATCTGTGCGGGGACCGAGCAGGAACACAGCAGGAGTCTGGACGGCTGATTGGACAACAGAGTTTTCATGTAGCTGGTTGTAACTCTGCCTGCACCTTTTACACTGACGAGACTGACATTAATGGATACCCTTCACGCCTTTCAAGCGTGTAATTATGGAGCTGGCAGTTTGAAAATACACTAATTGGCAGTTTGGAGAGAGCGGCATTGTTACTGGGTGAACGGTTATCCATTAACTGTGATAAAAATAACAGCGAAACAACTGGGGGCTGGAAATATCCGAGCTCAGTGTGACCTTTAATAAGCGCTGTTCATAATGTTTTAATATTGCTTTATACTGTTTTTGAAAGTAGCTACAGGGGCTGGAATATTTGAAACAGATAAATCACACAGAATAACAGCTTTGCCAGATGGTAAGAAAATCTCAGATGCTCAACATTTGAGAGCTGCGTCATTTAGGAAGAAAAAAAAGCTGTGAAGTATCCTTAGATTATTCACCAGTAACCAAACAAAAAGCACTCAAACTGAGCCAGTTTCCAGCACTGTGATTTGCTTTAATTCAAAGTAAGACTCTCTGCTGCTGTATTAATGTGCCAAAGTCCGTCACGGGTCTGAAAGTAGTCTGAGATTATCGCGTACTCTCAGTCTTTAAGTTTTCGCCAATTTAATCACAAAGTCAACCAAAGATTTTTCTCTTAAAAAAAGTTTTAAGAGGTCAGACTTGGTAAAAAATTTTCAGTACTTCACAAGGGAGCAATGCAGATTTTACAAAAACACATAAATGTTGCACTTGCACTTGCACTAGTTTCTTCTGCGTCTGCTTCAGTATCCTGAAAATTTGGGAATGAAAGTCAAACAAGAATCAGTTAAATTTTCTTTTTCTTCCCGTTTGTTCCCCTTTTCTCTGTGGTCGCCTTTAGTTGTACAAACTGGTCGTTGCTATCTGTTGTCAAAGGTTTGAGGCACACGCTGCATAAAACATGGACATAGTCTCAGTGACGTCATTTATTGGTTTCTGCTGATGCATAATGAATCTAAAGGATTATATTTCCAGCTGGCCTCAGGGTCTATATGCCCCCCCATTGGGCTGTAGTGGTGAAGTGGTTGTTATAACACAGTTAGCCTTCACAGTAAGTGGTTCATGGCCTGTGATGGAGTCAAACACCTGGCCTGAATTATTATCTTAGTCATCAGCACAACAGTTTGTGGTTGATTGATGGTGACATCCTTCTACTGCAGGAATTATAGTGTGTAAAAATGTCTTACTCGTGTGGACAAAACAACAACAACTGTTTCTGTAAGCCTTTTTCAGCCTTGATGGATGTATATGCTGAGGTGTTGGCATGCTGACGTCCAAATATCCAGGCGTCTCTTTCATTATTGTGTCTCTTTGATTTATTCAGACCTGACAGGATATTAACAGAAACATCCAGAGTGCAGGTGTGATATTTGGTACCTGCTGGATGACAGGAAGCAGAGAGAAAAATCAGTGAGGAGTTAGAATGTAATGATGGAGGAGGAGGAGGAGAGGAGGACAGTTTCCTGCTCCTTCACAGACTGCCTCACTGATGGGTTTTACTTTTCTGTCTGACAGTTTTACAGTTTCTGTCAGAGCACAAGCGTTGAATGACAGGGCATTAAACCCCGGTTCTGCGCTGGATGTTTCATTTATTCCTCCGTGCAGGTGGAATGAAAATTGAAAATATTAGGAGAAATGGTTTGGTCTAATTATTACAGCGGCTGTACAAGGGGATGTCAGGAGGAATTTCAAACCTCCTCTTCTCTCTGCGGCAGCACAAAGGGAAAACATTTTACACCGTCTGATCCAATATGAGAAAAAAACCCCTGAGACTTTCCCCGTTTATTCAGGGTGCATTGAGTGAGACGCACTGATCTGTTGGCTCAGATATTTAGAGATTCACCGATAAGCCGAAACTTTAATCACTGACTTGGTTATCTGTTGACAATGGTGCCTGACACTGGGTGGAAAATGTTGCAAAGCAGGTGAACATGTTGGCTTCGAAGTGAGTGGGAGCAGCAAAAACGAGCAAGTGTGGCAAAGCATCTGAGTAAGAGCTGCTGGGAAACTGCAGCTCTTATGTGGTGATTACACTCTGCAGGGATCAGGACTCACCAAAAGTGGTTCATGGAATGAAAACTGGACAAAGTCTCGGGAGGCCAATGTTTATTGGTGTGCACAGGGAATGAAGGCTGACCCATGGGGTTTGATCCGACAGAAGAGCCACTGGAGCTCAAAAAGGTTAAAGCTGGTTCTTATGGGAAGGTGCCAGTCCCACAGACGGCTCTAAGTACAAGCAGACCAAGAACTGCCAGGAGGTGCTCGAGGCAATTCAGTCCGTCTCATCAACGCCACAGCGACTAAAAAAACCATGATCGTCCACATGAAACTACGGTATCATAATCATCATCATTTCTAGCTCGCCAAGATCTGGGTCTAAACGTTCTTCAGAAATAGAGAGAGACGAATTCTGCAGAGCAAAATGAGTTGAATAGACCATTCAACAACAGAGAAGAGTCTTGTGACTCAGGGTCTTGTGGGTGGGATCGAGTGCAGACCTGGATGAAGGATTTCAGGTAAGTAGGAGCCATTTTTGTTGCTGTTCACAGGCAAGAAGTAGGATTTTACATCTGATGTGGGCTGAGCCAGAGAGAGGGACAAACTGGGAGTGACGTGCTGCTCTGGGTTAGCTGAAGATCACTGCTGCATTCTTGATCATCTACAGAGGTTTGCATGTGCATGTAAAGAGGCCTGCAGTAGTCATGATATCACCAAAGCCTGTATGAGGAGCTGTGCTGCACGCTCTGTCTGGTGGGCTCTGTTATTCCTGATGTTAAAGAGGGCAAATAGGTGAAGGAAATACCTACAACTGAGAAGTTTTATCTCCTCTGCTCAAAACAATTCTTTGCTTATCCCAGTTTTATCATCCTGAGAAGAAAATATTACAAAGAAATGTAACATTAAAGGTTTGATTTCATTATGGTACAATTGGATTGCATCTGGTTCAAAGGAAAATGCATTATCCAAACTTGAGGCATGGAGACTTGAAGGAGAACATCCCGGAGGATAGTTGGTACACAGCCTGTGAGAAATCCCAGACTCAAACAGCTAACACTGACTTAAAATTACTTCAGTACAACTGGTGAATGCAGACTCATGTAACCCCTGTGAAATTGAATAAATACAACAGCAACAAACCTGATAAATGTTTTAAATGTAGCAATGCCCAAGGAACCTTAATACATTGCATTTGACAAAACTAAGAGTATTTTGTTAATTGACATTCCAATAATGTTGTTGGATTCAAGCTGGATGTCTACACTCTTTGACAAGTTGAGCCGTCATCCATTTTGAAATTTCACTCAGGTGTAATGAAATTTCAGGCTGAGACAGTTGTGCCATCAGGTGGAAACATAGACTGTATATAGAATGGACGCCGTCTGCCTCCTCGCTGGGTGAAGCCACCACAAGATCAGCACCCCCTGGTGACGGGCTGCAGTATAGGTCATAAATCCCGCCTCCTCCAGCAATCCCTATGGAGCTGTGGACAAACTTGAAAAATTAATTACACAGAATATAAATGTTTCTCCCCCTGGTTGTGATGTTGACGTTGACATGTAGTTACTGTGAGATTTGTTTGTGCTCAAGTCCTCTTTTTTTCTGTCCCACTCCAGTTAAGATTCAAATTATTAGGGGGTTCTATTTTCAATGATTGACACTTGATACAGCCTATGGGCGAATATTGTGTAGCTCACCCAAGGGATACACTGTTTGAGCCGAGCGTCATCACAGTGACTCTCGTACAATGCTACTGCGCAAGTGGTGGTTCCAGAAAGTGGAGAAAATCCTGAAAATACTGAGAACAATTCGGCTTCAAATTCATATAATGACGGAAGGCGGAGCCAAGTTGTCCATAGTATATACAGTCTATGGGTTGAAGTGATATAATCGGGTATCATCAGCATAGCAGCGATTTGGGAAACAATCAGCAGTCTAGTCAGAGTTTTAGTTTGCTGTATTTCTCATTTTTGCAGCAGGTTTCTCTGTGCTGAACTTTTTTCAACCACTGCAGCGAGTTTGTCCTTGTCGGCCAGGATGATGACTGTCAGGTGGACTCAATCTGCAGCCACACTGTTGCTTCCTATAATCTCTGCAGGCTCATCCCTTGAACTGATTTTTTTTTGTGTGACAGATTTGATTGGGATTATCAGTAAAAAGTGATCCTGGAAAGCAGTACCAGACAAATGTTCTGATTTACATAATGAGGTGAAGGTCTGTGAGGGGGATTCAGATTTATCCGGCCAAGTGCAGCTTTGATGGCAGCTAACAGGCCAAATATTTTCCAACTGTGTTTTTATTGTACCAGCAGTGGAGATCTTTGGCTGTCAGTGCGGCTCGCTCAGCGCTGTTGGAAAGAGGAAGCAGGCAGCGAGGATGCCAGCTCTTCTAATAACAACGCTGTGTGATTTTGGGAGCTAAAGCACCTCTCACAACACAAAAAAGAGCTCACTCCCACTCTCACGCATTCGTTTATCCATTTCTGCAGTCAGAAATCCACAGTGTGTATTTAAGGAGGCAGAGAGGAGGGTGTACCTGCTGTGACTTTGTCTGCAGGCGTCGTAATATTCAAGATTCATCCACTCCTCCTCTCCTCTCTTCTTCCTCCGCTGCACCACTTCCTACCTCCATGACAGCTTGTCTTTGTTTACTTCGCTCTTGTAGCTCACTTCACTGTTTTACTTCCTTATCATGAGATATTAAAGCTCATTACCCAACACTCTCAAGCAGCCGCTCGCTGCCTCTCCCCTGAGTGACATAATCCGTCATGAGCTGTTTTAGTTCAGTCTGAGTTTTCATCCTTTTTTCTGTGCCGTGTATGTTTTCATAATCAGCTCTGTATTACACTGCCTGTCAATCACCTGTCACACTTAGAAAGGAGCAGAAGTCTCCTCCAGGAAAAAAACCTCAGATACATGTCGCTGTATAAACTCAGCTTGTCACAACATTGACGCTTCGTTTGAGCCTCATGTGCCGACTGTTGGGTCCACAACAACAAACCATGGCTTTTGTTAAACAGTTCATGTAGACCGGACTTTGTAAGTTACAGCTGAAAACACTTTTTAAGTAGAGCTGGGCGATATGGCCTCAAATCAATATCATGTTATATTGAGCAGTTCACCTCAATAACGATAAATGGACAATAACTAACCTGTCTTTCCCTCTTTGTTATGGACTAGATGGGGTGGAGTCACGTCTCTGATGTAGGACAGCGTCTTAAAGGGACATGAGACCATAGCCTTCCTACACACATCCAAAACCAACTTTTATTTTTTTATTTATTTTTGACCCTGAATATATTGACATGGGCAAAATGATGTTGGTTACTGTTGTAAATTTTGGTATCGGTAAATTATTGCCCAACCCTATTTTAAAGGGTTAGTTTGGTATTTTTTAATTGACGTTGTATAAGTACTTGTTACTTACAATAACAAGAGTGGATAAAAGTCAACACTTTAGGGTCTGAAGCTAAGCTATACCTGGCTGCAGATGGGAGCTTAAAATGTCAATTCAAACTTTTTCAGTTTAACTGCATGCCATATTTTTAGATTTCACCATCTAACCTCAACTTTAACTCTTTGGGACTTTCTTTTTAAGCCCTATATTCCTTCATCTGCATGTAGTGCCCTGTGACAGATCAGCTGCCTGGGTCACCTTTTAGTTGCAGAGTCAGCAAACACAAGAAAAACATTTTGAGAGACACTAGAGCTGTCAGATTTGGCCAAAAATGAAGTCTGGACACTTCTGTTGATTGTTAATCCTTTTACAGCCAGTACAGGAGTCGCCTGTTTTACCCACTTTGTGCAGAAGTTTCAATTTGATTAATTTCCAGCTATCCTTTGAATACAAACAAAGACTTGTTGCATTAATTAAAGAGTTATTATTAAGAGAGGATAGGTAATGATAGGATAGGGACGCCCTGAGATAACGGTTCAGAAGTTACAGATTATGGTCATGCAGAACAAGGTGTTAAAGGGGAAGTGCTTTTTTTTCAACTTGAGTCTCCTGTTTGTGGGACCTTGTCTGATGAGGAGAACACTTTCTAAAATTGGTCCAGTATTGAGGGATAGCAGAGCTGCAAAACGAGCTAAAACGTAGTTTTCACCGTTCAATTACCCTCATCAAACTGCATCCACTACAAGTGCTTTGTTTCACCGCTGACAGGCTCAGATTGTAAACAGAAAGACAAGGGTTTCCCTTACTTTCCACTTGTGACAGTCTGTATAAAAGCAATTGTGTCAGTCTGACATCTCGCAACAAGTGAGATCTTGCTAAACGTCTCCACCAATGAGTTTGATTTTAGAGTCTACTTGTCTTCACATTTGATGTATTCGTCCCTCCAGCCCATTTATACCAGCTGTCCTCGTCTCTGAGCGTCAGTATCATCAGAAGTGTAAAATAATAGCGTGTTTTGTGTCCCTCTCTGCCCCAGAAGTTTAGCCGAGCTCATATTCGAAGTTCCAGCCATCTCAATCATCAACTTTTTCCCCTCATTAGCTCCAGACAGATCCAGACTTGATATTTGGGGGGGTGGGGGGAACACACCTCTGTCTGAATCCCAACTCTACACCTAAAAATCAAACCAAACACAAAAGCACCAGCACCACCGCCACAACAATAAATAATGGAGACAGATGAATAATTACGGCAAGGGGAATCAATTCCAATTCAAAGTTTCTGACAAGTTAATGGATGAAGTTGGAGTTGGGCCGCGGTGCTGATGTAAAGAGCTGCCGGCAGCCGGAGATGAAGGTAAAATCTCAACTCTGCTGATATGATCCACTGCGTTCCCTCTGTGATTGGAAATCTCATGATGTATGGAGGAGATGAGGGAGAGTATTGACTTAGCTCGCACAATCATCGCTCTCATTGCACACCTCAAGGTCCCGTATTAATCATTCATTGCATTGGGAATTAATTCTATTTTCAGTGAAGAGCTCAGATGCACAAAAGCACAATGTGAAAGTGCTCTGTTAAAGTCAAACTCCTGCAATTAAAGCTTCACTGAAGTTCAAGAAAATACATGTCAAATTTACCCGTTTCTAAAAAATAGAAGTACTCTCTCCAGACCTCGTTCAGGATGTTTGACTCAATATTGTGTTGTAGGATTGTTAATCCTGATGCAACAGTGTGTAAGCAGCATTTTTACTGGCGTAGCTGGTGAGCTTGTTGCGACAGTTCAGTAGTTTTCCAAACTCAGGCAGAAGAGAGAAACCGGAGAGATGGTATTGAGGTTAAAAATAAGTCCTGCTGTTGTCTTTTCTTGTTTTAGGTACTCAGGAGTTTTACTGATCAGACGGCTTGACCAGGTATCGATGCTGCTGTCAGTGTTTCTAATTTAATGTCCACCACTGCTGGGAAAGAAACCAGAGGATGATGTGACTGAGAGTACATCCATATTTTATCCAAGCTGTGCTCAAAGCTGACTTACTGTTGCTTGTTTTTGCCAACCTTGTGAATAAAAAGCAGAAAAATAACCTAAGCTGTTAGATAAATGTATCATCCTTTATTGAAAAGACATTTTACTGTCAAGGTTTCAAAGTGCTTCTTAAAGGCAGCGTAACAAAACAAAGAAGTCACAAAATCATCAGGCATTTATAGAAAAAATTAGGGATGTCCCAATCCGATATTGGTATTGGATATCGGTCTGATATCAGTGAAAAACGAATATCGGATTATACCGGCCTGCATCTAAAATCTCCGAAATCAGTACTCTGATACAAGCAGTTCATTCCAGACTCCGCTCCGACACCTCTATCGAGCATGCAGAGCTTATGTGATCACAACAACAGTGTGTACTAAGGTACTAACAAAGTAGAGAGGAGTTGGAGGGATGTCGGCCGTGTGGCAGTATTTTTTGTTAAAAGTCCGAAAAAGACGTTGCAGCTGAGTGAAAACTTGTCATGCACAACTTTGTACCAATATCCGATCAATATCGGTATTGGAAGTCAAAAGTTGTATCGACACCCCAAGAAAAAATGGAAATAAATTCAGTGCAGGTAAAAACAAATTAAATGGAAACAAAGTTTGAAGAAAATCTACGACTCAGGTCTTGTTAGAAGTGGTGGTCTTAAGGAGATTTTTAGGGTAGGACTCGAGTAAAAATCAAAGACAAGCAAACCTGTGGCCTCCTTGTCTTAAGAGTCGGACTCAATTCTAAAAATCCTGATTTCTTAAAAGAAATTTTCCTGACTCCTGATGATATATACAGTTAAAAAAGCCTAAAAAGGATCTACCTGCACGGGTATACTAAATCTATGTATGGGAAAGACCACATTAACTATCAACTCTCAGCTTCTATCATATTTGATCAGATATAAGATCAGGCTCATTGATCTACACCTGTTATCACTATGAGAGCCGTCATACCTGACTGTGGGATGAAACTTTCTGCCCCTGTCTTGCTCAGAGTTGTTGAGATCAGTCCTGAATCACTCCTCGGAGGCTCAGACTCCTTACTCATCATCTTAAAGCAAAGTAAGGATCTCTTTGTGGAGGTATTTGTGCAGACTTCTCTAGAGTTTTAGAGGCTCTCACAGTAAACTTCGTGTCTTTGTTGGTTTTCAGCCGAGCCTTTGAAAGACAGAATAACTTTGGCCGAGAGTCTCATTTCAAACACGAGAAGGTAAGAAATACGGAGCAATAACGAGCCTGAAAAAGTAATCAGCAAAATCCTGAAACCCATTTCAAGCCGGTAAAGAAAAGTGAAAAAGAAGTGATTGATCTGATGTGCTGGAGTTTTTTCATGCCGGTGCTGATCAATAGATTTTTTCAGGTGAGTAACTGTCTGTGAGTGAGAAACAGAAAACAAACAGTCTCTTAAAAAAGACTCACAGAAGAGACATGAATCAGACCAAAACCACCACGAGCTCAGACTTTGTCACTTGAGTGTTTGTAACTGTTGCTGTTACTCATCCTCTCTGTGACTGCGAGGCTTGCAGAGCTCCGAGTCGTCACAGCGCTAACTTTGTTTGGCAGCTAAATCTGATAAAATCTTCTTTTTTTCGATGCAGTACAGATGGAGCAAATCATAATTTGCATCCATTATCAGTGAGAAAATTCAGTCTCCTTCTCCTCTTCGGTTTTTGTGATGGTCTTAAGTGTCAGCTGTCGACCTTAAAACGCTCTCACAGCAAACGTGAACTTTTAAAAGAGTTAATTGAGACTTGTTCTGACACGATCGGCATTGATTCCTCTGGCAGGAAATCCATATTCATATTTGAGGGAGGAGAAGGTCACGAGGCAAAACGCCAAAAGACCAGTCACCCGTGGATGTCTTTGAGCAGGACTTTGCATCGCCTCATCAATTTTTAATTGATTTATTCATCTATTCATGAATTAGCCCAGCTTGTCTCCAAAGCACACATGAATATCTAAAGTACACATGCGGCCTCTGATGCCATAATTGCATTCCCTTGTTGTATCAGCAGTCAGCTGACTGTCACTCTTCATCATGGCCGCTAATGGTTCCGGGTTGTTTGCTGCTCGGAGGAGCTGACGGGGAACTTTTGCCCCTAATGAAGTCGCTCCTGAGAGGAGATTGTTGAAATTAGAACCAACAGACAAGTTCCCCCGACAAAACGCAGCAAATAATGGTTTTAATCAGGCGTGTGGACGACGGTTCTGCAGCCTGTTTTCTGTTTGAGCGGACTGAACACTGACAGTCGCTCCAGGCTGTTGGTATTATCATCACGTAAACTCTGGCTGTACAGTATTATCCCCCCTCTGCAAGAAATAGACAGACCCACACCCACTCAGTGCAACAACAAGTTCAATAATCACAATGTCAAGACTTTGAGCGAACGCATGGTGGCTGCAGCGTTTATTTGTTGTTTCATCTTTGCACATCCTCAAAGTTTGATGCAAACTGGAGGTGCAGAGGCAGCGTGGAGGCAGAGCAGACGTGGTAGAGTGGGGACTGATTTGAGCGGTGATGGGCATTACAGGTAGCAACATTAACTACATTTCCCAAGTGGCTTGGCGGTAGAGTTACTGGAGCAGCCTAGAGTTCCTGGCCTTATGCTGGGTTCGAGTTACCTTGGAAGTCAGATGCCCGAGCTGGGAATGACATCACACCCGAGATACCAGAGTTTCAGTTACCAAGTCGGAAAAAAGAAAAATCGGAGGCGGAAGTGAGATGGCTACATCTACGAAAGTTATTTTAGCGCTTGTTATTTTTGTTATTTTAAGTTATTTTAGCATCCCCTTTCGTAGATGTAGCCATCTAGTTTCTGCCTCCGATTTTGCTTTTTTCCGACTTGGTAACTGAAACGCTGGTTACTCGGGTGTGACATCATTCCCAGCTCGGACATTTGACCTCCAAGGTAACTCGAATGCAGCATTAGTCCATCATGAAAGTCGAAACACAGAAGCGTAACCATAGACGACTATCTTCTTTGGTGTGATGGCGCTTAATCTAAAACTTTACGTAAACTTCCGATAATGCATGCATGTTGACAATTCCCTGATTAGCTGCACAATCAACCCATGGTTAATGCTTTGTATCAGGTGGTAGATATTCGAACAATAGAGGCCACAACAGCACATGCATTTATGTATTCATCACACAGCTGTGATAAACACTTGAATCTGATTGGTTGTTGTTAAGCAGCCCATAGCAACAGTCTTTTATTTCTTGATAGCAGACTCCCGTTTGGGTTGTGGGTCTAATCACAGACTCTCAGAGGCCAAATGTAATCATATAAAAGGGATTTCCCAGACTAAACCTCAACAATGGCTCAGGCTGAAGCATCTTAGAGTATTACAGCAGTGTCAAAGTGCCTTAGATATGCTACACATTATGCGTGATATTATTGCATGATAATGGTTCAATGTTTTCAAAGATGTTTGTTCCAAAAAACTCTCTCGGTCAGCATCTTCAGAATAAAGAGATCAGATTTGACAGCTGCTAAACAGCCAGTTTATGGAGCTCTCCTCACGGCATCTGGATTTTTATTTTTGTCTGTCTATTCATGTTTTGATTTTCTTACTCTACAGCCAATGATTGCATTATGCTGCTGCAGGGGACAGGAATATAATGACAGTGTGTCCTTGAATGCACCGCCAAGGACAGCTGTGAATAGTTCAGAGTAACAACAGCAACAAGGACGAAGCATTACTAAAAGTGGCTGAATAATCAGGGTCATAAATCTGTCAATACGAAGAGCACTGTGGGAGGTTTGCAGCCCGTCAGTTTGACATTAGCAGAAACACTCGGCTGGGGGGAGGGGAGCGACGTAAGGTGTATTTTAACTGTACAATACAATAACATTACACTTTTCCTCAACCTGCAGCCTCAGTTTGAGAGCATTTTATATTTGACAGCTGAACTGTCTTCGACAAAAATCACTGAGTGTTCTTTATAATAAAAATGCGGCACTGTGTGTGCTTCGGGTAGATGTTAAAATAAACTATGCAAACTTGAATTTTTCTTTCATTCCTCCCTAAGAGCAGATCCATCAGTCGAACTAGCTTGACTGTCAGGGAGAACTGCAGCTAAGGAATAAAAGTCTGTCCGTCTGTATCATGATGGTCATGTGACTTATTCTGTTTGGGAGTCAGATCTAGGGAAAAATTAATTAACATTTTGCCATTATTGTTGAGTTTCAAAATAAAAGCTTTAAAATATAGACTAACTAATAAATACAGCTTTTTCTTTATTTCCTACTTGAACTGCTGATGTGTTGAGTTAGACAGTGCATTGACTGATTAGGAATAATAGTGGCAGTGTTTCCCCTACATTCATTCAGCAGCGAATTACGTGCTCTGCTACTGAAAATTTGCACGATCATGAATATCGTTGCACCACTAATGATTTGTACCAACGCTGAATGGACAAGTGTAAATTCATAAAATTATTTTTTATTGAATATTCACACTTACCATGGACTTATTTTCCTTGAATAAATAACAAAAGTTAATATTTTGAAAATGTAGCTGAAGGACGAATATGTTTTGACAGGTGTTTATGTGAATCAGATTCCTGACAGGGTGAGCAGAAACCCCGACCTGCTCTCTGTTTACACCCGTAACTAAAGCTATAAACAAGCTAACCCAGATTATAAATTCTGAGTTGATTTTATTGATTTCAAAATGATTATTTATGTAGTTACAATAAAAAACTCCCCCTGATTCCACTAATAGTGATGTTACCATGGCAACAGGTTCCTATCAGCCTACTTGCGGGACATTTTAATATAAAAGTGAATATTTCTCTTCCCCCTCGGGTTCAAACTGAGCCTGTTTGTTTGTAATAACTTACATAAATCTGTATTTCCATTGAAGTCAGTGTTAGAAAAGGTGAACTGGATGCATTAATCCAGGTTTTCTTGCAGTTAAAGAGAAATAACAGCAAACATGGACGACGAAAACATGACTCTGGTTCCAGTCAGAGCTGGACAGATGTTGCAGCTTCCCACTTTCAGTTCTTCCCGTATTAAAGCATCTGCTCTTGAATTAGTCCTGTGCTTACAGGAGCTTTGTAACAGCAGGGACTCCGTGTTAATTTGTGGTCTTACATGTTGTGATCTAAATGATTTAGGACGCTAACATTTTAAACAGATGCAGCACATTTTCAACACCCAGAGCTCTTCACGCCTCCAACACGAGCACATCTGCAGCTCTGCCATTAATCTGTTTTCATGCCGAATTAGGGCGAATATCACACGAGGACACAGCAGCATGGAAAATATATGTAATCTACATTTTAAGGGGCTTGGAGGATTATTATAATTGCAAATTGGCAACTTGACTCCTGGCCTTATTTCCACGCAGACCCAGTTTGAACCGATAATTAAAGGCTACATGCACTCAGAATTCATAGATCCTCTTATTGAGGGCAGCTTGGTGTCCTGCTTTTTGAATTTGTCCCTGGTTTTATTTAGATTTCTGCATCTTTAGACAGAAATCATACACTGTAGAAACCTAGAGAAACAGTGCAAAGACAGGTTAAAACTTAACTCTTATTGTCTTAAAAATATATATGCTCATTTCAGATGTAGTTCCAGTAACATGTTCAGAAAACGCACATCAACTCTTATTAAAACCGAACTCTGTGAAATTTGGGGGCCAAGGAAAGTACCAGTATCTGGAGTTTGAAATAAAATGTGGGTCCAGCAGTCAACATTTCTGTATCTGTCACTTTTGCAATGGGTGTCAATTCAGGACTGCAGACAGTTGAGAACTGGGCATCCAAGATTTCCAAATAGACGGTCAAATCTGGATTTCATAGACCGCTGGATAGTTTTTCACTTCAGCTCAGTTCATCTTAAATGTGCTCAAGCTCAGGCAAATCACAGGCATTTCTGGATCATGTCTATGAATGGTTTCCTCTTTTCCATGATTGTACGCTTAGGAACAAAGGATTTGGAAGTGATGCAGTGACTTCCAATACAAAGTCATGTCTATTTAATATGTTTTATTTTACCCACATACACAAGCAGGGAACAATTAAGGACATGAGGAAGATCTTTCCAGGTAAGTCATCTGACATTGCAGCAGAGCAACGTCATGCACTGCTGGAGGTGATTCAGGATAGATGTCAGTGTGTCCATGAATGCACCATCAAGGACAGCTTTCAAACAGGTCCTCATACGATGACAAGAGGATGGTGTGATAAAAGTGAATGAACGTTACAGCCATGAATCCATCTGACACATATCAGACTCTGTGTAAGCATCTCCTTTGTAAATCTTAAAGGGCCTGAAATTTTCAGGAGGATCGGTAAGGTCAGGGCCGGTCAGGGCTGTTGTTGTTGGATGGAGGCTTCACAGGCATTTATTCATAAGAAGGAGAACTCTGCTTTGTTAGTCATTTAAGTGGACAGGAGCATTTAGAGTTTCGTTTGTATCACCTTTGACAGACGGTAAAAACATGAAAAAGATCATCAGTGTGTTCGCTGACTACTCCTAAAGAGAAAAAAGTGATGAGAGCTGACCCTGAATCCAAAACGAAGAGGTAGACACGCTAAAAAAAGAGGCAGTTTGGAACAGTCAGGTGTGGAAGGCACTTTAGATACTGAGAAATGTTAAACCCAAAACTAACTAACTCATTTACTAGTTAATGATCTAACTAGCCAGCTAACTAACTGACTGACTGACTAGCTGACTAACTGAAACCTCATTATCTTCCTGATTTTAGGACCCTGATCTATTTCATCTAATTTTAAATTCTTGGAATCCCTTTTTGAAATATTTTCCCTCACTTTCTGTTTTTATTGCTTTGATTTTGATTCCTTTGACTTTAACGCTCTAAGTTTCTTTTATTACCTTTAATTTTGCTGCTTTAACTTTTAATTCTTTCAAATGGTTTTACTATAGACTGTACATAGAATGGATGCCATCTGCCTCCTCGTTGGGTGAAGCCACTCTGAGAGCAGCACCCTCTGGTGACGGGCTGCAGTATAGGTCATATATCCCACCTCCTCCAGCGATCCCTATTGAGCTGTGGACAAACTTTATTACACAGAATATACATTTTTCTCCCCCCTGGTTGCGATGTTGACATGTAGTTACTGTAAGACTGGTTTGTGCTCAAGTCCTCTTTTTTCTGTACAGCTCCATTTTTAAAAGTTATTAGGAAGTTCATGTTTTCTATGATTGACAATTGATACAGCCTATGGGTGTATAAGGATTGCGTAGCTCACCTGTGGGATACGCTGTTTGAGCCGATTGCATCACAGCGAATCTTAGCAACTCTCCCGCCGAATGCGTACAACGCTACTACGCAATGTTGGTTTCAGGAAACAGAGAAAAAACGCAGAATTACAGAGAGCTTTTCGGCTTCAAATCCGTATACTGGGGGAAGGCGGAACCAAGTTGTCCATAGTATATACAGTCTATGTTTTTTATCCTTTCTAATGGCTCATATCTCCTTTTGACTCTCTTATTCCATTCCTTTTTCTTTATAAAGCCTATGCTCTTATCTTTCAACTTTTTATTGGCCCATCTCCTCTGAAAACTTAATTATTTCACCTCTTTTATTTCTCTAAATTAACTTTGAGAGCCTGTATTACTTAATTGCTTTTATTTTGTTCCCTTTTGATGTCTCTTTCAATTGCTTTCAGTTGTTTTCAGATTGCTTTTTTCTCTTTTAATAAATTAATTCCTTTTATTATATTTATCTCGTTCAGTAGTTTTTTTTCCTCTTATTTAGCTTTACTTTTCCTTTAATGTTTTTCTTCTTCCCATTTATTAGTTTCTTTATTGCTGCTATGCGTTTTATAATGCACTGTTTTTTTTTCTCCATTTTTTAAATCCTTCAAACCAAAATACTATTTCAGACAAGCGTTCCTAAAGTGGGTTAATTATCGGGAAAACCAGGTTAAATGATATCAAAACTTTTAGAGCTCCCCCTGGTGGTGGACCGAAGCAAAGGTCTAAAAACCTGATTCCTCCAGAGGGGACACTGGACAAACCGCAACATTAACACTGAAGCCTGAAAAATTCCTCAGAAACATGTATTCTGTGACGGCAGTGAGCTTGAATCATGCAGATGTTTGAACCTGTGCACACGCCTGTGAAATTTTAAAGTTTCATCCTTTCCTCTTTGAGTGCAGCAATTTTCTTTACCTACAGCATAAATCTGCTAAGTGTGAATTTAATCTGAGCTGTGCAGCCGTGGTGTGAGGTGTTGCTTCTCTCAACAGACAGCAAGGAGACAGAGAGAGAGAGAGAGAGAGAGAGAGAGAGAGAGAGAGAGAGAGAGAGAGAGAGGGTGGAGGCGTGAGCCAATAAGAGACAGCGGGTGCAGACACACTCTGTTTGTGACACCTTGTGGTGGAGAGTGAGGGGGCGGCAGAGATGGAGAGAGAGAGGGGCACCACTGGATAGAGAGAGAGAGAGAAAGAGAGAGGGGGATCAAAGCAGAGGAAGAGACAGAGGAGGAGAGAGGAGGATGATAGCAGCGCTGCAGAGAGAGCGAGCGAGCGCCCAGTGTTTACTCCACTTTTCCTGAGAGCCGGTTATCTCCCCTCTGCGTGACTCATGGAAGTGATTTAGGTGAGAGGAGCGTCTGCAGGAAGCCACAGATCTGTTTGTGCATCTGCGCCGCGTGCAGGTAAGCTCTCTCTGCGTCTTCACCTCATTGTTTAATGTCTTGGAAAAGGACCAAACAACTTCTGCAGACTTTGGGTCCATTTCCCCCTCCTCCCGCTCCTCTAATTGGCTCCACGTTCCTCCTGTGAGCAGAGTTTGTGCTCATGCAGGCTGTATGTGCGAGCGTGTAAAGTGTGAAAGGCGTGCTGCGGCTCCTCTCTGACAGTCTGAGCAGCATTTAGTGGCTTCGTATTGACAGGCGGGCTCAGCGGGACTCAGGGCTGGAAGAGGATGAGAGGGAGATGAGTCAAATCTCTGCTCCAGGGACCAGGAGGGTAAGAGCATCAGAGATGATGATCCCAATCTGAAAAAAAAGCAGGGAGAGATAATAGATAATCTTGGGCTGCCAGCCAGATTAAACACTCCTCTTTTTAATAAATTTCAGAGTGTGCGGATTCTTCCCAGCTGCTTTCTTGAGGTGTGTGGTCTCTTGTTTCTAAATTCTTGGAGGTGTAGAGGCAGGTGATGAGGGATATGTGACAGCTGAGCTCTATCACAGCTTTCATCATGACTCCAGCTGGTAAACTGCAGCTCAGCTTGTGTCACAAATCCCCCCCTCTGTCCCCTCAGCAATGTGGGAATAACCTGCCTTCATCTCCCGGCTGGATTAGAGTGATTTACTGTTGCTCCCCCGTCAGCCCGGGTGTGTTTGTATGGGGTTTGACCTGTAATGGCACCTAATGGTGTCATATGTTATCTCTGAGAGGACACTGTCAGTCAGGACGCCACATCCAGATGTAATATGACAGCTGTTATTAATGTTGGCTCTCCTCATGACCCTCATCAGGAGTTATACGGGCAGAGGTGCAGGATGAGAATTAATGGTGGTCTTAAAATTAGAAATTACATTTATTGCCGTCTGGATTTACTGTCACTCTCTCTTCCGTAAAGGACATACAGAGAGGATATTTTTATCTCCACAACACAAGACTGAGATGAATCTAGAAACTGTTGTATTCATCTCCTGTATCGATCTTCTCCTCCTTTCTCCACATTCATATGAAGAAAAAGTCCTTTTCATTGATTTCGTCTGCCTCTCTGTACCTGCGTCCTCTCCCCAGTGAGCAGCGGTATGGATTTAATACAGCGGATCAATAAAGGAGTGCAGCGCTCACCTGGTTTGACCTTATTCCTCCTGCTCCGTGTGGGAAGAGGAAGAGTCTCTGACATGTTTTCAGATCCAACTCTACCTACTCGTCTTCTTTTCTTTTCCCTTCTTCCTCTGAACTTTAAAAAATAATAAATAAATAAAAGCATCTCCTTTAAATTCAAGGCATCATATGAAAGTTTCAGCGCCGCAGCTGGGTGAAATAGCTCACTCTGGAGGATCAATAAACAGGGAGAAACAATGTCAGGGTGAGGCGGTGCAGCCAGTAAACAAATTTAACAGCTTGTGTCGAGGCAGGTGGACTAACAAATCACCGCCGTTTTGTTTAATGTCAAAAAACATCCAAGGAAGTAAAGGTTTCAGAGCGTGCAGGGACAGGGTTTTAAGAGGAAGTCCTGGTTCCATGTGGACTCAAGCTTAAATCTGCTCTCAGAATTTGCTCCAGAGGCTAAGAAACTTTTCATGATAGTGATAAAAAAAGAAGTTATAGTACTCTCTAAAATCCTCATGTGGCTGCACTAGGAAAGAGCTGTGGTGCTTGTAGATCTGTCTCTGGGATGTTTATGTCCTAAAAAGCCAGTTTACTCAGGATGCACCGATCTGATAAAGCAAACAGAAACCGATCGCTTCAGACTGCAGGTCTTTTCTCGATAGTACTTGGAAATTTTCCATTATCAGTTATTTCCGCTCAGCCAACAAAATAATCTTATTTCACAACAGTTAAAGACAGAATCGTAACACTCTTGTACTGGATCTGTACTTATCCCTGAAAAAAACCTTCATTTAAAGACACAGTGAGGAGTTTTCAGCTGGTTTTAGAATAGTCTCACTCACACTGATGCCTCTGCATGACCTACATTGTTAAATAAGAGTACCACACTGAATTTTAGCACCTGAGTTCAGGTGGGAAAAAATCAGAGTCGATTTCTGTCACTTATCCTGAAGTGTCCGTTTAGAGTCCTGCAAGTGAAGTTTGATACTGAGAAGTGAGGAGGAGTTTTTCTGCACTTTTTACATCGTTTTTTAGACTTGTGGTTAAAACTAGAGCAGGTTAGTGAAATTAGCAGTGTATTTTGTCAGACAGAAAACTTCTTAGTCCAGGTCCTGCCTGCTCCCACTAGATCCTGCTAATGTTCTGATCCATTCCTTCGACACCTGAGCTAATTCTGACATTTCTATTTACACATATAGGTATATAATATGTATATAATCATATACAAACACCTATCTCTGTTGTCTCATAAAACAGCTTCAGTGTTTTCTGTCCGGTTACCTGATCCTGTCTGACTACATCTGGGACCTGCAGGGATTTTTCTAACCTGTTCTTGTGAGATTTTGTGTTGGGTGCATTTGGACTTCTGTGATCCAGGTTCCAATGCAGACCTTCATCATGATGTTAAGACTGTAATGAATGGCATTTAAGATTGGATCACCTTTTGTAAGCTGACAGATGGCAATACGCCAGAGTTAGCAAATATCTGTCCTTATCTCTTTGATGTAGCTACAAATCAGCTCTCTTCTTCACCCCTCTGTGTCTTGCATAAAGTAGTCTTGAGCAAAGAAAAGTAGAGTTATAAAGATCAGTATTCAATCATGTGCTTCCACAATAAATGCACGCTTTTGCACCAGACAAGTCTTAACCGTAGTGGGTGATGGTGCTCATGGGAAATGCAGTCTGAATCCTGGAAAAAAAAAAAACAAATTCGAGTCAAAGCTAAAAAATCTGCAATCGTTTTTTTTTTTCTTTTTTTGTGTCAAATTTGCACTACTTTCATTAAACTTGATGAGCAGTTGTCTGCCTACCTAAACGCCCGAGCTTCTGTTTGGTCAATTCCGCACTTCTGTTCCCCCTCAGAATAAATCTCAGGCAGCAATTATGTGACTCAGGCACAAGAAAACAAACAGTTTGTATTTCCTTTCTTTCCAATCAGACAGGATTGAAAATGGAGCTGATCAAATTTGCCTTAAATGAGCCTCCAAACACATCATGTTGCCGGACTTAAATGAGTTGACTCTGAGTCATTTAGCGTCAACACTTTTTACCTTCCATCTGGCGAATCTTTCATGCCTCTAGGATGAAGCACCTCACCGCTGACTGAACACAACAACAAGTAAAAACCAAAACTCAGAAGTCATTCTTTATTTAAACAGCGGTTAAAACGGCTTCAACTCTCTCAAGTATCCATCCGCTTTGACGCAGAAGACAAAATAGTTTTCTTCTGTTGTCGGCCTTCAGTGGTCCATCCTCTTTTCTGCTTCCTTTTGTCAGGTTAAAGTGTGAAAAATATGGAAGGTGGGTGGACTGCTTACTTTTAAACAAGAGACAAAGTCTACTCCGCCATCTGCTCGCAGCTCGATGAGTTATTTTTTAATCAAGACCACAGAATCTCTCTCTGTCTCTCTCTCGCTTCTGCAGTTTAGCGTCTTGTACAGTGAAAGGCGTGAGCGTTTGTAACATCAAACCCAAGTCTGAATCCAACTACGGCTGCAGGCAGATGCTGGATTTTTTAGTTTTTCCAACAGGTTACCTGCTGCTGATGCCTTCAGAGTGGGTTTCGATTTTCACTTTTATTTTTGGATCTGTAAAAGAAAAGTCTGATTCAGACTCACTTTGAAGAGAGAAATCCTGAAGGCGTGAGGTCTGAGGCTGAATTAGTGCCGCTCTATGAACATGTCTAACGCGGTCGAAATTCAGTAAACACAAAAGTTTTGTGTCAGATCTGCGGTTTGGGTGACTGTGAACAATACTTTTTGAAAAGAGTGCATAAATCCATATATGACTATTGTTTCGTTTCCGTGTAAATGCCTATCTGCACCTTTCCTGAAACTATCCCACCAAACACCGACCATTTAGACGTCTTTTTCACGTCGCTCCATCATGACCGTAATTTAGCCCACAAAAAGATGTTGAAAACTGGGCTTTATTAAGACGGTCCGAATCTAGATGTTGCTTAGATGTATGGTGAAGACGTCTTTTCAACCACTTTTTACCGGGTGGGATTTCATCACACACAGGATAAATCTCTTGATCCGTCCAAAACACCTTTATATGGTTGCTCCGTACTCTTCTTCTGCTTTTTGGTTCATTTCGGGGCAGCGTTACGATGCCACTTACTGGCTTGGCATATGGACTTCATTGTTTTCAGTTGTTTTCAGTGGTTTCATGTTTACATGGATATTTCCTGAAACAATTCTGTCTTTACGGTTAACTTTTTCAAAACGAAACGGCAATATATCGTTTTCGCCTCCATGTGGACAAGGCCTACTAAAACTACTGATTAAAATGGCGTCATTGAATTGCAAAGTGCTAGTTCAGGCAGGCCAAGAAGTCAAGCTCAAACAGTAGGGTGACTATAATCTGAATCCCCAAAAAGAGGACACTACTACACTGGGCGGAGTTGCGCACACAAAATTTTTAAAGGGGTTTTGGGTTGGTCGAGTGTTTTTTACGCACTTCTAACTCAGTTAACACAGTACACAAACTCCAAACTTCCATACAAGACCCCGGACATTTGAAGGATTTTTTAAACTCCAAAAAGAGGACATGTCCGGGTAAAAGAGGAGGTATGGTCACCCTACCAAACAGCATTGCATCAGCTGATCCAAACACCAGCCTCCCTTCGCCATCATCCTGGTCACAGGTTGCAAACTCTCCACCCAGGCCGTCTGGTCTTAAAGCTCCATGAAGGAGGTATTGCAATGCACCCCCCTGGAGAGCCACGGCACACTGACTCTGCTAACCCCAGGAGAGTCCTTGAATCTGTGCCTCTGAGTCTCCAAACATAGCTGTGTGTCTATTAAAGGGTTAAATCCATGAGTGGAGTGTTCCTGCCGAACAATAATTTGGAGACAGAGGATAATGAGCTTGTCTTTTCTCCGTCTCTGCACAGATCGTGTCTTTGTCACTGGAGGACGCTCTGTTTGTGCGAGCGTGACGCTGAAGTCTGCTGAACACGTCTCAAATGTCCAGACAGTCATTAAGGAGCGTGTGGGAGAAAATGATCAGTTTTCTCAGCTCTAAACAAAATGTGTCATCGTATATTTCTCTCCTTTTACTTTTTCTGTCTTTCTCTTTTTCAGATCATCTCACTTTATAATTAAGGATCCATGCCAGTCCTGGGCGCTAACAGGAGAAACAGCATACACACCCTGAACACATCATCATCATCATCGTCACCATCAACACCGTTGAGGTAGGAGAACATCAACGCCTGTATTGCATTCTTCTTCTTCTTCTGGTTCTTCGGCATTTTCTCACATCGTTGTCGGATTAGCTGTGATCACACATTTTAATTGATGCCACAGATGCCACTTAACAGTCTGCGTCAGCGTCTTATCCAAATGTGACATTTCTCAGTTTTTTATTGTACCAAAATTTGCACACCAAGTGTGTTTGTCTTATTTCTAGTCTTAAAACCTCATTGCACTCAATATTTACCTGTAAAATCCACATAACATAACATCTAACACCCAATAATGGCTTTGTTTTGAAACGGGGCGTTGAGTTGGAGCACAAAAACACATGCAGCCGTGCTTCTGCTCATGATACAGTCTCTGCGTTTTTGCTGATACAGGGAAATTGGGTTTTTATTGGGACAGAGAGCGAGAGTTTTTCCTCGCCTTCATACATCATGATAGAGCTCCCTGCTATCGCCTCATAACCTCAGCCTTATAAGCAACAGCCTGAGACGTCACTGCGCTTCATGCATAAACAGGCACACACTGACACACAACCAAGAAGAACTTTTGAAGGATCAAGTGTTGTAACATAAGCCACGTTTACATGTGCAGAATTTCTAGATCGGATCAAAAATTTGAGGGATCGGAATGTCTGAATCCTCTGATTATGAGGGCGCAAAATCAAATGATCTGATCATGACGTGCATACACATGCACCAAGTTTTATTTAGATTAGAAGTATTTGGACACGCGCAGAGTTGTCTAATTTCGATGAAACAACTGCAGAAGAAGAGTTGTATTTACGCCTGTGCTGTCAACAAACCAACAAACACGGTAGTGGCTCACTCCATCCAGTTCAGGAGTTTTCCACCCTGTTAAATGTTGTCACTAGATGGCGCCCTTGCATACTTATTTTACTGTTCTGTCAAAGGTTGCACTGTGCTAGCAAATGTGACATCAGTACGCTGTGTGTACGCCTTGTTATGTTATCGAAGGAGCAGACACGGCAACTGAGGTCGTGTTTTATGCCAGAGTGTTGATAATGTACTGACCTCTATATATAAAGAGTGAAGATTGAGTCAGGTAAGAGAGTCACGATCAGAATAAGTGTTTACATGGACGCGTTTCGGGATAACGATCGGCATAAACCACCCATCTCAATCAGAATGCAGTTTCTCTCCGATTGGGCCGAATTGGATCAAAATCTTAAAATAGACAATTTTACGTGATGCTTTTTTATTCTGATTGGGCCTTTATTCTAAATATTTGTGTCCATGTTCACGCGACTATTGACTATAAGATACTGAACGAATATTTTCAAGCAAACATGTGAAGAAAAAGTGAAGAGTTACACTTGAAGAAACCAGTATGTCACTTGTTTGTTTGTTTGTTTGTTTTTTTGTTTGTTTTGCACCACACGGCATTGCAAGATGGCGAGCCTGCTCTGATCCAATGTAGCCGAACCAAAGTGAGCTACTACAAAGAAAACACGACTACTGCACAACAAATCAGTTCAAGTTTAGCTTTGCCTCGGGTTTAATTCTTCATCTCTGAAGATCTTTGTGTGTTTAAATGAGCGTGAAAACCACCTTTTACTCTTCATATCACTCGACCGAAGGAAGTTTTAAAAGTGGCAAAAATCAAAGTCAACTCTGCAGACCTTGTCAAACTTTTTTGTAATTAATTCAAAGTTTCTGTCATCAATTATTCAGCGGCGCTCGGTTTTTTTTTTTTTTTCTGTTCCTGCTGCAACTTGAACAATTTAAAAGTTTCCCACGGTTTGATTCAGAGATCTGCTGTGGAGAGAGACCCCACCGTACGCCTGCATTAAAGATTCATGCGGACAGATGCTCCTGGCTCAGGACAGCGTGTGTTCACGCTCCACTCTGTGTTTCTGCTCAGAACAAATCAGACCCAGATTTGACGAACATATCTGCTTATTTTCTCTGCGCTGAAGAGAAAAGTCTGAACATCAGTGGGTCTGAATTGATCCTGATAGAGAGAGATTACGGTGCAGAGCTAGCGGGGACGTGTGATTTAAGAGAAGAAAATTGTGTTGGCAGGATTCTTAAACGCCCTTTGGCGAGATGGCTGCAGGGTCTGATTATGACCTCTGACCTCCCCTGAGGCGGGGAAGCAGAGAGAAACCACCCGTCTGACCAGACTGAGTTGAACCTTTTCTCTTCTAATGGAGCAGAGGTCATCATAGAAACCCTCCATCGCCCCGGGCCCTGAGCCGACCTCCAACTCACTGAGCGCCTCCATATCTGCTGACCTCCTCCAGCTGTTTCTAAAGAGAGAAACTGAGCCTGCATGAATTCTAACACACCGAAAAGCAGAGAAATACTCTTAAACATAACCAGAGTGTGCTGAGAATCATCCTTTTCAGCCTGTTGGGTCAACAACATTTGGAGGAGAGTGAATGAAAACGTGCCGCAGCGTCTTCTTCTCACAGCGTCTCTCGGTTTGTATCGATTTTTGTGGACAAACTGCTTCGCTATATCTCGATACTGAAGTGTAGCCCTCTCTTTGAATAATCTCTCCCTGCTTCATTTTGAAATGAGCTCTCACTGTGAAATCATAAACAAAGAATCTTCAAGCGGTTTTCTATCCATTCTTTCATCTCATTGTAACCTGAAGGCATTCATAGTATTAAAAATAACCTTAAAGATGGAGTGAATCACCGCGCCATGGTCTGCTTCTTATAGACTTGATAGTCGTTTTGAAACCACAGGGATCTGGGCCTTGGTCAAGAGTTCATTGAGAACCTGTTCAGTCTCAGTCTGTATTCAAAAACCACAGACTACACGAGCAGTATGTACTGATTTGACAAAGATGTACTTTGCAAACAAAAACGGAAATCTGCAGCATGAGAGCACCTTGCATACTGTTTTCCACAATGCACAGTACTTATGTTCCCCGTTAGATCGCTAAAACCTCGACAAATCAAAATTAACTTACTGCAATAATTTTACAACACAAAAAATCTGCAATATACAGTTGTCAGACACCTGTATATTTTAGAGAAAATTCCTTAGATTCTGACATTTAAAGTCCTTGAACTCACCATAATCTTGAGTGTTAACGTCAAACAGACTTGAATATTAGTTCTTCTGTGGACTGTACCAACCTGAGGCAGCTGTTAGTTTTTTATCAGCACATTTAAATAAAGTGTGTTTCGTCAGTGTCGTGCAGCTCCAACAATCAGATTGAGTCTTTGCGTGCTTCGGCTCGCCCACTGAGGAGGTGTTTTGGTTTTTGTGCTGAACATTTTGATGCACAGGCTCCTCCTCTGCTCTGCTACTCTGTCAACACAGCTGTCAATCACAGCATCACATCTCCTGTTTTTAATATGAATAACTCAAAACTGACACCTAAACCACAACGGATGCTTGTGCACTATGTGCCACCCTACGTGGCTCTGGTCAAGCTGAACAGATGAGCCTGACCAACGCAAAAAACATCATCTACTGTCTGATAAATCCTAAAAAAAAAAACGTTTTTTTTTTTACATTTTACAATACAGTATTGCAATACAATTATGGGGATTTATACAGTTTTTTTTCAACTGTTTTGCTAATTTAGTATTTGACTTTTCTTTATGTTTGTCTTATTAACACACTGTTTTATTTTCATGTAGCACATCTTGCAAACCGTACATTTATTTGTTGTACTAACTTTCTCCTGCTCTACGATGTCACCTCCGCCAACCTCACTGGACAAACTGTTGATTTCATTTTTACATTATCATAGATTTGACTCCATATTAGTAATCAATTTGAAAAAAAAAAAAAAAAAAAAAAAGCGACACTTTGTAAATGAGACGATACCATATATCACCAGACAAAATATCGCAATACTATGCTGTATCGATTTTTTCTCTCACCCCTTATTAATAAATACTAAATTGGATTAAACCTGCAGAAAATTTAACTTTATTATCACGTGTCATGCTCACCAATGGTAGAAACACATCGGGACAGAGAGCGAGTGTTTTGTATACACACCCTGAAGGTTTTAGGGCTGATATTCATGAAAAAAACCATGTCAGAAAAGAATTTAATAAATGGAATAATTGGATGTTTATTCTGTTTTCAAAGTTTGACCTATGTCCGAACTGTTGACATGGAAGAGGCAGGCTTTCAATGTTTTGGTTTCCCTTTGGGAGAGCTGTTATGTCGTCCACTTTTTATACAGCCTATAATGCAGACCATCATTATAACTCTGTGTGCTTGCTGCTGGCTGGCTGAAACCCCTGACAAACAGCGGGGACCTTCTGTGTTCTGTAGTACGGATACCTGGTGGTGGATTTCTGGATCGCAGCACCACTTCTCATCAACTTTTCTCCCTCGTTATGTCAAATTTAAAGAAAACTGCGGTGGACTGTTGAGTGAATAAAACTTGTGGGTGTTGCTTTGTTTGAATAGACGAATGAACAATGGTAATCCAGGCTGTTTTGGTGCATGCAGAGGGTCCCGAAGGTTCATCCTGTGACTTAAACTGAATCCACTGTGATAGAAAACTTAGTAAATTAAAGCTAATATCTCTTTAACGTGAAAAAAAGTGATCAAGATGGCCCTTTCTCTGATTGCATAATGGATTGATCAGCCAATAATTCAAGACACTGACTCGACTCTTTGTGTGTTTCAGCATCAAACCTTCCTCCGTCGGTTGTAATTTTGCTTAAAAGGCCGGGGTTTCGAACTCTGCCAAGACTCGGAGTGAACTTTCATCTCAAAGTGCAATCTGAGAGTCAAAGAAAGGCAGCTTCAACAATACGTCTGTTGTCTGGGCTGGATTAGCCTCTTTATTTTCTCTTGTGATTCGAAGCCGTTTGATCTGCCTCCCTCTATCGTTTGACAACTTGGAAGAGGAAAGCCTGCAGCAGTCCCACAAGGCTTAATTATCCCTCTGCCTGATAACAACCTGGTACCAGAAGAAAAAGGGGAGGCTGGGAAAAGAGAGGGAGCTCAGAGGAGATAGAGATGCTGGGATTAATGTAGATTGTCTGATTTTACCTGGCCTCCGATCAAAAGAGAGTGTTGGCAGGAGGAGCACATAATCCTCCTGATTTCTCCTGTTGATGCCAAGACCCGCTGCTGCCGTGCAGAGACATTGCTGACCGGTGCGTCCCTGACGGACGCTCTGTCTCTACTGTAAATACAAATCAGAGGGCAGGACTCACAGAGCAGCTTTTATCAAACAGAACAAGTCAAGAAATCAACTTCACAGGTCTGAGGCAGCAACACTCTTCATCTATAAAAGTAAACTTTTCAAAGCTTTCTTCTGCACTTTAACAATCCAGCCCGTCCTTATATTTTACTCTCTTTTTGTCTTTCTCTCTGTGGATGTGGGAGTCCACAGAGACAGCCGTTCTGGACACATTTTCCTCTTTCATCATCCTCTTTTTTTCCCTCTCCTCTGAAGTGCATCTCGGCGGCTCGGAGTCTCAGATTTGTTATTTGAGTTTGTGCTCAAGGACATTTTAACGACGTGTGCAGAGAGAGTGCACAAAAGATAAAACTATGACAGAGATTTGAGATATTCATCCACCTAACAGGATTTATATCACATCCTCTGGTCATAATAAAGTTGGATTTTTGGTTAAAAATTCCATAAACATGATATCCGGTTTGTCGTAGAGGAAAGGAGATCAGATTTATTGCTTTATTCAACGGTTTCATGTACAGACAGTGAGGAATCTGATCTAATCTGGACTGTCTGCATCGATCTGTTTCTGGAGGATTTTGAGAATTATAGCAGTGACACAAAAAAAGCTAGAATGCACATTAAAACAACTGGTTTCCAAATCATTTAAACCCTTTATTTTTGATCGTATTGCGAAGACAGCAATCAAATGTTGAAACTTATCAGTGTAAAGCTAAACAAAAACTCGGAGGAACACCTCCCAGCTAATAAGATTAAATTGCAAAAGTTTAGTAACATGACTGGGTATGAAAAAGTCATTCTAGAGAGGCGAAGCCAGTCAGAATTAACGATGGAAGAGGTTCACCACTTTGTGCGAGTCTGTGTGAGCATCAAATCTGGAGCAGAAAGAGTGGATTTTATCATCTACGGTACAAATGCTGCATTCCGGTTTCTTAGGAAGTCGGATGTCACAGCTGGTAATGACATTACACCTGAATTGATGGCGTTCCAGTGAACAAGTCAGAAAACCAAGATGAATTTCTGACTCAGAGCTCAGAAATTTCAACTTCCAAGTACAACTGGAACGCAGCAATAATGTCACTAAAAGATTAATAGAAACTGGAAAAATCTCTGCACAAAAGAGACAAGGATGAAACAACTAGTGGATGGACATTGGATTAAAAACAGACATGACTCTGCAGTGTAATTCACTGCATTGGCTCAAATTCACTTCCTAAGCCCGTAGTCTTTGGACACAGTTTGTCGCTGCATCCACAAATGTACCATGCAGAGAGGTGACTTTCTTTTTGGAAATCATGGACACTATCCTCTTCTCCAGTAAGAAAGGGGAATACTCAGCCTGTTTTGTTATTATGTGCACACTGCACACAGGTCAAAACTTACCATCCAGGTTTGTATTGGGATGAAAGGGGAGCTTACACATCTAGGAAGGCATGATGAATGCACGCATTACAACAGCATGGTTCTGTGGTAGAAGAGTCCATGTGCTAAACTGGACGGTCCTGATCTGCTGGGTCATGAATAATTTCTTCATTTGTCTTCTTTTCTACATATTTGTTTCAATTGAGTTTAAATGTTTTGCAAACCCTTGAGCAGTGTCATCTTTTCTTACTTTTTTGGAGATGTGGTTGTATTTGGTTTAAGCTCCACCAGTAATGCTCGGTACAAAATTCCAAGTGGTCCAGTCGATGTTTTCATCACTCTGTTTTTATTTCGAGGACGCTGAAACCTTGTTGAAGTAAGAAACAAAAAATCACTCTGCAGTAGCCTCTCACTCCTACAAGAACAGCTCTCACCTTAACATTAAACACCTGCAATAAATCATTTCTCAAGAACAGAAGCACGCCGTGAAAGCAGGCTGTTTTTTTTTAAGTCCTGCGTCGAAAAATAAAGCCCAAACTCTGCTCAGCGGGAGGTCTTATCGAGTGTTTCGTTTGTGCAGAGTTGTCTGCTGCAGGCACAGACCAAGCCAAGAATAGTCACATCAGTAAAACCTGATCGAAAGTGTGGATTGCTGCTTACTTTTGGCTCAAACTTATAGACGTTTCAAAGTGTGAGCGTGTTTTCAGCCGCCTCTGAAACTACATGCGTCACGGTTTTTAAAAGCCCAAAACCAAACAAACACACGTCATCGTTCTCAAACCCACAGAGGAGTTTTTTTAGGGCTCTGTGCTGAAATATCTAAATGTGGAGGAAACATGTCTTCTGCACAGTCTGGATTTAAAAACAGGAACTTTTATCCTCTAACAGAGATGTCAGAGCGCTAAGGAGCTTAACAAGCAGAAAAAGCCGCTATTTCAGTTTGCGTCTGACAGCTCTAATCTGGTCCCAAAAGAAAATCTTCTTACAGTTTTTTCTTCACTTATTCAGTCTTTCAACATTTAGTTATAACACTGTTTTAAAGGAGAAAAAAAGGCCTTAAATATCGTGAATTTTGACAGGGGGAAGCACGAGTTTGTTACTGTCCTCCTTTGACGGTAAAAATGATCTGAAAAATGTTTTACAAACAAACATTTTGAAATAGGGCTGCAGGATTAATTGATTTAAAATCGTAATCAGATTATCTGATCATGAAGATGTTAAAAAAATTTGACTTGTGAAATCGATTTTCCTCTCTATCATGTCTTGCGCCTCCAGGCCAAAGTAGGCTCCCCCTTCCTGCAAGAGCGCTCCCCAGTAAAATGAGACTCAGTATCTAGAAAAAGCTTGGGTATTGTTGTAATTATATGAGTTGTTTTGTGACGACGAGTCTTTAATCTTTTCATTTCTTTTCATATGTTTTGGGAGCAAAGTGTGCCACGCAAACCTGAAAAATACTGATATTTTCAAACTAAAATTTGACATTTCATAAACAGGAATCTGTCCTTGCATGGTTCTCCTCTTTGCTGTAACTTGAATTGACCAAACTCAAACTCAAGGATTGGGACATATGAAGCTGGAATAAGCCAGAATATGACAGTGTTAAAAAAAAATCCACATTTATTAAAATATACAGAATTTAACCTCCAAAGGGAGATGCATCCAAAGTTAAAGTATTCCTTATCCAGAATAAGATTGGCCACTATACTACTAGGAAGTCCTTATTAAAAGATGGTTCATTAATCTAAAATTATATTTATTTAAACAGCAAAAACAGCCCCTCACTCCCAGAGCAACAGTATTCTTATCCAACTCCTTGCAGAACAATAAACTGAGGTGGTATTTTTTAAGCCCATTGTTGGCAGTCATCACCAGAGGCGGGTCTTCAACCCCCTAGCCTGCCTGTCAATCGAGTGAGCCATGCCGCTGATTCCCTAACCTTGCATGGATTGCAGGACGGGAATTAATGTTAAGCATTTGTGTTGTAAAGCCTGGTGTTGTTTTAGCCACAGTGTCAACAGGCCGTAGCGAAGTTTTCCAATGTGGAAAAGAGATGTCGTCTCCGCCTGTTTGCATGGTGTGAAATACGATCCGCCTGAAAAGGAGACGGATGTTTTCTTTTGTGTCTGTGCCCGACTTCCTTTCCAGCATGAGTTAATCCGTGCTGAATTTATCTGGCATGCTCTGGCATCCGGAAAAAATTGAATTTTTGCGATCAGCTGCAGAGTCCGGCGATCCAAAGTGGAACGGAAAGAAGCCGGTGGAAACTGACACGTTAACTTGAATGGTTACGATCAGCTAGGATCGGCGGATTTGGCCTTTTCGTAGCCGTTCCTGATGCGGTGGAATTTCCCGGTTGCTGTTGATGCACTGCGCTGCCATCTTGGATTATGATGTTGTCGTCAAGTCGGGGTCGGTGAGGATCATCCGACTTTCAGCAGGAAATTTGACTTCAGGGGGGCGTTCCAGATGAATTTCTGACTTGGAGCTTGGAAATTCCGACTTCTGCGTACAACTTGAATGCAGCATTAGACTTAATCACCGTTGCTATGGAGTTTTGACCAATCAGAATCAAGAAGATAGATGCAGCTAAACATACCCATGAAAAATTGAAGACAATCATCCCCACAAAAGGATAAAACAGCCGCATTGTTCCTTTAAAATGTAGAGGAATAAATGCTGAGCGGCAATATTGAAGCGATAACCAAATGAGCCCTTTAACAGTTGAGTAATCACTAAGTGTGTCATTAATTTGGAGCCAGAAGGACAATCAGATGGGAGCTTATCAATCCTGCATTTATATCATGGACCTGCTGAAGTGTGAAGAGCAGCCGAGTCAGATTCTCCACACATGCTCGGTGCTGCCTTTTCCACGCTGACTCAGATCAGGGATTATTCCTCTAATTAGCTGGGAGACGCTCCCCTCCTCTGACACAAAGTGAAGCCCGTCACTGATTGGATCAGATAAGCGTTTGACATTCAGAGCTCGCTTTTACCTTGTTTTGAAAATCCCACGGAGGATTTCATCAGACTTCTGCCTGCCTGCCAGTGAGCTCTGAAATTCAATTTCCCTCCTTTGCTTTTCCACCCTGCAGTTGTGATGAGCTGTAGCAGAGTTAGTCTGACTTTGGTCGTGGTGAAGTGTCATCATGGCTTTGTTTCTCTACTTTCATGTGAGGCAGTGTAGCAGCTGTGGCGCAGTCTCGTGTGATGACGCAGCAGATGATATCACGCTGTTGTGATCAACTCTGCATGCTATTTAAATCAATTCAAATTCCCACAATACACTTATTTCCTGATACTTAAACATCAGTGCAACACTTTGTATATTCTTTATATTACACCACCTCCAGTGACCAATTTATTTTTGCACTTCTGATACAAAAGAAATTAAAGCTGCAGTGTTTCCATACGAGTAAAGTTTTTGGACTTACTAACAACCATGTAAGTTCTCATGAACAGAAGAACGATGCTACACACTGACTTTCTGGAAAATCTGCACACTTGTGTGTGAACACTGTGTGAGCTTCTCTAATCCACAAAGACTGTCCAATCCCTCCAAAATAAAGCGATTAATCCGTTAATTTCAGTGATAAAATGTGACTATTCCAATGAAAAGCCAAGTCTGGTAGGATCTGTCAACCAATCAGAGGCTGTATTTGGAATCAGCTGACCTGTAAAGAAGAAGAACTTTATTGATCCCTGAAGGGAAATTCAATAATAATATTTGTAATAATTTCAATAATTGTAAAGGTCCAATCAGGAGGCCAGGCCTCCTCGTCTTAAACGGAATAAAACTCTGTATTTTTGACAGAGAAGAACCTGCATTTGCTGACTTTTTTCCACACAGAATATCAACAGGAATTGATTAGAAACTGTTAATTCCCATCCCAACTCACCAACCAAAGATTGTCAACTTGTCTGAATAAGAAAGAAAACCAGAAATGTACAAGAGCAGTCTGCCAAGGAAACACTGTCAGTGTCATTCATCATGCAGTGTGGAGGCAAATGGAGGGATAATGTCCCCAAACTCAGATATGTTATAAAAATGTTGATAATTTAGGGAATTTTGTCTGATAAAGAATAAAGATTTTTCAGATATGAGACCTGAGCCTGTGGGGGTTTTTTAGCAGATAAACGAGTTTCTGTTTCTTCATGTTTAATTATTCAGTAAAATCCCCCTCAGTTTAATGTTGGTTACTCAAGAACGTCAGAATCTCTAAAGTCCACTATAGAGAGTCCAAGGCAGGGGGGCGGTGGTGAAAGAGTATGTGATCTCTCACATAGAAAATGTGTGATTTGAAAAAGGTCAATTGCACATATCTAAAGCAAAGCCCTGTGCAGAGATGAAGAAGTGTTTCATCCTCTTCAAACTTTCCAAACCAGCAGCTCTGTGCTGTGTCAGAAAAGGGAAAGTGTTTTCAGAGGAGAGTTGGAGACCGAAACTCAAGGACAGGCAAGTTTGGTGTTTGTGTTTGACAACTATTGTTTGAGCTGTGGGGACATGCTGCAGCTGAAGAGCCGAGTCTGTTTACATTCATATTAAGTTTGAATGCACAATAATGTGTCAACAAGCTTCTCGAGACTTTTACAAATACAGGCAATAAACTCAGACGTTTCCTCTCAGATCATTTGGAGGACACAGTTGGTGTTTTCTTTGCACAGCTCAGCTTCCCATAGTTCACTGTCTGCTAGTCAGCTTTTTAATTTTCAGTAACTTATGAAGAAAAATATCCACCAAACATATTTTCACCTTTGAATGAAGTGAATCGCTACATCAACCTGGCATTGACAGGAACGTCTACTTTCGCTCGGCTTAACTGTCTTTTGTGCAGGAAACATAAACGATTAAAGGTGCAGTGCGTAGATTTTAGCAGCAGTAAGCAGAACAGACTTGGTAGAAATTTAGTACAAGATTCATAGCTTTGTGAAATTACAGGTTGATTGCCTTTATGTAAAAATTATTGTGTTTTTGCTCAACTAGAATGATCTCTGTATATCTACACACAGCTATCTTGCACTGCCCTGTTCATACAGTAGCACAGAATGGACAAACAAGTAACGTACCCGTGTTTGTGCTGCATGGACAGCCGTGCAAAATGCACCAGCTGAAAGATTAAGAGGAAAAAGAGAAGAGTTATTGTTGTGCCCAAATGCATCTCATAATTTCATGTCCTCAGAGGCGGCCGTTGCTTTGGTGTTCGGAGGGGTGAGCAAGGGAGCGTTTCAATCTGTAATCTGAAGAATCTGCATTGAATCAAACATTGATAGTAAGTGTAGGCAAATTAAAGTCCTTCTGTTTGTGCAAATAATGGAGGCTTAGCTTACTGTCAGTCTTACACTGTGTTTAGAGCGGGGACAGAGGCAGGTCCATGTCTGCAGAACATCTGCAGCAGCGATCCAGACGAACCGTCTGTTTCATGGAGCTCAGGGACTCCATGAAAAGATCTATTACAGGTATCATAGAAATGCTTCAGAGCCACGTCCTGCTGGTGAATGTTACTCTAGTTTTCTGACTGAAGCCGTTCACATCAGCTTGTAGTTTTCATGAAGGATGTGCCTTTTGATGGCTGTTTGTCTGTTGTGAAGTGGTCTCTGAGTCTCTTTATCTGTAGCTTTACTCAAGTTTACCTTCTTACAAAGTTTGTCTAATTTCACCCTGAATTATCAACAAGATTTAGCAGTTTCCAGTCCGTGGCTTCAACTTTGAGTAGATGTGACTTTGTGCTTTATTCACATTGCAGTATTATTATCTATTTCACATTTTCCTCTGCACAACTTGAAGGTGTGGCAGCCTTCAAAAATGGGCTGAAAGACAGCACACAGTTCAATTTAGATTAAGCACAGCAGACTGTTTCCTGTCGTCAGCTTTAACAGGAACACGTTATTGAGGACATTGGGCCTTAATTGACAGACAGTACAGGTTTGGTAATTGCTCCGTGATTTTCTCTGTGATTTGTTGAACATCTCTTTGAGTTGTTGTGTGTGTAAGATGAAGCAGAGATGGAGCAGCTGCTGTGTTTAAAGTGTCCCAGCAGGCAGCTACATACAGCACACAGCTCCTCCAGTCTTAATAAGCAGAGCCTGTCTCCTCTGGAGGCGGCTGGCTTGTCAGGCGTCCCCGCGGTTTGAAGACCCGGTTTCATAGTTTCTTGACAGCAGCTTTTGATCATGGCGGATGGCTGCAACGCGCCACACAAAGCATCCGAGCGTTATTTTCCAGCAGCGCAGTGGCTCCTGTTCACCTCCTTCTTGGAACAACTTGAATGTGCAGGAAATATAAATCCCATCAGGCTGTGCTTGAATTATACTGGGAGTTTGTCTTTGAAACTATTTTTCATGAGGAGTTCAGATGGTTGGCATCTACTTTTCTTTCAGTGGAGGTCCCTAGAAAGCAGAACTTTTGGAAGAAGTAAGACATGAGTGTTAAAAAAAACTTTTAAGACCCCAACCAAAAGAAAACTGGAACATACATCAATATAAATCTCCCCTAGAAAGAGTGGTCATAGATACGTCTTTACATCATAAGTGAACTGTCCTGCTGTGATAACTTGAATAATGATTGGATTTCTGTGAGATACCTGCAGGTGTATATTTCTGTATGTATGCAGCCTCTGAGTTCTAGAATAGACACCAGGAACCCTGGATACTGTGGACTCAATATGTCTAACATCAGGGTGGATAAAAGTAGATCTGCCATCACTGTGATCACATCTATGTGTTTCTGTTCTCCGGGGATGTTTATGACACACCGCGCTCCTGCTGCTCATCTTTTAAAGGAACCTGCATCGTTTTGCTGTGAGCGCCTGAGTTCTTGCTGTAACTGAGACACTGATAACACAGGACCTTCATTAGACTTGCAAGTGGGTGCGTTAACCAAACGACAAAGCTGCAGAAGTGTGGGGGATAGATTCTCTAGCTCCATCGTTTAAGGTCGAGTGAACAGTCGAGTTGTCCTGTTGACCGTGACACTGCCAGCTCTTGACTAGAACGTTGTTATGACTCTGACGACTGACTTTGCTGTGCAGTGAAGAAGTTATAGATGTTGTGGATGGTTGTGGCTCTGTGAGATCTTTGACTAGGGATAAGGATTAATTTTTATCAACACTGGTACCATCATCACCATGATTGAGGCTCTTGAATGCAGCCCTGCAGCAGAAAACAGAGTCGACAAAGTTGTTTCAAGATTCAAACAGTCAAAAGTTCTGCAGGTACTTTGACTTGATTTGATGCACAGTGCTGATGTGCATTGTTCCCCCCCTTGCAAGAAATTATTTTGCATCAAAAACTACATTTTGCTTTGACTGCCAAGATTCTTCTTTGTGTACTTTCTTGTACCGCTCCTGTTCAAAAATGATAAACTCAAACATTAAAAGAGCAACTGGACTCAACTGAGGCTGACACTTTGAGGTTCTCAAAGACATTTCTCCTCTCTTCCAAAAGGCTTCTTCACCTCTAAAGTGACACGGGGGTCACCTCACCTATTTTGACCCACTAAAACTCCACTGTTCAAAGTGACGTTGACCAAATTCAGATCCTTAAAAAATGTGTCATATAAATGAGCAGGTAAAGAGAAAACAAGGATCTTCTATAAAGGACCTTGTTATGTTGATGTAGGAGAAAAAACAGGAGTGGTGTCCTGATCAAAAGTGCAGAAAGAATCTTTTTAATACGGCAAAATCTATTATCCTGAATTTCTTGGCATTCCCTTTAAGATTTTCTTACACTATAGATTAAAATTACAGATTTTCGATCTTGTCGGTGTCCTCCTCATATTCCCACCATAATCTACAGCAGTGTTTGTGGAAGTCAGTACTTCTCAAAAGGGTTTCAAAGCATTAGTAAACCATAAGCATCCCAGTAAACCAGTCAGGTTCACACTCTTGGAACAAGAAAGATGTCAGCTCAAGTATAAATTTATGAAGCTTTATAAAAATTAGATGTTTCAACTTTCTACATGCTGCAAAGGCCTGATAAACACTGTAGCTGCAGAAAAAAGAAGGATATGAGGAGAGCACTGACTTCAGGAGGAAAATGAGGATTGATCTGGAGAGCAGAGGGGAGCTAGTTTACTCTTCCTGCAGTGAACTGTTGGACCGATGGTCGGGGTGAACCTCAGCCAGAGTCAGCCTCTCATTATTCTCCCCAGCAGGCGTGCGGCTCTCAGATTGGAAATGAGAGTGACTTCAGATGGCTTAAAAAAGCCTAATTGATGAAGCTGAGGTTGGCGCGGAGGTCTCAGTTTCTCCTCTCATCAAAACAGTTTCTCGGTGAAGAAAAACAGCCACAGAGCGAGAAACTCCACAAACAAAATGAAGCATGTTTTCTTCCAGCACATCCATATCTACACTTTGAAGGCAGAAAAATAAACGATGAGCCTGAGCGCTGTCCTCGGCTTATCCTTTCCAGAACAAAAACACAGATTCCAACAGAAAAACATCCTTTTAATGGAGATGAAACTCCCTCACAACAGACTGTTCATTCCTCTTCTGCAGCCAGCTCACAGATAACCATTTACCAGCTCCTTAAAAGTTATATTTGGCTTATTAATTGCTTCAAATTTCATCATCCAGCTAGTTTTTTAAGATTAGAGCTTTGTATCTGATCTTTTCCATGTTTACTCTTTAGTTTGTATTCTGTTGAGTTATTTGAGTACCTGAGGACCAAAGAGGAAACAGTGGATCTATTTGGATGAAATTAGATGAAATTAGATTGTCCATTTTCCCCTTAAGGCTTAAACCCCGCTGTTCCCTTTCCTCCTAATCTTATTCAGTCTAATCCAATCCACTCCAAATCTATGTAATCTAATATAATCCAATCCAATTTACTTGTATTGTTTTCTGGTCATCAAATCAAAGTCCCACATTGTCACTTTCATAACAATCAAGCAATAATAAGGGTTATTACCATTTAAAAAGGACTTCTCACATGTTTTAATTGGTCGATTGTTGTCTCAGCATGATAAAAAGAAAGGCCACATGCTGGCGGCCAGAAATTCTGCTTGATGGATTATGAAAGGATTTTAGCCGCCAGACAAGGAGGACAAAGAGATGAGAAAGTTTCATAAAGTGAAACTTTAATTTGAGCATTAATGTTCATTCTTGACCTCCAAAAAAATGAGATCCAAGGTCGGCCAGCTGTTCGCAGAGCTTTCATCTGACCGAGAACTGAACACCATCTGTCGTAGACGACAGAGAGATGTGTTTAAAAGCTCAAGAGTGAACCCTGGTGATCGTTTCAACATTTTTCTTCTGACTTTTTCCTTTTAAATTAAAAAAATCAGTTTTATTAAAAGCCATGAAAAAGGATCCAGATGCACTGAATACCAAACTTTTCAAATCTGTTGAAATAAAAATGTTCAGACAGAAGGAAACAAGGCTGTCTTCCTGCAGACATACCGACTGTTACCACTGCTGAAGCAAGCAGATTCATGAGGGTGACATACTTGACATCAATAAGTTCACTTGCTCATATGTAGCAGGTATAATGACTTTTAAAGTCATGATCTGACTTTCATATTTTAGTGTGCTAATAATTTACAAAAAAGAAGCTAAGAGGAAAAGATTTAGTCTCCTAAATATCTGCTCAAAATACAATTTAACCTCAGTGAAAGTGAAATTTAGCTGTCACACTCTATCAAGTAGACACTGCGAAAAACTGCAGTTCCTTCAGTGTCCACTAGAGGCTGGTTCCAAAATGACATTGACCACATTGACACCAAGTTTAAAAAGCGTGTTTTAGAAACAACGTTTAACATGTTTCCAGCCAAATTAGAAAAAAAAACGAATCCGATTTAGGTTGTGGCTGACGAGTGGGCATTTTGTGGCTGTTTGGCCATAATCACTAAGCTTCATAACACTTCTCCAGGGACCAATTGGCCACATCACTGAGACTGCAACCATGTTTTATAAGGTCTATGGTTATGAATAAGCCTGAAAACAAGCAGAGGTAGGGTCAAGGCCATGGCGTCTGCTTTTTTCCACATTTTCAAACTTAAATGTTAAGTTAAAATGTGGGCGAGGTTTCGGATCATAAGGTAAATGTGTTGTGGAGATATCCCAGGCTGAGGCTGCAGACTGCTCTGAACAGCTTGTTCAGAATGTCACATGACAATCTGGATAGAGTAAAATGAGATTTATTGAAATCATGATGAGCGTGTCCTTGAACGGAGAAATTTGTTTTTAAAAGACAAACACAACTTTGTTGCATGGCAACAGTGAAGGAGGCCCTTGAAAGGACTGACATGAAGCTTTTAAGACAGAGGCTGAAATGAGGGTTTTCAAAGACAGCAGACTGGGATATATGCGGAATATTTTGATCAATCCATCAAGCTATGACAAAGCTAACAAAGGGACTCGAAAATCCTCTTTAATTATGAAAGCCTCAGCGTTTAGATCATCAAAAAGGAAGTTCTGTAGAAAAAACATGAATTTCACAGACATCACACAAAGCTGCAAACTCCATTTTTATGTGGCTTCATTTTAATATAGCCTCTGTTGGGGTTTCTTGACATTTGGATCAAGCCCCAAGTGGACATTTGAAGAACTGCAGCTTCTATCTAGCGTATTAAAAAAGCTTTGTTTCTCAACACTTTGTTTTTTTACTTGAAACAAATTGAGCCTCCATACTTGAATATTTCAATTATTTGTTGGCAAAACAACCAATAGGCATCACCTGAGTCTGTGTAAGTGTTGTTGGTGCAGCAGGAACCTCTCTGGATAACAGGCTTGTCTTTGAAGTGCTCCAAACTGTAGCGTATGATGACAAATGTTGGTGGAATTCATCTCCTGAAAGCCGTAAATGTTTGTGCAAAATGTCAAATGAATCCATGTCAGTGATGTTGAGATATTTCAATTTCAGCTTGCTAAATGACGGCCATATAAAGCCTTGAGAACTGCTTCATATTGAGCTGTTTGAAACGTAACATTTCAACCACAAGGAAACAAAAGAGGAGAAAGAAAGCAGAGCCGCCTGCTCAGACTGTAATGGGTTGTAGGCAAGAAGAGCTGCCAGTTTGAGTAACGGTGAAGCGGGGAAAAGATTGTAGCATTAGTCATCAAACGATGCTTATTTACATCAAACGGAGATATTTCAGTAAAACACGGTGTGGGTTGTACTCCAGTCAAAGCTGAGATGTGCTGAAACAGGACGCCTTCCAAGAAAAGAGCGAGTCAGCCTCTCGCTCGTCTGATTGATGAGCCTTCTGGGAAACATCATTTTGAACTCCCGCTGATCTCCAGAGGATTTATTAGCATCCTATTATGTTGGTCTTATAGTAGCAGCTTCTCTGGTACACTCTTGGCAGCCACCTGAGTAATGATGGTTTTGTTGCTCCGCGCTCTTGGGCTACATTCACAACACGCACTTTCGGGCTGGTTTCCAAGTTCATGCTCCTATCTGATTATTCGGATCACTGTTGCACATCTCTGCCTGGATGTAATGAAAGGATCATAATTCAATATGAGCTGACAGCGATGTCAGGAAGAGTTCAGAGGCTGAGAAAAGTCTCCTCCGGTTTACTGCGGCCAGATTTACAGCCAAGTTATGACCTAGAGAGGATTGAACTCTGGATTAGACAAACAGAGTTGTTTGTTTTTACTCAGAGAGGGAAACGATGACTAAGACGACTCACAGGGTCGATTACAGGTGGCTGGTTAAAGTCATCGTTAACCAGAAAAGTCCATGTGGGATTTCTTCTGCGCCACAACAGACCAGATTTACAATGTAGTCAAATAAGTGACTAGTTACCCCCCGTTAGATTAAGTTGCATTACACAAAAACTACCTCCCAAAAAAAGGCAGAAAATTATCTGAACCAAACAATTCTTTTTTCGTAAACTACAACCTGGTCCTACAACCCTTCAAATCCTTCCTGGAAAAACTATAGTTTGTATTCCTCATCTTAGAAAAACAAAATCATATAATTATCTCCTTTTTGCTGTTAAAATAACTTTTTTTGTTCGTCCGCCTCGTCCCAACATGTGCAATGTGTTTGATTGTTAAAGTCCAGAAAAATTGAGGACTGATGGTTTGGGTATCAGTCCTAAATATTGGCGCAACATGGAGTTTTTTTCCTGTTGTAGAAGGTTAAATAGAGAGAAACCATAGATTGTACATAGAATGGACACCGTCTGCCTCATTTCAGGGTGAAGCCACCCCGAGAACAGCACCCTCTGGTGACGGGCTGCAGTATAGGTCATAAATCCCGCCTCCTCCAGCAATCCCTATGGAGCTGTGGACAAACTTTAGAAATGGATTACACAGAATATAAATTTTTAAATTCGTATAATGGTGGAAGGTGGAGCCAAGTTGTCCATAGTATATACAGTCTATAATAGAAACAGGTTATTTTAAATACAGTCAATTAAAGTGATCATCATTGTACATGTACAATATCCTATTAGTGACCGAAGCTGACATGGTTCAATAGATAATAACGTTGAAAAACTTGTTAAAAAATGCTAAATTATAGTGATATTATTTTACAAGTGGAAATAACTTTCGGTTTTTACATCCAATTATTTTTGAATTACCAAAAGCCATGAATGACATAGTGACACCATAATCTTATTTAAAATCAGGCAATATCACAGGCATCATAACTAAATTAAGGACCCCATCTATAGCTGTGTTTCTAAACCTCTTATAAGTGCACAAAATGATTTCAATTTTATGAGCTATTAAGAAAGATCTTTTCAAACTAAATTTATTATATTATTAGTCTGATTGGTAATAACAAGAACAAGAAATTTATTGTAGTTGAATTGTTTATTGGTAAGAAAACAAAATATGATAAAAATCTCTTCCTACCTCATTTGTCTCCATTTGTTATGTGTATTTTTTCTCAGTCTGCAATTCTATGATTCTTTTTTCTTTAAAATAAACATTTTAATTCAGTTCAGCACTGATCATAAATATCAGCAGCTCCATGTCTGACCTTTTTCATCCATCTGAACCTTCACATGCAGCAGAGATACTTCTTTTGATCTCGTCGTCGTCGCTCCTCTCGGCTCTAATGAGAGGAGGGAAACTCTGGATGGGGACATGTTCAGCTGGAGTGTCAAATCCGCTCTGCTTTTCTTAATTATCGTGTCTCTGGATCATCATCTTGTGGAAATAGAAAAAAAAAATTGGGGAGAAATTTAGTGACTGAGTGAGCGTCAGAGCCGACACCTCCCCTCTCCTCCTCCTCCTCCCCTCTCCTCTTCCTCCTCTTCCTCTTCCTCCCCTCTCTGTGGAGAGATGGGATGATTTTACAGTGAGCCATATCGTTTCAGAGTCGCAAAGATTGTCTGCATCTCTGAGCTGCTTTTACCTCTGAGCTCACACCGATGTTTTCATTACACCCGTCACCATGGAGACCAGCATCCTCTCCCCTGTCCTCCACAGTGCATCTCCCCATTTCCCCACACATGCACCTTTAAAAGGAACGCACCTTTTTAGTGTTTCTGAGTGGATTTCCCCTGCTCCTCTTCCTGCAGACTGACAGGAAGTGACTTTGGGCTTTGAGAATACTTAATGACGTCTGTGTTTCCCTCTCAGGCAGTTTCATTTCGGAGGTGAAATCTCACTTCCCCCCCCTGCGGGCAGATCGCACACATTTTGCATTTATTCTCCTCACATTGTCATGCGTCCAGAGTGACAAATGGCACATGTCTCACCTTGGGGGCATTGTTGACTTCTCGCAGGAGGGCTGTTTGTTATTGAAAATGGGCTTCAGACGAACCTGGCTCTTCCCGCTCCCTCCCCCTCAGGTGCTTTCTTGCTGATAGAATTTTATTATTGGCAAGTCCTGGGTGATATCATATCCCGCCGTCCTATTGCCCCCACAGCGAGTGAAACGCAATAACAGGAGAATTGATTATACGTGGACCACAGAGCAGCAGCAAGGAGATGTGTTTACTGTAGTCTCCTTCCTGACTGAACGCTAAAACTCAGTGCTCTGCAGACGCCCTTCTGCCTGATGAATGATTAATGATGCTTCAATCGCTGGCCTCACAAACTCCTGTCTGTTCAGATGCAGCAGGAGGGTATCAAACCTGCAGCAGGGAGACTGAGGAGTGGAAGTCTGAGGTTTGGGGGTTGCATTTCAAATGCTTGAGGCCCCTGTGAGGTTACATGCAACTTTAATTCATCCGTTTAGAGGAAGGAGCAGGCTGCAGACGTCCACTCTGGGTTAAAACTGTGACCCTCCATCAGCTCACACCACAACTCAAATAGATTCAGTAAAAATGAAGACTTCAGAGACAAAGATGCTGCAACAACCTGAAACATTTGACAAGTTTCCACCCCTGACAATTATTTCTCTACCTGGTTTCCTTCACCTAATTTAAAAACTTGATCCTGGACTTTCTTGAGGTAATCCTCTGCAGGACTTGGGCTTCACCTGCAGTGTGTCTCTAACATATAAACAACCTTTATAGTCTGTCAGAGCACGCCAAGTGAAACCTGCACCAAACTTAACGGAGCTGAAACCTTTGTGAGAAACAAGCGGAGAAAAATGTTACTAAACTCATCTGAGAGTTTCTCTGCAGCAGGATGTCGCTGCAAAAATCCCTCCAGCCGTTACATGTGATCAATGTTTCCAAGGTGACTGCGTTTCTCAAAATGACCCTCAAAAACACTTCGAATACAACACCGCCCACCAACTGTACTCCACTTCTTCTCCCCTCACCCAAATCAGTCATTTCACAGCGTTTAACTCTGCTTTGACGTCACATAACCAGACCAAAAACAGAAAAGACTGGGTTAGTCATCAAACCACAACACAGATCCCCAACACTACATAATAATCAGACTGGCTGCAACACTGCTGCTCTGAATAGACTGAGTGACACACTGGGAGCCGAGACACTGTGTGCATGATTCAAAAGGAGACGTTACTTTTAACATTTGCATTAACATTCACAACATGTCCCACATTTACGGCCAGAGGAAAACCAAATCCACAGAAGCCGTGATCGAGAGACTTTTGTGCATACTTGTAGGTCTCAAAGTGTGACGTCTTTTTTAATCCAAGTCCAGAATTGCGTCATTTTAGCTCCTCCAGGTATTTGCAGAATCTCTAATCAGGTGTTGGCACTCTATGTATTCTGGTTTCTGACAGTGTGCAGGGAAACAGTCTGTTTGGAGATTAGAGAGGTAGAGGTGCAAAAAAACTGCAGATCCTCTAGTGTCCACTTGAAAACGCCTGTTCCATCCAGAGCTAAGGTCGTTACGAATTAGCGAAGCAAATTAGCAAAGCGAATAACTTCCGCAGAGTGAAAACTGCAATTTTTTCACTTCTGTAATGAATTTTGCGAACATTCACAGGTGAACTGCTATATAAATCTAAAGCATAATATGAATCTTACCTCAGACATATGGCAAGCCGTTGCTCTGGATCAATTGGCTCTCTGTAATTTGTCCTCTCCTTCTGCAAATGTGGAGTCAGCTTATGGAGCAGTTCTGAAGTATTGTCAGAATTTCTCGGGATACAATTTAAGCTCCTGGATCATTGTGTGGAGCTCCCCCATCTCCTGTCTCAGTGTCAGTATTGGACGTACCCAGACACTTTGATTCTTCTTTCTCTTTTTGATATTTAATAGACTTACAACCATGACCAGGTCATCATCGTGTAGGTGCGATTGTTTCTCCTTCTTCTTCCTCCCCCTCTGTTCTCCCGTGGCGTATTTTGATGCTAATATGCTAACTTTATTTGCATCGCACCAGGTGTGTATAGGAAAAGGTGTAAGCCGAATATTTCTCATTTTCGTGTTGCTTTTTCACGTCACTGCGCTAATTCGCCAGTGTGTAATGACCTTTACTTTGTCAGTCTGGTGACATGATGGAGTCTCTAAACGCCATCATGCCGTAGGTTTCTCTGGATTGCTGCTGCAGATGGTTTGCAGTTGTGGACCTGCCTGCTTTCCAGCTGTGGTTCAATCTCACCTCTGTCAATCTCTCTCTCTTCTGCATCTCCCTCTCTGAACCCATGCTGTCTTCGCAGATGACTGTCTCACATGAGTCTGGCTGAGCATCTTGAGATAACACTTGTTGTGAGTCAGTGCAGTATAAATAAGCATTAACTGGTTGATATGGAGCTCTTGAATCTGCACTTGATGGTACTAAAATGAAGGATTCGCTGCAATCAGAATCGTTTCTTCAAGTTAAGGTCTTCATATTTCTACAGTAACTGAATTTGTCTTTTTCGCGTGCACAGCTGAAACTCTCTCTGCCTCCCTTGCATGTGAAATAACGTCAGCCGTGTCGTGCTGACGGGTAGAAAGCCGATCAAAGTAAATATATCAGTCCTTTTGAAGAACATTGTTGCATCAGTGCAGACACTTGGAGCAGATTTGTTGTTTTATTCTCAAACTCCTCTCCTCCTGTCGTAACTCTGTGTCTGCGCTGTGCTTCAAGTGAAAGGCCTAGATGTTTGCATTGAATACAACAAGTCATCATTTCACCTTTCAGTTCTTCTTTGCAAACAAACACCGACAACCTCTGCTTCCAGGATCCTCCAGATAAACTATGAATATTTCATCTTTATGATGATTCAATCAATACAGCTGAGCGTGCGTCAGAGTTACCGCTGAATGAATTCAACGACCTCAGCTGACCGCATCCTTTGGCTCTTGAGGCAATGTTTACATAATGTGACCTCAGACCTCAGGCTGAGAAAAACATGAATCCATTGATGGTTGATCCACAGCAAATTTCCTGGACTTCTGAAGACACATAAAAACAAGATTTAAGAGCTTTGGACGAAGTAAAGATGACATGAATTCTTAATGTGTCTCAGGCTGAGGAGATAAAACTTTTTTCAAGCCCCCCCTTCTTCCCTGTACCGTACACATCAGCTGGTTTCTTTGAATCAAACAAGCAGGTGGAGCTTAATTTGGGTGGAAAATACTCTGTTGTTTTAGTTTTGGTTATAAAAAGAAGAATTATAGAGGCTTTCTTTTGGGATGAAGGCTTTTTTTGGAGCAGCCTCTGATTTTTAACTCTTCTTCGTTGGCACTTTGAGACACTTTAACATCAAACTCTTGGTGAAACGTGATTTTATCCTGAATTTTAAAGGCAAATAGGAAAAAAATATGAAGTAATGATTGGTTATAGCATGGGTTTCTTGAGTTATTCTCCAGCAGCTTTCATGTCTCCAAATATGGCAACATTGATCCATCAACCATATTGATATATCTTGACTCAAAAAGAGGCGATCGTGCTCATTTATTGTCTTGATATCATCCTTCTGGGAGCTTCTCTGCAGCTTTCCAGGATTTACAGTTCAACAAACTCTTCATATTTCAGGCTGTTTTTGAAAACCTTCATTTCAGCCTCTGTCTGAGATGTTCGATTCAGGTCACCATCCCTTTACGGTGAAGGTACCAGATCAGCTCAGGGCTAAGCGCCTGTTGAAGACGTCACATGACTGCAAGTCAACTCAGACAAACCACATTGCGCTCCATTTAATAAGTCAAAAATGCTTGGTTAAAAGACCCTCACGGTTTTCTTTATTTCCATTTGTTAATTCAATTGACCTCGAAACTTTCAATCCATATTATACTGAGAATTACAACTTACTGTACTGTAATTTTTAGATGGTTTTAATTGTAAATGTGAACTTTTCTGAAGGAAAAAGAAAAAAGATTCCACATTTCCTTTGGCGACCAATAAGAGGCGGTAGTCCAGCTGCCGTAAATCCTCTTTGAGTAGCGATAGATTTCTTCGTGAAATACGTCGATGTTTCCTCCGAAGAACAATCCCACGAAAGCCAAACCGCTTTTGTAATATCCGGACCAACCACAATCTTCTACGTCACCCAAACCAACTTCCAGCCGATCATATAGCGTGACGTAATCAATTGGTTCCCGGTCCCGAACTGATCTGGCAGCCCGAACACATTTATTATCTACAACGGCCCCTTAGCATTCTTGAAGTCTCCTTCACTGTTGCCAGGCAACAAATTTGAGTTTCTTTCTATGAGTTTGCCCTTTTAAGGAGATTCACTCCCTGGTGAAATCATGATCTGAGAAAATCTCATCTTGACTTTACTGAATTCTTGTTTGACTTGACGAGATAATCTTGAGAACCATCTGATAATTAGACCTTTGCTGACTTTCATCTAAACGGGGGGAATCCGGCCTTATATCAGCACAATCGTCTTGTAGTGTGAGCCCAGCTTTAGCAATGATACAAACAAGGAGGAAGTAGGTTTAAGGACTTAGATCTCTCTTCCACTTTTACCCTCAAAAAACACCAGGATCAGGACCAAGATTCAATAAGAACCCGAGTCGATGAGCAGAACCAGAGCTGGAAACAAAATCAAACAGAACAAATTTGACTCAACCTCTACTGGATTATATTTCCACGCCAACATCAAGCAGAGGCTTTGATTTTTGGATCACAAAATGAGAGGAACCTCAAAGAGCTGCAGGTTGATATCAGTGAGTTATACGGTACAGCAGTATAGAGTCATAAATCTTTAATAAGCAGGATAATGTCTCAGATTATGACTGTACCAGCTGATAAACCTTGAAGCTAAATCAACAAGCTGTGAGAACATTTTGCTCTCTGTCTTTTATAGCCACGTCCCTCTGGGTCTCCTCAGACCTTTGAAGCTCTTTGTTACAGCTTCAACACGAGGGCTCAGCAGCTAACAGCGGGATACGGTCACTCCTAACGGTTGCTGTTGATTGCAGCTGTAAACCGAGCCGAAAGAAAGCCTGTGTTATGTGTTGGAAACTTTCGGCAGCTTCTTATCAGAGTGATGTTTCTTACACTTACAAATACAAATGGGGGCCCTACAGCTGAACGCTTGTTTCATGAGGATGTCGAGTTGTGTTTTGATCGCTGTTTTTCACTGATATCAAACGCTAGAACTGAAGCTTGCATCATTGCCTCCCTGCCGCGTCTGCTTGTCTTCCCTGGGCTACAAAAGAAATCACTTTTGTCACAGAGAAGAAATCCCGCTCCCCCTTTGACACTGAACTGCTGCAGCCTGGTGTTAGGAGTGTTAATGAGGGAGGAAATCTTCCTTTCATGTGTTTGCAACTATGAGCCTCCAACCACAAATCACTGATCTCTTCTCTCACTTTTTTTTAATGCACACTATACAGCTCTAGATTATTCATGAGCTCTTTATGTTCCTGGAAACGGCTGATTGCTATTCAATACTGAAATCTGAATAAGCTCTAATGAACAAGTGTGTGCACACATATGAGGATTTAGACTCCGGTTCTCAGCGTGCTGCATGAAAAAAGACATAGGCTAGGGTTCTTTTTTTTTTAAATTAAAGTTTTACAAGGTAACTGTCTGTAGTAAACGGCTTACCGACCAAGGATTCCTCTCCGCTTGGTCCCTTTAAAGAGGAACCAGCAGGAGAACCAGATCAGAACCCCTGCAGGAGGTATTAATTTAAGACATCTCAAGTGCTAGTCTTCATAGAAGTCTGCATAGGTCTGTTGTCTGTTCACGTCTACGTCATCTGAGTGAACTTGACCTCGCCCAGAACACTGGTATACTGTAAATTTTGATAAATTTGCATCTCATTTTGACTAAATTAAAGCAACAAATGTTGAATGTTGCCCCTCAGAAATGGTAACCCTTGTAGAGTTTGTTATTCCAGCTCCCTCCTTCCCCTCGACAGCTAAAACAGAGGACTATGGGATGTATCATAATGCATTATATATGCACGTGCGTGCATTGGTTATGTTTGGTGATATGGCTCCGTCCTGAGAGCTCCTTGCTCTTCCACATGCCCACATAGAAGCCTACGGCAGGGAGAGCAGCAGCAAGACCAAAGGTTACAGAATACAGCAGATATCCTTTTAGTAAGCTAATGGAAAAAAAAACAGAGTTTACAAACTTTTGTTGTAGTTATCCCACCTTCACTGCTGGCCTAGCATCCCATATAAGGAGGTTATGATGCCTACATGGACAGCCTCCAACCTGAGACCCTTCCTGCTCAAGTCTCTGTCCTGTCCTTTCAAAATAAAAGCCAAAAGCCCAGAATAGATCTTATTTTAAAGGAGTTTCCAAGTTGGAAAATGCCCAGTTTCCTAAATTGAAGTAAAACCCTCTAAACTCTAAAATTTGCTCCCTTAGGTGATGTTGCGACTTGATGCCAGTTTTTCCTATCCACATGGCTTTCAATCAAAGTTTGAGTAATGTTACAAAACTCTTTTCTGAATTGTGAATCAACTTCTACTTAAACTTTAACTTTCCCTGTAAAAAGCATGTGAGCTTATCAAAGTCAGGAGAAGTACTCCTGAACAAACCATGCAGCATATGTTACAATTAATGATTTTACGGAGCTACAAATTGATAAATTAGCTAAAAACAGAGAAGAGTAGCATTAAAAAGAAGATCTGCATCCCACCCATCTGCTTCGGCAACTAAAGCCGACTTTACGACAGTGGGTGCTGGTGCTCATCTCAGAAAACCGTAGTTGGTTTTCCATTTTAAAGTTCATCACTGTCCCTTTAATATTCAAGTAAATGATTTTAAAGCAAAGAATCCCATCAGGCACAGCTGTAATTTAACATGTCACATTAATACAGTAATCAAAGATCGTTAATGTGCTTGTAAACATGTTAAAAACCAGTATGTTTGACTCAGTGAGCATGTGAACATGCAAACACGATCAGCAATTAGCCGAAAGCCCCGCTGTGTAAATTGTCTAAAACACAAATAACTGGAATCATCCTCAGGGAAAGAAATCTCCCTGCTGGGCGTCCTCTTCAAAGGCCAAACTTCAGTCCCCCTCTCTGCTGAGCCACTCTCATCATCTCTGCATGCTGACAATCGAACACGCTGCGAAGGTGCATGAATATTTGGCACAGGATCTGCAGCTGCGCCTGTTCCCATGCATTTTTAATGGGGTGTGCCCCGCTTGTCCAACAGCAGAAAGAGGGTAACTGCTGGATCCCTGAGTCTAAGAAACCGCCCCTCCCTCCAGCTTGATGAATAAGTAAACACATTGAGCTGGGCAGAGATGCACTCAGTAAAACTCTCAGCTGGAGGCAAAAAGATTTGCTTTCTTGTGAAAGAAATGCTGTTTACTCGCCGATGATTCCCCCCGCTCGCTCCCCCTGAACTCGATTAACACTTTTCCACGGAGTCCAAACTCATGCATCAACTTTAATTCTGGTCAGCAGATTGCATTTCAGCGCCTCCGTCAGACTCACCACCATCCCCCATGACGGCACAAAAAGAAAAAAGATTATGCAGCCGTCTTGAAATCTGGCTGTTTAATCTGTGATTTTACGCCTTTACCTAAATGTCCTCTTCTCTGCCAGCTGAAACCATTTGGAAGAAAATCTTTTATACCCTGAAAACCTGCTGTTGTTTTTGTCACATCGGTGCAGCACATTAACTGCAGAAGTTAGAACAACCTTGGACATAAATCTTGAAAGATCCCAGTAATGGCTTTCGGCTGTTTGGAGAAATAATGATGAATAGTTTATGAACCAATAAAACGGTGTTTGTTGTTGTTTTTTGTGTTTCCAAGGAGGTACAAGGTTAATGTATCAATTTAGCTGCAAGTTTGCAGGATTTATTTTTAATTACTGATGTTTTCCTCTTTTTTTTTTTTTTTTTTTACTCTGATTCTTGCTTTGAATGCACGATTACTAAATAGATGAATAAGTGTAATGTCAAAGGATGCTGTCTTAAACCCTTATCAGAGTCTGTATGAAACGATCAGTCGCCTGAACCAAACCCAGAATTAACATCACAGTAACCTCAAATTAGGTTGTTGCATATGGCCTAAACTCTCTGGTGTTCCCTAGAGGTATCCTCCTTTAAGACAGATAATGTACAGTCAAGTTTGTTCACAAATACACTCATAATGCAGCAGGATGCAAAACAAGACTAAACAGCAAGTGAAAGTTAGTGCTTGTGCATGCTCATGGTAACCGCAGCTTCACTCTTGACATGCTTAAACTTGTACCTTGGCTTTTCAGAAACACACTACTCTCTCCCTGCTCTCTTCTCTCCTTGTGCGGCTGCATAACCCTCTGAACGTCTGCAGCACAATGTGTTGAGGGTACAGCAGTGAATATAAGGGGCATCTGCAAGTTTTCTCATCAATAATCAGAGCTGTTATTGACTGAGTTGAGATGAGAGCTGCTTGAGGGGCAGAAAAGGGACAGTGGGCTCATTCAACTTATAAGACAAAACACGGTTCAGTCTCAGTTATCATTTTCTCAAGGTCACAGGGAGCCATAAATGTAATCAAGATCAGAAAAGTTATCTGACTAATAAAGTCATACTTAGTTCTATTGAAAAAATTAAAACTAATAACTCTTGATAATGTAGATGTTCACTCTTGGTATTAAAAATGTTGTCACACTGTTAATACCATGAGTTCATAGTTGCAGTCCTTTACTCTGGCTATCACATCTCATAAAACAGAGGATAGGCGAAGTAGCAGCAGTTGCTAGTAAGACAGCTGTAGCATCTCTCTGAAAGATAATCAACCTTGTTTAAAATTGATGTTTCAGGTTAATTGTGTCACCACGTTAGGGATTTTGTGTCATTTCGGGTAAGTTTTCCGTTAACTTTTAACAAGCAGTAGTGTATTTCAAAATAAAAGCATAGTTTGATCATGCAGGAAAAAAGAAATCAGTGCTTGACTTTAAAATAAAAACATGAAAATTGGTGTTTTGAGGGGTCAACGTCTCCCCCAGAGAAGCTTCAATCAGACATTTGAGCTTCATTACAAATGAACCATGTTTTCTAAAGCTCAACACCAACTTTAAAAGCTTCATATTTCCTTCAAAAGAGCAGATTGTTATTTGAAGTTGAAGTGTTTTGCGTGAGTGGTGTTCAGGTCAGGGTCAGGAACAAACTCTAGAGATCACTCGTTTTGAGGTACTTGAAACTACATTAAAGTTTTCAGATAAAGCTTTTGAAGCTTGTGAGGTTATATGATGTGTACAATGCTCAATTAGTCTCTCAGTGAATCAGAGTCTGTTCGCTTTAATCTCTCTATTTAAACAAAGATCAATCCAATCAGAGCGACTACAGTGGAAACAGACTGCAGTCAAAGCAGAGACTCAAGGTTACAGTCGGGCTTCAGAGCTCAACATTGTGAATATTTGTGGCGCTCACTTCAGGGGAATGGGATATGTTTTTTAACTCATTCAAATCGGGTCGGTGAAAACCTTTGGATAAAGCGGAGCTCAAAAGGTCTCATCAAGGACATGTTGATCAATAGCTTTCCAGCCACACACTCAGAAACACAAAGACCCCCGAGCTCGGCAGGGTCCGCGAAGGTTCAAACACGGCCTGGATGTCAACAAGCAGATGAACAATAGTGTTTACCGAATGGCTTTGTTGTTCGACACACAGACTTATTAAAATGGCATCTCATTAGAGCCCTGAGTGGCCATTTTCCAGGAGATTAATTGCATTTTGAAAGCGTTTTCTCTTCATTATTATTCCACATCGCATATGGATCCGCTGTGGCCGCAGCAGCTGTACGTATTCATATAACAGGAAGCTTAGAAACGGTTGGGGAACGAGCCAAAGGCGGAGCTGCGTTGGGGTGCAGACTGATGTTGAATTTCAAACAGCAGCTTTTCTGCTCTGGATGTAAAAACAGGCTCAGTGTGCTCCCTCCAAAATAAATGAAATGTCCAAGTGTATATATCTCTCTCTGTCCATTCACAGGCAGGTATGATGTCTGTCTTTTCTGTCTGTACCTGCAAAATGTGAGCATGCCTGTTATGAAAGAGGTTCAGGGCTCTTCCTCGACCTTGGACACAGCAGCTCTGGAAAGTTTCTCACTAAATCCATTTAGTGGCTTTTTACTGTCATAAATAAATAAATAACAACAAAGAAAAAAGCTTACTTTTCCAAAAAAGTTTTAGTGCACCTTGAGATTCGATAAAGTGCAGCCCTTCTTAGAAATTTCAACACTTCAAATCTCTAAACTTTAAAACTTATATTATATTGTCTAGCTTGAGTTTTGTTTTAAAACTACAGCAGTGAATTTAAAGCTCCTGTGAGGAGTTTCTGAGTTTTTGACATTCCTGCAGCGGACTGAAATTTATATTGATGCCTTTTTATGATTTGTTTGCTTTTTTGTATTTTAAAAGTTGATTTGTCACCATATTTGGTTAAAAAAAAACAAAGGTCAAGATCTATAAGTTTTAACAGCTCTAGTTAAGTCTGTAAACTGTATGCAGACAAAGCAATCAAACCCTCTGTTCTGCACAACTGTAAGCTTTGTTCAGACTTTGAGTGATCCATGGATCTTTGGAATATTTATCAGCAGCATGAGAAAGATGCCTTGCTGATCGCCATTAAAAGCTCCTGCAGAGTCAAACAAAATGAGCAGCAGGTATAAATATATATTGCACTATGTTAGTCCTCTGTTATTACAAGGTCAGAGAGAAGCGTCACTCCCTTGCAGGTGCATGGATGTGCATAGTAAAAGTCCCGAAGTGGAAATACAAAGAGGTTTGATTTGAGTAAATGAATGATTCTCGACCTGCAGGGCACTCAGCCGAAGCTCTGACACAAAGACACAGTTTCTTTTATAAAATGAGCAGATGGAAGTAATACTCGATGTGTTGCACCCCTCACAGCATGAGTAGAAAAACGAGCCATTCCGAGCCTTAAACTGTTTCATTGCTGTAAAGATAAGCGTTTCAATAGGAGCTGTAATGAGGAGGTCTTGGGTCTTGCAGCCAGCCTCAAGTGGCCAAAGGAGGAACTGCAGTTTTTGGCACTTCTTTGTTGGCTTTATATTCCAGTCTTTAAGGTTGTAACTTAGCATGTGCAATATTATCAATGCTGCCTGTCTTGAGTTTAGTGTGTTGGAATATCTTTATTTCCATCTCACTGTAAGAAAAAGATCTAAAAGTAACAAATACAAAATAAAACGGATCAATTCACCAGATACTAGTGTTTGCACCTTTAACTTACTTTCACTATCAGCGCTCTATCTCGTCTTTTTAATCCCTCCTGCTCCATAAGGTGTGATCTCAGTAATCAGCCTCCTATTTTCATTTCACCATAATTATCTCTCTGAACAGAAGTTGTTTTCTTCTGATGAATTATCTCATTATCTTGAGAAAACAAGCGTTTTTATTTCCTGATAACAAATCACTTAACATGTGGAGATATTAGGTTTGAAGAATTACAGTCACGTCTGTCTGACTCCAGCGCTTTATAACTAAACTCAGAACAGGTCCCATAAATGACTGCAGCATTATTCAGAGGAACCTTTGAGGTAAACTGTGTTTTTGTTTCAAGAGTCAGATCTGTAATCAATTATCACGGCTGCCTTCAAAGTGCAGATGCACACTTTTCATGATTAAAGCGGTCTTTAGCCCTGAGCTGAAGATAATTCTCAGTTTTTGAAGCATGGCGCTGCTGATCAGCAGGCCTGCGCTACATGTAAATTGCATCTGGAGTGTATTTACCTTTCAGGTCAAAGTCGAACATGAAAGGCTTTGCAGTCCCAGCGGTGGCAGCTGTAATGAGGATGGGCTCTCCTCAGCAGTCAGTGCTTTGACCCACATTAGCTCTCTGCCCGAGGCCCGCTGAGGCAGGATGGAGATGAAGAATAATAGCTGGATATAGTGTCTAAGACGCGCATTGTATATTAAATTATATTCACAGAGTTCCACAAGACTCTGTGAACTTCATAAACTAGAGGGGATTTTAAAAAAAGCCATTAAAAGCCCTTGGCACAGATTCCCCAGCACGTCTCAGTGCTCTGAAAGCAAACGGCAAGGATCCTGCTGCAGAGGCATTATCATTCTTATTGTTCAGGCTGCAGTGGACCTTCAGTTTAAAAGACCTCTGAAGAGCATGAGTCAAACAGCTTTTTTTGTGCAATGTCACCAAGAGAATTATTCTATTTTTAGGCTGTTTTACACGGGATGGATTCAGATAAAAACAGATGAAACATTTGTTTAAATCCAAAATCAAATTCAAAGCTTAGATGAATAATTTAAAGCGCCTACAGTATATCCTGTTTCTTCTATGTGCCATCTTCAGTTGAGTGGATTCTCTGTTTTTAACCTTGAGACCTTTTTCTGTAGGTAAATGGAATAAGATATTGTCCCTCAAAGTATAACTTAGAGCTAAATTCCTTTAAGCGGTCTGTTATAGAGAAATATCAGACCCCTGGATGCTATAATTTGGGTTGCCAACACCTTTAGTACCAAATAAGAGACCACAGACCTCTATCGAAGTATAATTCTATATAAGTTTAAAACATGGTGTATGAAACCATCACCAAAAGTTTCATATTCTGTCATTTTGTTAAAGATTAAATTATTATAGTTGAGAAGTATTAAATTGGAGAACTTTTACTCTGCTCTTAACTCTGGACCTTGTAATCTCTGACAGCTCCCCGACTCCACTTTGAGAACCGCTCTAATAAACCTTAAAATCACTGATAAGATAAATCACAGGTCAGAGCCTTAAAATAACAGTAGCAGGAAAAAAAACGGGCTCAACATCCGAAAGAGAGGCATGACTCACCAAGTTCACATTTCCATGGATATTTCTTCCGAGTCCTGCAGCTTCGGGCTTATTAAGTGACAAAAAAAGCCTCATTGTTGTTCGCAGCCTTCGCCAGCATGTCCTTCTTGTCCAGCTCTTTAGCAGCATGCTGTTTTGGGTGATGTGCATTTAACTGTTAGTTCCGTGCGCTCTGGTGAATATTCATGCAACTTGAGTGCAGCAAATTTAAATGAAAACCACAAAATTATCAAATAAATGGGGCTCACATGGTAGTAAGATTTAAAGTGTTATTTTCTTAGAGTAACTTTTAAACATCGTAGTAAAATGATAAAAACACATTAATTTGACACTTAATAAGAAAAATACTAAACCAGAAGGGTGCTGTTTTATATAATACCCACTTAAGGGCACTTAAAAAGCACTTTTTATGCTTTAACTAGAGGGAATTATCTTGATGTTGTGCCTACTGCAAGGGCATCTAGAGTGCACTATTTTACATTATATCCACTAAAGAGCATACAGAAGGACCTGTTATGTTTTTGGTATTAGAGTGGCATCCAAATCTCACTATTTTTACATCTTATCCACCAGAAGAGTTTCTTGAAGGCATCATTTGTTCAGTATATCCACCAAAAGTTTGTCCTATAGGCACTTTTTAATATTGTATCTAGTGGAAGGGCATCCAGGGCACCATTTATACACAGGATCCACCTCAAAGGGCGTCAAAAGGGCTTTTTTAAAATATGTATCCACTGAAAGGGTGTCCAGAAGGGACTTTTTTTACATGACATCAAGAGAGCACTGTTTTAATGTCAAATGGACTGGGAGGGCATCCAGAGAGCACTATGTTTACACACATGTACCAGAAGACTGTACAGAAAGTAGGATATTTATGTCATTTCAACTGGAAAGGCATCCAGGGGGAACTTTATTTTTACATGTGATAAATAGGAGGGACATCTAGAGCACTGGTTTTTCATTATGTCTGCTGGAGGAGCGCCCAGAGGGCACTTTTTTACACTATATGTCCTGGAGGGGCATCCAAAGGGCACTTTTTTACACTATATGTCCTGGAGAGGCATCCAGAAGGCACTTTTTTACACAGTATATACTGCAAGGGCATTCAGAGGGTACCTTTTTCGACTATTTGTTCTGGAAGGGCTTTCAGAGGGCAGTTTTGTTCTGATGTTCTAACCTGAAGGGCACCCTAGTATTGGTGGGGCATCCAGAGGGCACTTTTTAATGTTATATGTACTGGAGACGCAACCAGAGAGAACTTTATCATGTTTATTATTTTAAGGAGCAGCCATCCTAGAAATTTATCTTGAACTTTTCACACTTTTGGCACTAGAGAGATCACTTTGTACACTTTATTTTAGGCATTGGAGCCTGGTTATTAATGCAGTGGGTACACCTGATGAAAATGAGGAGCAGTGATTGGATGACAGGTGTCACTGGAAGGATGGGATTTGTCCATGATTGTCCATATTGTCTGTGTGGGGTCTAAGAAGAACTTTATTTATGGTTATTACAATGCAGTTGGTGGCTCTAGCTGGAATCGACCAATCAGATTCAAGTATTTACAGAGCTGCACTGCGGCTTTGGGTCAGTGTTCATTTATTACTGCTAACATTCAGACTGTACTTTTCTGAACTTATCAAACATGCATCATTCTGCCGCAGTAAATATCATACATAATACATTACACACAAAAACAACATGAATCATTTTCTTGTTGCAGCTCTGAGTGTTGTTTGAACACAAATTTCACACCTTGTAATGAAATTTTCATCTTCTTTTCCTGCGTGTCAGTAATTTGCTTCCTTTGCTTAACACCTCTCAGTTTGTTTTGGTGCATCCTCATCTTTATTGGCATTTAAAGCCCCGCTCTTATCCTCAGATTACCCAAAATGCCCTCCTTAAACCGGGTTTGTACAGGACTTAGAGGTGCTTTGAGCAGGAATATGAGGCTAAATGTGTTTTCAGATGGATTACTGCTCAGAGCTCTCAGCAGGTGTAGGATGTGAAAACAGTCACCACACAGCCAACCTGAAGTAAACATGTTAACCACATTTAATCATGCGTGTTCATGCGGCCGGTGATGTGCGCCAGCTGTCATGTAGATACATCACTCTGGAGTCTCGCAGCGCTGTGTCTCTGCTCCAACATGTACCCCATCCATCTTGTTTATTGCTTAATTTATTCAGGGGATTTTTTTTTTTTGCTGAGGAAGCAAGCTATGTTTCAGCATTTCACACACAGTCCCCTTAGGGAGCCTCCCAGTTCAACCAGCACTGTTTCCTTACTGGTGGAGATGCTGCAGCTGAGACCAATGTGAAGACCTGTCTCACTGAAAAGCACCTTGAATTTGGTCTCGACATTCACTCAGAAACCACCTCCATTACTGAACTTTTTCAAACTTTCAGACTTAATTTTAATTCCAGGATCTATTTTTGATACAAACAGCTGGAAAAGAGAGCTGTAAATTTGTGCAGAATCTCCCCAGTGAAAGATTTTCTAGCACAGCTGGGGGCCTCAGCTGCATCTTGTTGCCCCTGGGTCATGACGGTTTTCTCTGATCTGAGGTTTTATGATCTAAAAAAAAAAAAAACATCCATATCAGATGATTCTGCGAAAGCCGAAAACATGGCAAAGGTTTCTAAACTGCACTTCAGTGATTGAGGAAACATGAAGATCACTTCACTGATCATAAGTAGAGCCACTCAGCTTCAGAAAACAGGTGGAGGAGCTCTCAGAAAGTTTTACCAGATGATGATGATGAAGACGGTAGTAAAGTCAGATCATCTACGTAGATCCATCCATCCATCCTCTACGGCCTCTCCGGAGTCGGGCAGCAGCCTAAGAAAGGAAGCCCAAACTTCCCTCTCCCCACCCACTTCATCCAACTCTTCCTGGGGGAACCCAAGGCATAACCAGGCCAGCTGAGAAACATAGTGTCTCCAGCGTGTCCTGCGTCTTCCCCGTGGACTCCTGCTGGTGGAACGTGCCGTTAACACCTCACCAGCAAGGCATCCCGGAGGCATCCTGGTTAGATGGTCAAATCACCTCAACTTAACACACTCCTCTTAACGTGAAGGAGCAGTGGCTCTACACTGAGCTCCTCCTGAATGACTGAGCTTCTCACCCTAACTCTAGAGGAAAGCCCAGCCAACCTGAGGAGGAGGAAACTCATTTTGTCTGCTTGTACCCGCGATGTTGTTCTTATGGTCACTCCCGACAGCAGTGACCTTCGGTAAGGGTAGGAACGTGGATCGACTGGTATAAGGAGAGCTTTGCCTTTCGATTAAGCTGCCTCTTTGGTGGTGGAGCTGTGTCACTCAAATGCCTTGGATTCTTTGGTGCTAGATTTCTGGAGCCATGGGCCTCCGACAACCATCCTCAACAAGGATGAATAGATTAATAGATAAATATATGTACAACTAAGTAAAAAGACCCGTGTAAAATGTAGTAAATATATTAAAAAAAGAGTTTAGGAATGTAAAACCAGGTGATAAGCAAAGAGAACAGTGGAAGTCAAACGTAGTAGGTAAAAAAAGTCTTTTAGCTGCAGTTTAAACAGACTGATTTAGTGTTTGTAATCAATTAGGCGCTGAAGTGGCCTCAAATTTAAGAAAACTAAGAGCAGAGCTTCAGTGTTTTCTGACAGTTTAGCCTCTGAACATAATTTACCCTCAAGCTGTTGTTGAAGCTGTTTATCGTAGATCATAGAAATATCACCAGACAGAGAAAAAGCTTTTTGTGAATACCAGATTTGGCTTGATTTCACTTTTCATCCAGAGAAGTAAGAACTGTTTTAATGCTGCTTTTGTGGGAAGTTAAAATTCATGAAACTAAAAGAGTGGTGGACAAGGCAGGTCTCCTCTCGTCGTCCTCTTCTGGGGAGTCTTTTGTCAAATGTGCTCTAATAAAGAGAAGTGCTCCTGCAGGTCATATAACAGTTTTAAGTGCTGGGACTCATTGGTATTCTTCTCTACCTGTTATTATTTCTCTGGCTCTAATCTAAAATGACTTGAAGTCGTAGAAATGGGCTCTCCGGCGCACATACTCACACAAACAGAGAGACTGATAATTTGCTGAGGAAAAACAACAACTTGGAAGAGAAGCATTGCAAACAAAAGCAAACAGACCCAACAAATGGTGCTTATTTATTCATAGACGTACCTTCATTTCCATATAAATATACGTGACCTATGGGAGGCTTGTTTGTTGTTTACATGCAGCCGGAGAGAGCAAACAAAAATCTAATTTCTTAGCCCTATTCTCCGGCAGAGACGGCATGTGGCCATTATTTCGTCTTGTTAGATATTCTTTCATCGCCTCAATATCTGATTTCTCAGGCTGCCTTCTCCAGAAAATGGGGTTTTTGTGTGTTCCTGTGTGTGTGTGCACGGAGGTGTGTTTCTTTGTGAGGACTTTCATAATATTGACTCACAGCTGTCATTGAGTTTCCACTTACTCTGGTTTCCTCGTCTCTCAGGTGCCTCTGTGAAGAAACACAAAATGGCTCACTTCTCTGGCAGATGGCAGATGGTTTTCCTGCACTAAAATGGAACTCAAGCGATGAATAACACAGTGAATAATAAGTTGTTTATTGAGTTATTGGGCCCGGCGGCAGGCGTGCAGGCCTGTGCAGAAATTGTCCTTGTCACCGGGGAGCTTTGCAGCTCCTCGCGTTGAAGGCGGCGTTCTTGCGTTATGCAACATCAGAATTAGGGAGAGTGTCATGGGACTAGTCGTTTTTTAAGATGAGGTGCCAAATAGGACAGAAAGTGAGAAGATTTATTCTTTTTGGCTGGAAAAGCATCAACATTTAAGTAAATAGCTTGTGAACGAGGCTGTTTCTTATCAATAGCTGCTGGAGGTGTTTACTGGGTTTTAAATCATGGTCCAAAACTAACAGACGACTGAAGTTTCCTCCATGAGTACAGAGATTAACGACCAAAATCATCTGTTATTAGCTCAGTTTAACTTAATCCAAGGATAAATCTGATACCCTGAGTCCCTCATCAGGACTCTATTAAAGATGAATTTCATCCAGGTTCATGATTTAGACCTCAGGGCATCAACTAATGACTCCAGCAATTAAAGCTGCAGGAATCACTGTTTTTATATTAAAGCTTCAATGAGGAGATCTTTGACATTTATGAAACACAGTGAATCTCATATTTATGCTTTTCCATGATATCCCAGAGCACACCACACCATCACTAACAAGATTGATTAAATTTTTAAGGGCTGAAAATCGTGTGAGGAGGAAGGTGTCAGCTGAGCGGCTGAAGAGTGGCTCCGTTTTTCAATTTTCACTTACAATGTTCACAATAAATGATGCATTTGATCGTCAAATGAAGATGAGATGTTTTGTCAAAAGTAACTGCTTAAGCATGTCGAGGATATTACTATTATTGCAGAATTTAATAGTTTGCAAATCTTTTAACCATATTTTTAACAGAAAATGCTGAAAAGACAACACATCAGATGCTGAAACTGTAAAATATATGCTTATTTAAAATTTGATGGCACTTTTCTGATATTGGGTTGCCCTCCTCTCTTTAGAGTTAAGAATGTGATGTCCATGGTTTCTAGAAAAATGTCAAACCCTGGTTTATCAGACCCGACAGATTTCCTGAAATGCTCCTGGATCATGTTTGGCTATGGTTTCCTCTTTGTGTGGAACTGTTTCAATCTAAACTGTGATCACATCTAGTGGTTTCTGGCTGTGATCTTGAGCCCATGTGGTGATTTCCGCTACAGAGCCATGTGATGCTAACAGTTTAACCTAAAAACACCATGTCTACTGCCTCCGGTGGCCAGAAATATTACGACATTAATGTTTAATTCCTGTTTTTTTGTTTACAAATTAATACAGTGATGTTTTAGGCTGTGAAACTTCAGAAAAATAGTGGAAAAGTTCCACTTTAATTCCAGCTGTTGTATCATTTTTCCATCTCAATCATCAAATGTCAAATTCTGTCATTAATAAACCGAAAAAGTCTCTTTGAAGAGCCACAATACAGAAAAAAATACCTCTTTTGTTCAAAACCTGATTTTTTTTTTTTACTTTTTCAGGATAAACCAGATGCTTCAGAGACATGAAACTCACATGACATCTTTTTGTTTCGTTATGATCTGATTTTTGTTTTGAGAAGAGAGAAATGCTGAATCAGGAGAAGAGAGCAGAACGCTGGGTTCAGTTTTAGCACCAATATCCATGAGGATTCAGTCTTTAAATACCTGAGGATGCGAACACACTCTCTCTCTCTCCTCCTTTCTCACTTTTGATCAGCAAACTTTTCATCTTTGCTTCTCTGCAGTGAGGGACGTGATGGTGAAGCTCATGTGGAAGTCTGTGGACAAGATGAGGTGTTTCAGGAAACGCTCCATGCTGCCCTTCCTCGGCTTCCTCATCACCTTTCTGCTCTTCTTCAACCTCTACATGGATGATGGATATGTGCTGGTGAGACTTCCTGTTTATTTACAGGCTGTTTATAATGATTCTCTTTGATTTCCAGTTTATTCATGTCGATCTTCTGTGGGTTTAGGAGGCAGAGAAGAGACAGCTGGGAGAGACGCTGATGCATCCTGCAAACTCCGACAGATACGTCCACACATTCAGAGATCTGTCCAACTTCTCCGGGACCATAAATGTGACGTATCGCTACCTCGCAGGGATTCCTTTACCTCGCAAAAGTATGTCGTACTGCCCTGATACTGCAGTTGTTGAACACATTAACATGAGAAGTGTTTTGTATTCTGACTTTGTGATGTTTCTGTTCACAGAGTATCTGACCATTGGATTGTCATCTGTGAAGAGGAAAAAGGGAAACTACCTCCTAGAGACGATCAAGTCTATCTTTGATCAGTCCAGCTATGAGGAGCTCAAAGAGATCGTCGTTGTGGTCCACCTGGCAGACTTTGACCTGGTCTGGTGTGAGAACCTAGTCCAGGAAATCACCAGGAAGTTTGCTCATCACATCATAGCTGGTCGCCTCCTGGTGATTCACACTCCAGAGGAGTACTACCCCTCTCTGGATGGTCTGAAAAGGAACTACAATGACCCGGAGGACCGGGTCCGTTTCCGCTCTAAGCAGAACGTGGACTACGCTTTCCTCCTGAACTTCTGCACAAACTTGTCCCACTTCTACATGATGTTAGAGGACGATGTGCGCTGCTCCAGGAACTTCCTGACGGCGCTGAAGAAGGTGATCACCTCCAGAGAGGGTTCCTACTGGGTCATGCTGGAGTTCTCCAAACTGGGCTACATCGGGAAGCTGTACCACTCCAGGGACCTGCCTCGTCTGGCCCACTTCCTCCTCATGTTCTACCAGGAAATGCCCTGCGACTGGCTCCTCATTCACTTCAGGGGTCTGCTGGCCCAGAAAGACGTGATCCGCTTCAAACCCTCCCTGTTCCAGCACATGGGTTACTACTCCTCTTATAAAGGAGCCGAGAACAAACTGAAGGACGACGACTTCGAGGAAGACTCCATAGACATCCCTGACAACCCTCCCGCCAGCCTCTACACCAACATCAACGTCTTTGAAAACTACGACGCCACAAAGGCGTACAGCAGCATCATGGACGAGTACTTCTGGGGGAAGCCTCCGTGCACGGGAGACTTCTTTGTCATCATCTTTAATCATTCGACTAAAATCAGCCGGATTAAGATTGTGACAGGCACCGAGGACAGACAGACCGATATTCTCCACCACGGCGCCCTGGAAGTGGGACAGAAGTCTGTGGAGACCAAACAGGGACGGCAGTGCACATCTTACATCACGTTAGGAGAGTTTAAAGGCGGAAGTATCGAGGTCAACAGCGTGGACCACAAGATCGGCTTTGACATTGAGTGTGTGCGAATAGTCATCACAGCCAGTCAGAAAGAGTGGCTCATTATCAGAACTATCAGCTTATGGACCACACAGCCTGTCAGTCAGTTTGTAAAGTAGACAGAGGAGGTATTTAAACCACCTGCTCTACGGACAGTTTTCATTTAGGATGCTATAAGTTCATTTTGAACTACTACTGGGAAATATGTCTTTATGGGATTCAAAGCAATCCATATTTTCTTGGGTTGTTTGAAGATTTAGATTGAAATCTGATGTATGAAAATGACCAAAATGTAAAAATATGAAGTCTTTATACCTAAACTGAAAATCTGTATGGTATAAAATATAAAATTCTTCATACTTGGCTGCTCTCTTGGTTTGTTCTCTGGCTGTATACAGGTGGGACAGTTGACTCTGTATTCTTCTGATAGGTTCCTTCAACATTAAACTTAATCTATTTCTCATTTTTTACTCAGTTCACAGCCATGCTTCACTTTTGCTCTCTGTCTGTGGAGGATTTCCGTTACACAGCTCTTTTACAAGATCCACAATCTGACTTTATGTTTAGCTTTAAATCTTTGTGTCCTTTGCTGCCATCTTGTGGTACAATGGCATCATGACACCCTTACAAAGCTGTAAAATCTCCAAAAGTTTCCAATTTTCCTGGCTCATGTTCCACAAAACCAAATATAAAATGTTAGAAATAGTCTGAAAAAACATGGAACAACATTATTTATATACCTGATTATATTCACTTTATCATATTGGCTCTTAGTCAGCTTTGCCGCCTCACTGAGAAACTACCTGTAGAAATGAGACCCTCGCTATGCTATTGTTTTCACCAAACAGGGGTTTTTCAGCCTTTTACTTTGTGACCAGGAATTAATACAACCTCACCTTAAAAATACTATCCCTTTAAGTCCTTGTGCTAGTCGACCTCAAAGTATACTGCTTTATTTTACCCTTGAACGATGGAGAACAGTCACTTAGTTGAAACTTCTCACAGCAGGTTACTCTGACTGAGCTGGGGTCTCTTTTGCTTTTTTCATCATAAAAAGGTTGAATTAATAAAGTGCAAATTAAATATAAAGAGCATAAATCAGGTCGGGATTGCATCTTCCTTCCTCTCAGGTCTGAGACAGTTTCAGGTGTCTCTTCCCTGTTTGACTCTCCTTCAGGTTCTGTGTGTGCCAGTATTAAACAGATGGTCTGGCTGCAGAAAGAACCAAACCCAAAATGAGTTTTCAGTGAAAAATAGACTTTCTGAAGTTAGTTTGGATGAATATCTTCCTCGTTTTCTCTGATATTTTCACATCAACTTTCTGGCTGTTTTCACAATACTCTTTCTGTCCTCTTTTATTCTTGACGTCTCTCTCTTCTATATCTCATTTTCTTTGCTTCTTATTTCTGCTCTCAGGAGGCTCGTTCTGCTCTCCTGCCTTCAGTTCAATCCAATTTTACCTCATTCTGTTTCTCAGACCATTATTTCTCTTCCTTCTCTTCTTTTCTTTAAAACGTCTGCTGCCTCCCAAACCCCCCTGCAGCGGTTATTCGTCTCAGTCAATCACCCATAATCTCACACCTGCAGGAAAAGGAAAGCAAACTTCATGTTTTGGAATAAAGCAAAACCACAACACCTGAATACTTTTTTATACACATATATTTGTGTTCTTATGATGTGTTTGAGTCTTTTGTTCTGCGACGACAAAGCAGTTTAACTGTAGAGACTGAGTCATAGTAACAGTGAGATAAATCTAATAAAACTGTGTTTATTCTGCCTTAAATCTATGAACTGGATTATAGACCCTCTGAATATGTGTTTTCTCAGTAATAAAGCAGACTGCAGTTACTTTCAGGTCTGAATGAGATGAAAATTGCCTAAGTTTTCAAGTTTCCATATATTGCAGTGATATTCATAACAAAATTAGAAGGCAGCTTTACAGGGCATGTCCACTTCAGCATGTGATAAATACGGATGGATTCATTTCACAAAAATGTTTTAAAATCTATTGCAGTTCAGTACGCAGATTAAAAAGACACCAATGGAAGAAAAAATCATTCGTCAAGCCTAAAAATACAAAAGTAAATGATTGTTTTGAGAAAAAAAGCATCTGTGGGGTATCGATTTTAACGCCCCCCTGTGGACAAAGTGATGAAATGATACCGTTTTCTCAGCAAATTCTGTGAGTAGTATTTTCTTTTTATTCAACATTTTACTCTGCTTTGTTTCACAGTCTGACACAAAAGTAAGTAAGTAAAAATCTTTCTTGCAAAAATGAACAAAAATGTGCAAAACGCCATTTAGCTGTGTGCAGTGAATAACTTACGATTAGTGGCGCTTCCTCCTGGCAGTCACAGACGTGAAAAATTAGGGTACAGAATTGGTCAGTTCTGTTGTTGATGGTCTTGTTTGCTATCATGGATTATGTAGATGCATTTCCATCCCTTTCTAATCTGTTTTCTAACCAGCTAAGAACTTTTCACAGGAGCTTTAAGTAAACCATCAACAATAAGAAACATAAAAAAGGTCATTATCGCAGTTTAATCCAGTATTAGCAGCTAAGCTGTTTTACAAGTACAAAGCTGCAAGTTAATAGTCGTAATGTTATGAGATTAAAGGCATAGTGTTACAAAACATAGTAAAGTCATAATATTCTGAGTATAAAGTCTTCATGTTCTGAGAATAAAGTGGTGATACAGTTCTAGTCAGCTGTCTGAACCAAAATGTGGACCGTGGACTCATTAAATCGTCACTGATGCTTCGTCACCTCAGCACCACATTTTTTCGAAGGTAGGCTGAGACGTGTGGTATCCCTCCTCAAAACAGCATCATGGAGCACATCATTGGTCAACTCTGAGTATTGTAGTTAGTTAAAACTGAGTCATGTTTATGTCATGAATATTATACGTTTAAAGTAGACAATCTGAAATGGTTTATTTTAAACATAAGCTTGCCTCAGGTAAGTCAAATAGACTATCATAGTTTAGGATTGTAGGAAAACACCAGGGCTGACCATATTTCAGAGGGGTGGAGAGTACCACTCTTGGCGCTACGGTGGCCGAGAACTGCCAATGCTGCAAATAAAAAGAATGCAAAAGAAAAAAAAAAAGAAACCAAAGCTCGCTGCAAATAAAAAAAGAAACAGTGCAGATAAAAAAAAAAAGGCCAAAACAGAAGTTAACAGCACAAAAAAAAAAAAAAAGTGCAGATGGGAAAAAAGTTACTTACTGTGAAAATAAAAGGATGCAAATTAAAGTCGATATAAAATTGAACTGGAGGATCCCAGTGTAGTGTTAACTTCAGATCAATTTCATATCATCTCAGGCGCTACATGGCCGAAATCAAATGACGCGTTGAAAAGTTCACGAAGTGAAATTAATTTATAACCTTTCCACTTACTTCTTTCCTCGTCTTCTCGCCATCATCTTCTGTGCCTAGATCATTAAACACCGGTACCTCATCATTACTCGTCCCCGGCAGCTTACTTCCGTTGTGCCTTTTTTTTATTTGCATCCTTTTATTTTCGCAGTAAGTAACTTTTTTTTTTCATCTCCACTTTTTTGCTTCGTTAACTTCAGTTGTGGCTATTTTTTTCTTTAAATCCGCACTGTTTCTTTTTATATTTGCAGCGGGCATCGGTTTCTTTTTTTTGTTGCATCGGTAACTTCTGTTGTGACTTTTCTCTTTTCTTTTTTTTTTTTTGCATTCTTTTTTATTTGCAGCAGTGACGGTTCTCGGCCACCATATAGCAGCCCATCAGGATGCGCCCTTGAGTATAATACACAGATTCCAAAAACACACACAATTACAACAAATTAAAGCTTTAGAACCAACAGTGGCTCGTGATAAAAGGTTATACGCATGTGTTTGTCAGAATATCAATGAGCTAGTCCAAACCGCCTTGACTGTTGAGCGAGAATTTTGGACCCAAAAATGTGTCAGACCGAGGAAATTAGTCTGATAATCGAGTCAAAATGATCTGAAGTTGAGAAATTATATATAAATGTATTATAAAGAAAGCGACACTCCCTGTTTACAAAGACCATCTTAAAACTCCAGCAGCGTCGGTGAGCTCGTGAGACGACGTCAACCTGAACGTCCGGTGACGTAAGAGTGAAACGGACACCCTGTTACATCATCAGACAGCGCCAATGTTGTGCCAACACAAACAGAAACGAGACTGGTGGAGAAGTTTGGGGCAGAGCTTTCTCTGTGGAGTACGATTTTGAAGAAAAAAAGCTGTTAACTCAAGAGAAGTGAGGTATTCTCATTGTTCTTGAGTTGGTTTTGTTTTTCCTCGTCTCAGCCGGAACCTTAGACGGTGAGTAACACTCAGATATTAACGCTCTCCGTTGCTAGGATTAGCATTTCATGTTTTAATCGGAGATTATATTCCAAATGCGGGTATTTAAAATACGAATTGTGAGAAATGAGAATTAATAAGTCCAATAATGTGAAAGCTAAAATTAATACACCGTCATCATCGGTGTTAGCTGTTTATAAGGATCTTACATAATGCTAACCCAGCTACAAGAGCTGAACTTCGCCCGAGAGGAAATCCACATGTAGCTGTGTTTGTGTGTTTTTATTCTGAATCACAGAGGATTTTTTGTAAGATTTAGAGGAGTCACTGCTGTGTAAATTCTGTTCAGGCCCATCTGTGATCAGCTGTTAGAGGAGTTTGAGGGTTTAAGGTTGTTATTGCTTAAGGGCGTGAGAGCAGAGAGTCCAGATCAGCTGAAGTGAAACCACAGCATAAGCACAAATATGAGCGTGATAATATAAGTATATGGACTAGTAGGGTGTGGGACAGTGTCATTGGTTACTGTGGTTAGGCTGAGACAGGAGACTTATCTACAAGAATCACTCTGTATAATAGGGGAGAGTGGGGTAAGTTGAGCCACCTCCTGTTGAGAGAAATTGATCACGTGACCAAATATTTAGAAGATGGGCATCAATTCGTGGAGTCTGTGAAGGTTAGAAGTACTAGCTGTGTAGTACATGAGACAACAATCTACCGCTGTCTTCATATGTCTGGGCTATGGGGTAGGGTGGCAAGATGGAAGCCTTATCTTACAAAGAATAACATCAAAGCCTGGCTTAATTTTGCAAAGACATCTGAAATCTCCCAAATACATATGGGAAAATGTGTTATGGTCTGATGAAACCAAAGTTTAACTTTTAAGACATCATTGCAAAAGGTATATTTGGCGCAAAATCAACACTGCTCATCACCAAAAGAACACTTACCCACAGTGACGCATAGTCGTGGCAGCATCATGCTTTGGGGCTGTTTTTTTTCATTAGCTGGAACTGGTGCCTTAGTCAGGGTGGAGGGAATTATGAACAGTTCTAAATACCTTTCAGTGTTGGCACAAAACCTGCGGCCTTGTGCTAGAAAGCTGAAGATGAAGAGGAACTTCATCTTTCAGCACGACAATGACCCAAAGCACACATCTAAATCAACAAAAGAATGGCTTCACCGGAATAAGATTGAGACTTTGGAACGACACAAAGTATTTTAATGCTTTTCGGCTGCTTTAATTCATTTCCTTCATGTTTCAGTTTGAGAAAACCTCGTGTTTAAAGTTAGTTAACCAGAATGAAACAAAGTTGTCCCACAAAACAAGCACAGAACTTGAGGGTACAGACCCCGATGCTTTTAAATCACTCCTAAAAACACACCTTTTTAAATTGGCTTTTAACCTGTGAACTGTTCTTTTATTGGCTTTTCATTTTGTGTCTTTTTTAACCTTCTACACTTTTAGTCTTATTACTCAAAATTTTCTGTTTTAAATTTTTTTTTTCTTTGTAAAGCATCTTTGAGCACCTGTAGAAGCGTGTTATAAATAAAATGTATTATTATTATTATTATTAAAACTTGTTTAGGCTGCACAGAGAACAGGGTTAGACATTGTCCTACATCTCTGGGTCAATTTGGCCTTATTTTTTTAACATTTAGACTGTTTTTAAAACCTGCATTTGTAACACTTCGACTAAATTACAGCTTCTACAACTTAAAAGGTATCTTTAATTTCAAAACAAGAATTAAAGGAGAAGAAAAGGCGATATTGTGCTGAGAGACACACAAAAACAACTTTCTGTCGACTGCTTGCTCCCCCAGGTTCTGCTGAGCTGAATGAGGTACAGCTTTCTGTCAGTGCTGTTTCAGAAGTGCTGCTGCTGCCAGGATGGGCCAGCAGCTCTCAGGTCAGGCGATGACCCGTCTGCCTGAGAAGCTGGTGAAACATGCAGGGCTGGTACGGGACAGCGGCTACCTGACCTATGAAGAGTTTTTGGCAAGAGTGGCTGAACTCAATGACGTGTAAGTTCCAGTCTGTAAAGGGCACATACTGCAACTGTTGAAACACAACAGGGGGTAATTGTTAAACTCCTCTGTCACATGAATGAAATGTGGCACTACAGGTATGGATGTGATCTAAAATTGTTTACTTAAAGCAGCATCGTGTTTGTGTTTGATAAGAGCAGAGTATCATCTAAAAACAGACACCAGTACTCCAGCACACTGTTTTTGTTTACAACTTAATTTGATTCCCATCATGTGAATCAAGCTCTTTATTCATGCAATACCTAACCATCAATACTCACCAGCGTCCACTTTTTAAAGCACTTGAAGGGGAAGTGCACGTCAGCATTTGCACACCTCAGACTCTCATCCTTGTCTATCAGTATCAGAACATAAAATGTATTTTTCCTTGTATTTTATGGCATGTGCAGTTTTCATAATTTCTTGGGTTTACTGCTCTAGCAAACAGCAGTAGAACTGAACTCAGGCTGTTTGATTGAGATGAACATGTCCTCTCTCCTCTGTTGGATCTCTCTCAGTACTGCCAAGCTGGCGGCTGGGCAGCAGAAGCACCTGCTGTTTGAGGTGGAGCCAGGATCCGATGCCACAGCACTGTGGAAAGTGGCCGTCAGAGTCCTTTGTACCAAGGTGAGCAAAGAAACTTTGGCGCACACATCACAGGCCAACACTGGGATCAGCTCACACATTTGATCTTATATAAGTAAGAGTAAAAGAGAGGGAGTCCTGTAGAGGAACATAACAGACTGTTTGGTTCATGTTTGAATGTGCAGTAGCTCTGTAATGAGATAACTTTGAGGATGAAGCAAATAGATTGTTGTACAGTAGGGGTGCGCCAAAAAAAAAAAAAGCTCCGAGCAGGCAAAAAAAATAACCTGGTCTATCGCCTGCTTCATTGCCAAAGACCTACGGCCTTACAGTGTGGTGGAGAATAAGGGGTTTATCTGCATGATATCTGCGTAGATAAATGCTTAAAGCTTAATAAATGTGAAAAAGACACTTTAATGTCTTCATACAGCAGATGGGAGTAGATCGTGATCAGAAATAAGGTCAGAAATCATTATGAATAAAATCGTTGTGAATCGAAAATTGATTTTTGAATCAAATCGTGGCTCCAAAAATCGAAATTGAATCGAATCGTGAGACAGTAAAAGATTCCCACCCCCTATTGTACTGACCATTTTGTGTTGGCATTGTGCGTTTGGTATACTTGATTAATTAAAAATGTAAGATAACCTTAAACTGTACTCCTGCTGTCCTTTACCAGAAGTGAAGATAATTTCCTCTGCACGTTAGAGTACTGCTAAGTTATTCAAATATATTACAGCTAGGAATATGAGAGTTAGCATCTAAGCAAACACTGCTAAATAAAAAAAACAAACTCTGATTGGCTCCTTGAGGTGTAAACATCACATCTGCAACAATATTTTGTTTTATTTGGATGTTACTGTCTCCTGTTAAATCTGGAACAACTTTAGAAACAAACTAGCTAGTGTTATTGTTTTACTGTGGACTAGATACAACTTACCAAAGACCTCTAAAAAGTCTTGACTTTGTTGAAAGCTCTTCTCCTGTGTCAGTGACACCATTGTTGTCAAGTTTATTTTTATATTGCCTGAGCTATCTCCTGTGTATAACCTGAAAGGCTTTACAGAGAAATACAGCAATAAACCTAGCATGTGAGTGCACATGTAAGCTATAAATATGACTCAAAGCCTCAAGCCCTGTCAGTATGTGTAAAAATAAACAGCACTGTCTGAAAGTTTCTCTCTGTTCTGACAAATGAGACACTGTTTTTCTGCACTAAAGCTTGAAGTTACTGTCCGAATAGTTATTACAAAGATGTTGTTAATCCTCTATCATTCAACCAAACCATATTTTCACAAAATGTACACTATTCTTCAACACTTATTGTACCTGTGTGTCATGTAAGTGGTGTGGTGGCCTCTGCTTTCTCACAGATTAATAAGGAGAATGGTATGGTGGAAGCGTCTCGCATCATGAACCTGTACCAGTTCATCCAGCTGTACCGAGACATCACCAGTCAGGCTGCTGAGGTGCTGTCTGCAGAGGGCGCCACTGAGGGCCCGTCTGCCCAGCTCCCCTCCACAGAGTCCTGTCAGGCCAGCATGTGGATGGGCAGGTAGGTGCTCACAGTGTGTGGGGAAAGAAACAGCGAGTGAACATAGTGCAGCAATAATCAGTTACAGAGTAAGATATTTGATAAGTACATTTATGCCACACTTTCTTACAAGTGAAAGCTAGAGTTGTTCTAGCCCTGTTTGCTAAATTTGTAACCAAGAAGCTGTTTCATAATACGACTCTTCTCTTTATCTCCAGCCAGCACATTTGTAAGCTTTACCACATAGGAAGTGTTTCTTAATGCTGCTGAAATGATAGATTTTGCAGCTTATTTTGCAATAGGATGACTTATTCTCCTGAATGAATTCCCATCACAGGAGGTGCTCGAGCTGGCAAAGGGGATGATTTTAATTTTCATCCATTTTTTAGTGCTGAGTGGGTTTTTTTTTTTTTCGCTTTCTTTGAGGCAGAAGCTCCAAAGTCATCAATTCAAAGTAAGACTTTTGGAGGTAAGAGGTGCTGGCCTCCACAGAAAATAATTAAAAGTGTGTCTGTTTCCTTGCAGAGTGAAGCAGCTGACCGACAAGGAGGAGTGCTGTATCTGCATGGACGGAAAAGCTGACCTTATTCTTCCCTGTGCACACAGCTTCTGTCAGAAATGCATTGATAAATGGTAACGTGACAGGCAAAGCTTGAATTCATTTAAATCTTTAAGGATGCAGGTGAAAGTTTATGCCTTGTAAGAGTATGAACAAACAGCATCAGCTTTTATGTCACGCTCTTGTTCTCCCCTCTGCAGGAGCGGGCACAGCCGAAACTGCCCGATGTGTCGCCTGCAAGTGACCGCTGCCAATGAGTCGTGGGTAATGCCGGATTTTCCGACAGAGGACGACATGGCTGGATACATCCTTAACTTGGCTGACGAGGCAGGCCACCCACACAGGCCTTAACACACATTACACTGAGCGAATTATAAAATAACCACGTCGAAGAGACTTTACATGTTGTAACGTAAAATGTCACTTTCACTGAGGAGGAGATTGATCGTGTTTTCCAGAAAAAGCTAAGAGGAAGCTGGGTTTGCAGCTTCAACCCTAGGATAACCTTTGTAACCCAAGTACTGTAGATGTTCGGCTTTTTGGAACAGTGTCAGTGTCTGAGTTAAGAACTAAGTATTTTTTGATCTATTAAAATGAATAATATCCTGCTATTTTAACACACAGACACAACAAAAGTCTTTGTGTTTTGGGTTTTCTAATCCAACAAAGAAGAGGAAGACTTTTGCTGGCACTTAAAAGCTGGAAGTTTAAATTTCCTTTCTTTTTAGTATGAGAGGAAACATGAGCTCAGGCACAGTGGCTAAAGTTAGCTGATGATTCGCTCAGGTTAGCACAAAAAGTAGAAATACTTGCTCTGACTTTGTTGTAAGATGATAAAGTTACCCTACCAGCACCTCTAAACCTCATAGTTTAACAAGTTCTGTCTTTTCTGATTACCTGAACCAGAACTGAAATGCACAAACAGACAAATGTACAAATGAGAGTGACTTATTTTCTAACTGTTGACACAAATTTAAACCGGACTAACTGAGGAGAGTAAAATAGGGGGTTAAAATTGAGCCAAATTTCTTTGACAAAGCTAAACACAGGTTCATGAAGAGTAGCTGAATAACACGTATAATTGATAAGCTGATGAGGTGCTGATAGATGATGGGTTTTGTTATTTATAGATGTGGCAACAGTAGCTGCTTCCCCCGTTTCTAGTCTTTGTGCTAAGCTAAGCTAACCACCTGCAGACTGTAGTCATATGTTAAACAGTCTGAATAGTCTAACCCTTGTACTTCATTCACACAGTTTCTGGTCAACCTGTTAACCAAATTCCCCCCTTATAGTAAATCTGTTTCATTTCTCTCTAATAATCTAACACTGCATGTTAATATCCCACGTGACATGCCTCACGAGCCGGGTTTGTGTTAACGGGAGATTGACTGACATCCTGATCCGCTGCAGATCCTGACACAGTGACTGATAGTTTAAGGATGGACAGGACTGAATAGCTTTATATAATTTAAACTGGCTTGCTATGGTGTCTTCTTTACTGTTGGGAATAACCACTTTTCGTTTTCCATGCAGTTTTCCTCTTTTATTCATGTGTATATTTTTAGTTTGATCAGAACTTTATTGAGGTTATTCTTATCTCATTGCTGTCTAAGTACTGTAGTCTACAGTCACAGAAAATCCACTCTTATCTTTGCTTTCTTTGCATTGGAACGCCTAAAATGTGATGGATATATTGAGATAGGCAGCTTTTGTTTACAAATGAAGTCTTGTAGGATTTAAAACCACAGAAATATTTTATTTTTATTATGTATTTCAGAGCTGTTTTGCAGATCACACTCACCATGAGCAGCACTTTTCTTTATTTTCAAAAATGGGATTGTTGTGATTTATGTTGTGTTCATAAAGTTTAGTCTGAAAGTTTATCAGAGTGAAAAACTTCAACATTAGTGGAATCTGATGCTCTACCTAGAGCTGTTACATTATGGTAAAATTAATGTAGCATTTCTTAAGAGTAAGTCAGGTTTATTAGTACATATTCACAGATACATGACTGTCACTCCTAAATTATACAAGTCCAAAGTCATTCACCTTTTTATTCTTATGAAGGTATTTTATTTCTGTGTAACCAATACAGCATAAAAATGTGAGACACAGTTTGACCAAAAGGACTTTTTAGTCATAAATGCTGACAGATCACACTTTGATTTCTGTATTTTCTTTTCCTGGTGTTTGTACTTAATAACAGCAGATAATCTTTTTTATTTTACAATTAATATAAGATAATACAGCTATTTCTTTACAGCAATTAAAGTCAGAGAAAAAGTCTGATTTGTGGCTGCATTACTGCGTGGCTCATGTAAAAGTATTGTAAAGTGTAATATTAATAATTAAAGACATATGTTTAATTTGGTTCAAAGGCCCTTCATTATTGGTTGTGTTAAAGCTTCTGAACCTACATGGACACATACTGTATGCACATTTGCTGAATGGTAGGAACTGTATCTAAAATAAATCGATTCTTTCACGTAATGTCCTTAATAAACTTTTTGCACTTTATGACTTTGCATTATGTTTGATTGAAAAAAGGTTCAAATCAAATGGAATCACTCAAAATAAAATGTTTAACTGATCATAAAAATATTTACCCACCTCATTTCCACATGAAAAAAAAAATGAAGCACTATAGACCGAAATGGGTCTTGCAATACTGATATAGTATCAAAGCTACCCACTAAACAGGTTATATTCCATCATTTCATCAGAGTCCTGTCCAGCTAAAACAATGCTTCATTTTTATGACTCTGTCTTAAAGGGATATTACGGCGTAAAATTAAGTTAGGGTCAAACACATCAGACACCCAGTCGAGAGATAAATGTTGCCGACCGCTTGCTTCTCTAGATATACCAACTTTAGTGACAACTGCACGATAGCAATATAGAGCACCACACGCTCAACCAAAATGCCACTCTATAGCTACAAATAATGCTCAGAACAGCACCTAACGTCATCAACAGTACATAAAGGGTTCCAGCCATAGTATTAGCCACCAAACATCTTTTTAGCTTTGCTTAATTTCTTTAGCAAAGAGACTAAACACAACTCACCTACTTTCTTCCAGCAGCTGCTTGTTTGTGCGCAGACCTCCGGGCGAGTCCATCGACTGCAGCGGGGTGACACAGCTCAAGGAAGAACATTTATGATCATTACTTTATCATTTCCTTGAAGTAATAATCGTCATATTAATCATTTTACAGTGCAGACGCAGTAGTTCTTCGGCCTTAGCATCTCGGTCTGATTGCATTTACATGAGGGAATGATCATAAATTAATATTACGCCGGAATATCGCTTTAACATAATCTGAGTTTATGTTTTAAAGGGGGACAAAAGCACACGATGAAAGTAAATTTGCTAAATGTCAACAAAATTTCTCTTTTTAGATTAGAATCGTCAAAATTATCGGCAATATGGCGTAAATAATCAAACAAAATCGTTATACTGCTGTGTCATTGCGCGTGAACCCCAAGAGGCAAACGGACAGAAGGGAAGCTAACCGTCATGCTCGAACTAACTGCAGGGCTCTCAAGTTTTGAACTAAGCTTAGAGTGAGATTTCCTTGGGGGGGGGGGTCGAAGAGTGATTGAAGATAATTATTAGTATAATAATCTAATAAATACAATGGAGTATGAGGGCCACATTAAGAAAGAAAAAAACATTTTTAAATCTTTGAGATTAAAGTTATTATTTAGGAGAATAAAGTCATTAATGACTTTAAGAATAAAGTAGTAAAGTTACCTGTTGTGGAGGAGAGTTGTTAAAATCAGCACTGAGGAGCATTTAGATGAATTGTACTTTAGTATAGGTTTCACAGACATGGAGATACTTAATCCTTTGGTATATCAGCATTACACTGTCACGAGTATCAGAACTTTAAAAAGAATATATGAGAAATGCTGCTTTTGTGGAGGGGAAATGGCTGTACAGAGGCTAAATTCATCAATGCAGCTGTTAATAGCAATAGCATAGGGCTTTAGTTTATCATATGAGTTTATCTGCCATGAGGTGTTGAGGTCTCTGCATGTGTAGGTTACTGACTTACTGTAATCATCGGGTCTTTCTCGTCCTTATAAAAACCTGCTCTATTTCAGCAAGTGTCTGTCTTCTTCTGTAGTCAAACCGCAAGATATCAAAATCTACCCGGATACAGCAATGCTGCTTTTTGATTGGCTGTTCAGTAGATATACTTTATTTGATTGGCTTGCGCGTGGCACGCAGCTTCTGAACTCTCGGAGAAACTCCGTTGATTTCCCCCTGTTCCATAGTTAAAGAGGTGCAACTTGGTGGACATCACCATGTTCATTTAAATGCGTGAGAAATACAATGTGTGGCGTGTGAGCGTGTGAACAGGTGGGAATGCGTGTGTCTCACGCTGAATGCGTGAGACTTGAGAGCCCTGTAACTGCCACTAAATTTATTCCGGACGGAGGTCGCTTTTCACCTCTGAGAAGTGTATCATACCTCCAGTAAGTTTATCATTATAACTCAATTGAGTCTTTGAGCATTAAATTCGTGAATTAGGCAAGTTTAGTACCTAAGTGTTTCAGGTTTGGGCTAAGCTAATCGCTAACGGCTAATAAACCGTTGGAACTGCCTCCTAACTGTAAACTGTTGCCGTTGACGCCGTCCTCGGGAGAATTTCAGTAACACACCAGCGTTAATTTGTTGGTAAGTTTTGTCTGTTAAAAGCGATATTTTTTCCTTATTTCAGAGGTCAAATGAAATGTCAACATTTCTGCCAAGGCTACAAGTGTGCTGTGCTAATGCTAGAATTAGCTGTCAAACCATTCAAGAGCTGAAGAGAAGTGGGCCGCCACCTGTGGTAAGGTAATAAGCTATAGTCAGAAAGGATTTATCAATTTCACAGGAAGTCAAGGAAAATTGAACACAGAATTTAACGGTGTTAACTTACTGTCATAGTTTTGTGTTTTCCCTGTGACCAACATATTCCCATTATTGTGCATGTTGTTGACACCTGCTGGTTACCTTTGATACAGACAGGGACAGCTTAACTGTTAAGTTTGACAAGAAAGTGACTCATGCACAAACAGGTCAAAAATAAACTTTTGCACCAGTTTCTGTGACATCTGTGTCGCCTTTATTTAGTAATGAAAAACTTACACAAAATAAAAATACAAAATAGGAAAAATCTATGAATGATAATGTCGTGGCACCAACTTTATGAACCCACAAACATACTGAAGTACTTAAAACATTCCTGCCTACACTGGTCTCTGTGGTGCTTTGCACAACATAATTCACTAACTCATGCAGTTGACAGAGTTAAGGGTGAAAAAGCAAACCTATCAGTGGCCATAAACTTTTCTTTTTGGTAATTTTAACTTCTATTACACTGTGACGTGCATAAGAGCAAGTGACTGGAAAAAGATACAAGCAGTACCTATTCTAATTTTATAAAGGTCAAAAACAAACAAAGAAAAATAAAAACAAGCTTATTGAAATGACCACATGGTGACTTTAAGTTGTATGAAGTTAAAATATCAAGTTTAAATCCTGCTACATTGAGTAGGCTATGGGAGATTTCTGCAATAAGGTTTAAAATAAGTGGTAAAAATCCTATTTTAACGTTTGTTCCATCACACATTTGCTCCTTCATCAGTAAAGACTAAGTCAGATACATTTTGAGCTGCAGTGGTCTGTTACTCTGGTGAACCAGAGCCACTATCTGCTTTCACTGCATCCACAAGAAAACTGAGCTCATTGCACAGTGTCTCATGGCGGTAGGCCATGCGGATTTGTGCCACATTTGTCCTCCTGATCTCGTTGCCCTCTGGTCCACCCTGTAGGTAGTTGGAGCCAATGAAGTGTTTCTTCTCCTGTGGGGAAAAGGAACAAAAATGATGGACTGCAGCTTTTGAATAGTTGTTAAAATAGGCAAATAGCATGCTCTATGTATCCAGGTGAGGGAGCAGGTTTGGTGACCTAAATATGCTACTTAGTCAGTTTGTGTAGTTTCACTAGTAACACTGGTGGCTGTCTTTGCACATAAGTGGTCTAACAACTTTGTAACAAAACATTGTGACTCGTATCTTTTTAAAACAACACTTTGGTGATTTTCACTTTGTGTGATTTAACTTTGTAAAGCTTACTGTTAAATTCATTGTAGTGAACTAAATAAAAAACATCATAGGCATGGTGGTGGGCTTTTAGGGACCCATTTTGATAGAAGAATCTGGGATTGTAATAAGGACAAAGTGCTTTGATATGAAGCTGAAATTTCCATTTACCACTGGTCATTTTAGATAGACTAACTTGGACAGAGGGGATGAGGCTTTGAGTTCAGTACCAAGATGGTTTGCTCTCATCTATTAAACTGATAAACCAAAAGAGTTGGAGTTTACCTGATGTGAGAGCCCACTCTGCAGCACACTGTTCCTGGCTATCTCGCACAGATCGCAGGTGCTCAGCTTCCAAAGCTGGGCCGCAATGGCATACTCCTCCATCAAGGCTTCCTGAAAAGGTAAATGTTGCCCGGATTAAGTTTAAGAGCACTATTTGAGGTGAAATTACTTGTAAATTCTTTCTTCTTTTACACCTCAGGTTACAGCCTTTCAGATGCTGCTTAAGTTTGTTCACTGTGTATTAACAGACATTTGAAGAGTGCCTGGGGATCCAGTATGTTCTGTCTGGCTTTTAGAGACATTGAAACTACTTTTCTAATTGAAACAAATTTTCCTTTCCTACTGCAGGAAAGGAAAATTAATCTTTACACAACCCTGTCTTGTCCCTTTTTTTCGCACCTTTGTGTAGTGGAACTGCATGGGGTCATCAGTGGACAGGGACACACACAGGCCCTTCTGTAGGAACTCTCGGAGAGGATTCTTGGAGTACTGTAGGAACAGGCTGTTGTTGCTGAGTGGGGACATGGCGATTGGGACCTGGGCCAGGTAGTACAGGTACTGCAGCACTGGACTCTGGAGAGGAGGTGAAGACACTTATTGTAAGTGGTTAAACTGAATAAGAAGCTGTAGAGTGGTTGTTCTGGCAATGCAAGGCAATGTTCGCCTGAGAGTTTGGTACAAATTTGCACATGGTAACCATCTTTGTTGTTGGTGGTAAATTGGTAGTTGTCATATGATGTAAGTGCAAAGCATCATCTGTTTCCACTCTATGATACTTAAAAGAGCTTGAGTGTTAATCCTCAGCGTGAATGCAGGACTGCACCTTCTTGAGGTTGAGTCCATGGGAGATGTTGTCAGCCGTTAGGAAGGCAGAAACCAGATGAGTGATGGAGCCGGCCTCGCCGCAATGTGGGCGAAATTGGAATGTGTTTAGACCTCGCTCCCTGGGGACAGATGAATGCAAATACTTTCTATTAGCTGCATGTAGGAAAATTTTAAACATTTTCTTAGAGTAAAATCCTTTTAAGCTCCTTAAGTTTTAAAAAAGTTTCAACTTAGTCAGTGACATGTAGCGACAATCATTTTGGGACGGAAGTCCTGGGTAAATAATGCACATCAGGCCATCCAGGGGTTGTATTGGAAATGGATTTATCTGCACAGGTCTTAAATAAAGTCTCTGCTGATATAGTTGTTTTTTTGTTTTTTTTTACAGGAAGCTTTCAGAAACCACACTCGCAGCAGGTAAGCTCTATGTGATTATTAAACCACATCAGATTACATATATTTGCTGCTCACCTGGTGTCTGGGTGTAAATTGTATATTGTAAACAAGATTGTTTCCTGACAAGACTACCCTAAAACTGTTATACTACCTGAGAGCATCCCTGTAAGTGAAAAAGTGAACATGAACGGAGTCAAAACTCACGTATACACATCAGTGTTACTGATCAGATAATAGTAGTCTTTTATCCCAGAGTTCCTCTAAAAGTCCTTATTTCCTGGGGAAATTTCCAGTAGCCTGAAAGCACCTTAAGAGTGCAAGAATTGCATCTTAATTAGTGCTTGCTGTTCTGTATTACCTTTTTTTTTTTTACCTCCAAGTGCATATGAGATTTAAGGTGCATCAGTGTTATTCACCTCTACGCTTTTTCTGCACTGCTGTTTTTATGCATCAGTCATTCCTGCAGTAGGTCTGAAACACCTCATCAATCAGTCTCCACCTGTATGTGCCTAAAATATCAGAATCCTGAAATAAAACTTGCGTCCAAACACTTAACAATCATGATTTCTTTTTTTTTATCCGGCAGGTCCCATAACACCACATTTTAACTGCATAGGTGTTAAATGACAAAAAACAGTTAAGACCCTTAGTTCTTGTCTGAACTTACTTGCGTAGGTTGTTGAGCACCATAATGTTGGCGTACATGTAGAACAGGTAGTATGTGTATGGAGGATTGTCATCTGTTGTCCAGCTCTCTGGTTTCGGGCTTTTGTAAGAGAACATGTGGTCACTGTGCTTGGACTCGTCATCCACGCTGTCAAATCCTGTTACCTGCCAGATAAAGACAATATTGCTGTGGATTTGCAAAGCAAATATGACACGGTCATGCATGTTTGGCTGTTCCTCCTGTTTCCACAGAACTGTCAACATGTATCACATAACTTTTTTCTGTTAGTTACCGATCCCCCTTACTCACATATTTCAGGAAAACATGTAATGTTTTGTGCTTTTGAGGGTTGACTGTAGCCTCAAACAGAGGGAGGAAAATGTTCTCCAGCATCTTGGCATAGTTTGGCACCAGCTTCTTTGACCTGAAAATGTCACTGTGAAGACAAAAGGAATTAATTTAACCTCCAACACAGTTAGGTCAGCTTACAAGTTTAAAGACCAAGCTTGGACTAATCTGAAATAGCTCTTTATGGTATTTTTTTATGACATGTTTAACCCAAACAAGGTTCCTAGATTTTACTACTCATTGTTCAAAAGGAGGAAATGAAGGAAGATTGGCTGTCAGTTTATTACCAGCCCCAAAAGTGAACGTTAATAGTAAACCAGTGAGAACAAGGAAATGTCTATGGTGGCTGTGACAGTGGATGCCGTGTTGCCTGCTTCTCTGAAGAGCCCCAGCACACTTTGATAGTTTCAAGCCTGTTTTGTGTCAAGAGATCTGTATTTGTCTCTCTGCTGTCACATAGTTTTGGTTTGCTGTCACTGAGCACTTACTAGATCCTTGGAACTTGGATCATCCATCTCATGTTTGTTGAGTGGACCTTTTGCTGGATGAACCAAGTTGCCAGGCTGTCCCACTCACTGGCAGAGCGGCCGTAAATGGACAGACGGGGCTCAGCGTGCTGGTACTTACTCTCCTCCAGCTCTTTGGCCACTTCCTGAAACAGACGTGAAAGCCACAGGAAGTTAGTCATGTTTCTCAATAAAGCAGAAATGACCGTTGGTAATTGCTCACTGGATAGATAAGCGCTAATTCTGCCACATCTGTGACATTGTTTTAAAGAAATACATAGAACAGAGTTGAAAGTGTTTCCAAAGATATGATGTGGACATGAATAAACTTTCATGTGCTTGACGGCTCAGTAGTCCACCACCAGTGGGTGCAAGGCACCACAATCTCTGTAATAGCTGTTACATTATAAGATAGAAGTATTCTTCAGAGACATTCTTCTCTGAGGGAGACAGGAATTGGCTTGAAATATCAAGCACAAGCAGTTCAGTTATGTGGAGAACAAACCAGTTTGATTTTTGTGGTTAATCTATTGATTTTAATTCAGAAGTTCTTATCCTGAGACAAACGATTGTTTCTCTTGTTATTAAATTTGATTGAAATGTCAGTTTTCAGAGGCTTTAATTGGTATAGCCTGGACTGTCTTTACATGTTTTGAATGCAGAAATTTTTATTAAACAAAAGCACAATGTCTCTGTTCTGATTATCCACAAAAGTTTGACACTATTTCTTGAGTTTTATTTTAATGCAGCTGCTTTAAGTGCAGTATAGAGATGGCAACAAGTACTTAGATATCAAGTCTCATAATTTAATCTTTAATCTGAGCAAGAGTCTGATCAGAGTGCATGACAGGAAACAGCATTAAACAGGGTTTTTCACTGGTATTAGTGCTTCAGTTTATACTCCACCTTGATGAGACGTGCAAAGTATTCCCCTTTGATGTAGTTGTCAGTTTTCAAGTAAATCTCTCGCAGCTCACTGGCTCCCACAGGGTTGTATTTTGAGTTAAACTTGTCAAATCGATGAAATGTTTGTCTCCCCTGAAAGAAGAATTCGTGAGAGGGAGTGAATCTGATGTACTGATGAGCAAGCTCCCATTCCAGCAAAGTGACTATATTGATTATTTTCAGATTACACGATAAGAGGACCTTGCATGAAACATAGAGAATGATTGCATAACACCATATGAAATGCATGAACACCCATAATTGCATCCTTGTGTCAATAAGAACAGGTTAGTGAAGTGAGCCGTGGCTATTTGAAAAATCCAGAAATTAATTCTTGGCAGGGGTGATAATCGGCTGTATTTGCATCTGGGACATTGTCTTCTTGGATAAACAAAACAATGTAAACCTGACGTAAATATTAACGCTCTGGCAGAAAAGATGATGGACCTGATTTATTCAAGAATTTGTTCTTACAGCGTGCACGTCCAGAGAGTCCACAGTGAGGTCATAGGGGTCCATGTGCAGGTTGTCGAAGACTTCCTTGAGTGTGAGCTTCTGACCGGCCCTCTCCAAGACCACGCGATCTGCCTCCGTCTGGTAAGAGGTTTTTATGAATTTCAGCAGATGCTTCTGGTTCATACAAGCTGCAGCGTGTATGTGCGTATCCACCTGTGTTTGACAGAAAAAAACAACCAGTGAATTTATGGAACAAGTTACACAACATTCATAAAACCCAAGTATGTTTAGACTGAGGGCATGAAACCCCCAAAAAAGTCTCACTTCAGCAGAAGGGCGCTGACTGAAACAGATGTATTATGTAATATTTTTCCTAAAATTAGAATTGTTTGCATACTGAACAAGATGGAAAAATAACAGCCAACCTTTCTGACATTGTAGAAATCTCTGTGCGCAACGCATTTCAGCTCCTTTAGCTCTGCCATTTCATTCAGCATTTCATGAAGGTAGAATTTAGAGGCCAAGAAGTTCAGCCGTCTGTGACAGTAAGTTTTACTAGGAGGAGAAACAACATCAGTTTATGAAAGAACAGTTTAAAAATAGGGCTTTTTTGTCCCTCATTTTAATCTTTCAGTAACGATTAACAGACTGTGGAAAATTCCCATGGAACCCTTGAGTAGTCAAGAGTTTTCAAAATGTTTGTGCACTCACGTTGGGCCGTCGGCTATCATTGCGAGGACATGGCTCAAGTCGATGGCAAAGGTCTCAAGGTCAGGGTAAGGGAGGCTGTGCGGCTGCTGCTGTTTCAGAGCTTCAGCATCATCGTAAACATGAACTATGCCATCCTTCATTTGCAGCTCATAGTTCAGGTTCTCAGGAATACCCTCCATCGAGTAAGGGTCCTCCCCTTCATGAGGGGATGGCAAGATGTCTGTGGGTGAAAGAACATCATGAACAAACAGTTGAGTGAAACATTTCCCACAGTCAAGAAACGGTGACTGGTTTTCATGTCTCTTCTTTTGTTGCTTTTGCAAATGTATCTCTAATTACATCGCAAACCAGAAGTGCATTGTGGTATGTGGTAACAAAACAGGGTATCGTAGTTTAGGTCACACACAGATTTAATCTCGATTCTCTGAAGGGATTTGAATGGAATGGGTACTGAGTTTTCTCAGGACACTTCGACCCCTTCCTGCCCAGCTGTGGAGGCTATGCAGTTTTAAGTATTTTTTTTAAGTTGCTTTCACTTACTGTGCAACTTTTTGGGCAACCAAGCACAAGACATGTAAAGCAGCACAAGTATTTGTCTGAAGTGGAAGATATGACAGTGCTCTTGCCTGGCAAGATCTCATCTTCCTCAGTCCACGTCTCATTTTTGGCAGTGCGGAGAAACTGGGCAGTGGTCCTGTAGAAGCGGTGGTAGGCCAACCTAGAATACTTTTCTCTGATGAACAGCGCCCCGAGGAGACTTTGGGCTGCCTGTTCATAATCCTCAACTGTAATCTAGAGAGGGAATGGAAAAAAGCAACTTTATTCAATTTAGGTGCTCATACAATGGCAAAGAATGAACAGTTCTCTGTTTTAACAATGACAGAAAGAACCAAAACTATCCTGCTATTGTAAAATCATCCATCGCAACCTAACTTAGCTGACAGTAAATCTTATTCTTGCCTTTTAGTATTTTTATAAAGGATGTAAATGTTTGTTAAAGGCAGGGATGTGTGATTTTTTTAGTTGTCTGTTCATATTTTGTGGTTGTACATGAAGATACGGAAGTTCTCATGCTGTTTACCCCTGCGCAGTAATCTCCGCTGATGGTAACTCTCTGGAATTCTGGAAATCCCTGTGGTAGAAAACTGTCTACTGAAGTTTGAGTTCCATCTGGACTCATCACAGACGGGGGCCAGTCTCCTTGGCCAGGTATCTGCAAAGTTATTGACTGCGAACGCTTCAACATGAAACTCTTCTTCCTGGTGACCCAAGAAGAAGAATGAGCATTACTCTCCTGACAAACCACAACTTCATCTCAACCTTAGCCCCTCGTCATGCAGAGAGAGAGACACATGTATGTTTGACTCAGCATAAATCCATATCCTACTTCTTGGCAGACTCCTGAGACTGTTGCTCTGCCAGCTCCTTCTTCAGAGCCCTCTCTCGGTCCTCATGTAGTCCGATGGGGCAGTCCTCGGGTACGCAGAACAGTGCCATAGCATCCTTGTTGTCTTCCTCTTTCAGGGCAGAGGCGTACACTTTCTCTGCCATCAGACGAACCTTCTCGTCGACATCATTCATCGACATTCTTGGGAAAAGCCGTGGCATTTCTGAGGGAGTTGAGAAAGGTCTGAGTTGAAGTAATGTGGAATTTATTGAGAAGGAGAAAGTCTGCTACCATGCTTATGCTGGTGCAGGTCACAAAGCAAAGGCTATGACACATATATGACATGCTTACCTAGTTTTAAAACTGTAGAGTAACTGTGATCATGAGAAAATGAGTGACTCAGGGCATGTGTATCAGTCACTTCCAGTGGTTATCCAAGATACTTAACCTCAACGTACCAGAGCTCTGATGAAGTGACAGGTTTGGTATTTTAAAAACTTCCTGCCCTGCTATGCTTCATCTTAGAAGTTGGAGTAAATATGTCAACACTTAAAAAAGAAATGTCATTATATTAGCAGTGGCACTAAGTACAACCACCAGCAGAATAAACATGAGACCTCCAAAAATAAACTTTAAAGGGGGTGGCAGGGGTAAACAAAAATTTATCAACACCTCACCGTAACTCTCGCCAGTAAACATGTCTGCAGTGGCTGACTTATGTTTCAGTACTGGCTACGTGCACGACTGAGGCACGTTACAGTAAACACAGTTAATCACAGTCCCTGCTGTCCCAGACTGGCGGTGTGAACTGTTAGACCCGTGGGGACCAAGGGTCACCCTTCCTGGAATCACAAACTGAACTGAGAAAACTGTGCAACACAGTAAGACAGAAAACACGATGAGATCTTGTTACCAAGTTCTGCTCATCGCCTGCTGATGCATGTCAGCGTTTTTATCTGTTAAACACAGTGAAACAATTTTAGGTAAAAAAATAATAATAAACTAAACAGCCTCACCTGATTTCATGATTGAAGGACTTTTTGACATGCAAGTAATTTTTCACATTAAAGTGATAATTATAGAGGGTTAACCCTAACCATATATGACTCTAAACTGCTCTTTACAAATCCGCTGTTTACGCAGTTACATTTAGATAACCTTTATTTTTACATGTCGATCAGTGGGCAGTCGTCAGCATCATCAGTTTGGTTTCCTAGACCTTGCTTAAAAAATAGATATCATCTTTCACCTGATCCGTGCTCATAAAACAATCTTGTTCCAATTACTGGACTCAGGATTCTGTGAACTTGTGATCAGATTAGACACAGGTCAGCGAGGCTGTTTTTTGATAGCTGTCACTGCTTGTTAATCCCCTCGCTGTGAAAGATACTGTTGCTGTCCGACATCACATCAGTGGTGTAGATGTTTGGCTATTCTGATCACCATGTCACAGTGTTGCTAATAATATTAATGCTAACGGAGGTTACTGGGTCACTTCCAGCATCAGTCCCAGTGTAAGGATTCCCATCAACAAGCTGTTCATGGGGCCAAATATTTCCAATGCATCAAAAAGCAAATGTCACTGCTTCAGACTTGCCTTCGTAAGTTGTTTATATGCAACTTTAGCCATCTGAAAGTTAGAGCAGTCTTGGCACCGTCAACATTCACTGTCGCATTGACATGTTGATGTCCTGCCCGTCTCTTGGCTTGCACATTCTGGAGCCTGTCATGTTGACAACCTTTTCACCACGTGTACTCTCTCCCTGCACTGGAACAGCTGAGATGCCTCTCAAACATGACCTTGACCCACATCCCTTCAGCTATAGAAACGTGACCCACACAGAGCAGTCTGGTTATGTGTGGAGTGTCTTTCAATGCACAGCATGCAACTAAAATCTGATCAATATGCTGAAAGTTCGTCCACAACACTAGGCGTTTCATATTGCCAAACACATCACAAAACTCAGCATCCAATAAAGCGCTTCAGTAATTTTGGATACTAACTTTAAACGTATATTTTCCTTTTTTATTGCTGAAATCACTTTCTACTAAAAGCTGGCATCTCTATCTAAAAAACCATCAAGTGTATTGTGTATACACTCCTCAGACTGCACACCTGATTAGACCACTCAATAACTGGTAATCATTTTCACACCACACTTTAGTGTCACTACACAGCTCCATTATAAGTACAGGAAGCTCTGTTTATATCTTACCTTCTGCTGTGTTTTTGGCCATGTCTGGCTCTTTCAGTGTATACTTCTGTCTCTTCTAGACTCTCTAGCTTTTTGCTTGTGGCTCCCCTTTTTTCATATGTTTGCCACTTGCAGTTGTGTCTCAGGGAACACTTGTAAGTGTTGCTGAAACCTCTTGACACTGTCAAGACCGTCTTTCTTGTATTCACGACTTGTCTCTTCAGGGTTTTCACTCTGACTGCCCCAATCAGGCTGAGCTCTGCTCTTTATGTGCTCCAGTGCCTGTACGAATGATGCAGCTGCTCGTCCGTTTGGTCTTGAGTGTCTCTCTCTATATCTATTTTAGGGATATGAGGGCGTCCTAGCAACAGGGGCTGCTAATCCAAGCTGGTATGTCACAACTGGCTGTAACATGTGAGTGGCTGTCTGTGAGACAGGACTGTAAGGCTGGAATGAAACTATGGCTGGGATAGCATTGAGACCTTGGGGAAAAAAAAACTTAAGAAAACAATCTTTACTTTTCCCAGCTGACGCAGATAAACTCAGCTCTAATTTTAAGAAAAGAGGCTATTAACTGAACCTAAACAGTTTTTATTGGGGCAGATCTATTTTGTCATTAAAGTAAATGATCCCAACATTTCTTAGTTAGACTGGCATGTAAATATTTATGCTGCTAATTTTAGTGTATTTACAGTAGCTGAAACCATGAAGAGAAGCTTGTCTTCCATGTAATGCCAGGGGTCTTCAGGAAAACAAGGAGTCATGAAGTACATCGTGATGTTCAGATGTTCAGATTCTGGTCTCAACTATTGGACTGGAGCAAATCTGGGCATTTTTTTTAACAGATCAGCAGTCGCTGGGCACAATTTGAAGCATAATTATAAGTGCCTTAGTGTAACCAAGCAATCTGGGTTTACCTAACTGTGAAAGCATGGTAAGAAAGTAAAAGTCGTGACATTAATGTGGATTTATTGCACGAGCACGTGCATTCACAGCCAGTCAGTTTACAGCAACAACAAACACTTTATAGCAGCTAACAGTAACTATCCAAATGCATGTGATTCAAAACGCAAAAACATAAAACCAGCACTGGATAATCTGTTACATAAGTATTGAGTAAATTAAGGCTAAACTGTCAGCAGGGTGGAAATATTCTAGAGTAGACAGTGTTAACAATCTAACTACCACTTGTAATTATGCAATATCATCATTTCCCAAGGGGGTAGCAGACAGTAGAGCTTCATTCAAGGAATTCAAGCAACAAAGTAAACTGCTGCTGTGCTGAGCAACAGACTTTATGTTTAAAGGAAGAATTAAAGTTACTGAAATCGCTTTTAACAATCAGTCCATCTCAGTGATTGAAAATGCATGTTTTTGCATTTCAGAGCTTTTAGACCCAGAGTTATTTTTGCCACCTCTCCACATTAGTGATGATTTCCTGGAAGTTTAATTCCAGGAAATAATGCCAGTGAACCGTCTTTTTTCATCCTGTCATAACTTGTGATCTTATGTTAAAGGTGGGGCAGATGTTTGTTGTTTTAATGTACAAGTCTAAACCAGATACTACCTTTGCCTGACATTTAAGTCTCTGATGCAGCTGTCATCAGACTGCAACAACATACTGTCTTGATTTACACTGTAGGGCTTCTGCTATGACCGTAAACACTCTGGGATTTTAATAGTTCATCATATGTCCTTAACATGACGTTCCAAAAATGCAGGCTTAACATATTTTATAGAGTACACATGCTCGTACGATTAGACAGTCAGACCCATAAACACTGTCAACAGAAGTCAATCAAACTGTGGAGTAATTTCATGTTTATGAAGTTAAAATTAGATCTGTGTTGAGGTTACACGTGTGTCTTTCCTGTGTATACCATGTCCAAATGAAACTGGGCTGTTTGCTCACCTTTCCCAAAGTTGGGTGTAGACTGCTGCTTACACAGAGGTGTGTCCCGTCTCCTCATCTTGGCTTGTGTTGACCTTAGAGAAACAAAGCTGGATTTAACAATAGTGTGGTGAACATTTCAATGGTGGATTAATAAGTCAGAGTCTATTTCGAGTCGAATCTAGTTGAGCAACCAAAGTGAAGGTGGACAATTTCTGGCTCTGAAACGCCACAGTATGGTGACATTTTAAGAGGGCTTGAGAATAGTAGCATGTCGAGGTTACTCAGCTTTCATTATATGCTAATCAAAGAGACCACTGGGATCTGCTTCAATAGATGAATGCATTTCAGCTTTTTATTTAGGTCATGTTTGTCTGGTGGTGAGGTTGCAAGAAAAAAACGATTGAGGGAAAAAAAACAGAGTATTGCAGCCAAGTGTTGTTAAAATAACAGATTTGTTCCGTGCAGGTGGAAAGTAAAAGAAGAGAAATGTTGGGTGTTGCAGCTGTAGCAAGTTGCCAAGATGCTCACTTGACTGACATGAATCTGAGGCGTTACACAGCACTTGCCCATGCAACATGTGTTTGTAATGACAGACCTGCTGGAGGATCAGTGAAGTTACGTGGATTAAAGTGCAGTTCAGGCCCCCTCACTGCACACACATGTACACACACATACACACATCTCTTTTTCTCTCTTTTTTTCAAGATAAAGCGCAGAAATTCTTATCGATGAGTGTGAAAGAAAAACAAAACAGATCAAGTTGTGCAAGATTGTCGAAATGTGATTAGAGCATGTCACCCCAAATGCTGCATATCATGCATTAAGGCATTTTTTTCAAAGCTCCTTGTGTTGTTTAAAAACACATGGTGAAATATTGTTGTAATTCTGGATTGCACTAAATTGCAAAAAATCTGAGATGTTTGTTGTAGATTTTTGAAGGGTGAGAAAAAACATGTTCACATGCACAAAGCATGTAATGTTCAACCCTGAGAGTTTTTTTGTGAAATTCCTTGTACACCACCTGAATCACTCTCAGTCACTCAGGTGTTACTGATGGCCATACAAGTGACAGTTCTTCTGGCAGTTTGTAAACAACAAGACAGATTTTGGTTGTTGTGCAACTTCAACTTCTTCCCCAGGGACTTATCTGTGGTGCTGATTGCCAGACCGATTGTACGATACAAAACAAAACAAAACAAGAACTTTATTTATCCCCAAAAGGAGACTAATTTCCTGGAATCTCATGTCATCTACTTTTTATAGAAGAATCAAAAATATTACTTAAAAAGAGTTTTTAAAAATTTAAACTTGGAAGTTTTACATGAGACACTTTGTTGGTTTTGGGATTTCCTGTTTCTTTTCTGAAGAATTTACACACAGTTTGACTTTGCAAACTTGAGCTGCTGCTGTTGTGTAAGTCAAGAGGCTCTGTGCACTGGTCGAGAGGGTCAATGTACCAACGCTACTTTCAACATGTTTGGGTTTCAGATTTTCCTATTTTCAAAATCTAAAGTTGCAGCTGTTTCAGAGTTTGGAGGGTTTACTTGTGGAATATGCCAAAAATTAAGGACAGTTATCTCTCAGAGGTTCAAATAATTAAAATGAGAAACTTTGAGGAAACTTGTAGATCATGTCAGTGCAGTGTAAAGCAAATGTGAAGATACTTCAAACTAAAACAATGTAGTGCCCTCATGGAAGTAGCACCCAATCTATTACACAATGAGTCTGTGGTCACTGCAGTCATCGGTCCTCCTGGACCTTCCTTAAAAGGCCTGCAGGGTCTCAGTGCATTTCTGAAAAAAAAATTACCGGCACAACAAGTTCTGGCCCGCCATTGGAATGCATTGTGTTTGCCAGCTGCGGGGCGTTTAGGGGATACACTGTGTAAGGCTAATGAGCAGACACTTAAGCTGAGACTGAATGTATGACCGAGCTACTTGTTTGTGCTTACAGTAGAACTCAGTGTTATTTTCTGCTCTTTGTGGTTAGTGTGTTCACAGATAAGTGACTCTGCAGTTGCAGTGCACTTCCTTTGACATTCTTCCAACAGTGTCTGTATATGTCAGAGTTTGTCAAAGAGGAGAGGTTTGGTTACCAACTGCAAAGACTTTTTACTGCTCTTTAGTTAACCTTTTGGCTTTACATGGCTGCTACAATTTCAAAGAGGAATATTTTGCAGTCAGAGTAACTTCTAGTTTAATAAAAAATCCAATGTGAATGATGTTGTTTTAGGATGCAAAACATTTGATTGTGCTTCGATGCAGAGCAGCAGTTTATTTTGTTAGAATAGTCAGTAGGTTTTTCAGCACCTATTGCATACGCCTTTACACACAACAGTGAAGAGAGCTGCGGCTTTGAGAAAAACATACTGACAGCTTTTGTGTGAGGCAGCAGTGTGAACCACAGTACAACTGTAGCTCCGACAAATACAGCCAAGACATTTCAGTCACCAGATATCAAAGTATAAAGCAAGGCAAGTGATTGAAAAAATGCAAGAGTGATGAAAAAGAGAAGAAGCGACAATTAAAAAGGCCAAAGAAGAAAAAACAAGTTCAAACTTTGGTGCAAAGAATTAAACAGCAGTGTACTTACTATCTACAGGGTCCTGCACAGTGTTATCACCTCTGAGACCGTAGAGACCCTTATAAGGCGTCACAGGAAAGACAAATCCAGTCAGAGCAGCCTCCTCCAGCATGAAGAGGCACCGCTGGTTTACTCCGTCACTGCCAGCCTCACTAAATGCAAGGGGTGCATGGTTAAAGGCAGACAGTGAACAGTGCTCAAGTAAGAATGAGGAAGTGATCTGCATCAGTTCATTACAGGAAGGGCTAGAGGGAGGACAAGGGCCCCTGTCACTTTATCAGGATGAAAACTTTTTTTCAGACCACACCCCTCCTTGATTGTTCAGGGGAAATGCAGCCCATTGTGTGGGCTCACCTGAGCTTTGTCAGGAAATCTAGTGGCACAAAAAATGAGAATAAACACCAGTGTTAGATTTATGGTTTGATTTTATGTTTTATTAATATTCTACATGCCACATGGACCCACTGTGTGTGTATGTTTTTTTAAAGGTATTGTTATATTGTACAATGTAAGGTGGAGTCACAGTGCGTTTAAGTAAGGAATTTGTAAGCCCACCAAAAGGAGGAAGTCTTAATAATCACAAAGAAGAAGTTCAGGGAAGTTTACTTTGACCTCTGTGCTGCTGTGACACGGGTCAGAGCCTGATGAACTCTGTCAGGCTCACCTTTACAATGATGTATGATGCAGGAAAAGCAGTAATATACTCATCTTCTCTCTCTCTGTCAGATGCAACATGGAAAAAACATTATTGAAGACAAAAAGTTGATGTCTCACATGAATCTCAGTGGTGTGAATTTGCCTGTAGAGGACTTCAAGTATCAAGCTGTGATTTGTGTTGCACAGGGGTGTTGGTGTAAGGCTTACAACACCACCATCTGGACATGATGGGAAATTTTCCAACAGGATCTACATTAAATGCACACAACATTTCAGTGTTTCTTGTTGCTTTAACAGGTCTGAGACCTGCCTCCTGAGCGCACACACTTACTTAGTTTTTTCCTCTTGTGAGAAGTCTTTTTGACAGGCGTTTATTTTTTCGGATCATGGTCGATTTTTCAAAAGTTTTGCATACTGTGTGTCCACTTCTCACCAATCAGATAGCGTGACGTCAGACGTCAGATTTACCGGTATATCCAACATGGCCAACTGGCTGATTGTTTACGTATTGGAGAACAGAGTGCTTTATGATAAAAAAACTAATGTTCGAAAGATAACGCCTGAAGGACAACATGGTGCCGGATCTCTCATATGACGATAGTTTGTGTGCTTTAACAGTTTGCTAAACATCTTTGTTTTAACTTTCATCTGTGCTAATGTAAGGTAATGGTTGTTACCATAGTTTCATGTGCTTATCTTATCGCCTCTGATTGGCAATAAGTGCTGACCGTTTGGCTTAAGGGTGTGATGACGTTTCCAGCTTTTCTAGCCAATCAGAGGCGAAGAAGGCGGGACTTTCCAAGGAAAAAGTCTTCTCAGGGATGCGTCTTTTCCCCCCCGGAAAGTCGCAAAATGTCATCGAGCTTGATGTGCATAGTCTGGCCCGTCAAAATTCACCTCTGAATATTTTGTAATTTCGCGTTCGGTGTGTAAGGACCTTAGAATGACCCCAGAAATCTGAAACTTTCCCCCCTATATGAAGAATTTAGTGGGGAGGGTCCCCCACACTTTGATAAATGAAATTCAGGCCCTGCTCATTCGGTCTTCTTAGAGATTGAGTCGCTCTGAATTGTTTGTAACCTGTTGTTTTAAACAAGAATATTTTTTAATAAAACAAATCAAATATTTTCTATTTTAACATTAGATTTTTTCTTAGTATTTTCTTCAGTATTGTGTTTTAATGATTCACAAACCATCAGAATCTTCTCCTATTTTTTGATTTCCTTTTCTAGATACAGCCTTTATGAAGCTTCTTCATCGACACTGAATAAACCAACAAAGTTAGTACTTTAAAGGGACCTTTAGGGGCGCGTTTTCAAATGCAGACTGAAACAATTTATATTATTCAGTAACTTCCTCGTCCCATTGGGGGGTGTTTTGATATTTAAATGAAAATAACCAGATATATGGTGAAATTGCTCGAAAACTTTGGACAGCGTGTCCACTCTGCACAGTGTCAGTGAAGGTCAAATTCCTCAGTTATTCATAGCTTCACTTAAACCTCACTTGAATGTTTTTGATTTGAAAAGGAACATACTGCTCTCTGCTCTCCATTCATCAAACTGGGATTGTCATTGCCAAAAGATAGTTCATTATGTTGAAATGTTACACATTCGTTGGAACATGTTGACCCAAGAAATATCTAATGAAGTGCATGTGTTCCTTTGAAACAAGGCTGCTGATTAATAGTTGGTTATTTTTAGACTGGAATGTACCATCAGTTCATATTTTAGACTTGATCAAACTCACACATAGAAGAAATCATGTAATATGCTCAAAAACAGGATATTTAATTAGTCAAAAAAACTCATAAAGTATCTTAACGTTCTTTTTATTTTCATACATTCATTTATTTCAAAAGCAAAGACATCACAGTCAGCTGAAAACACTACCATTTCTGCCATGTTGAGCGCAACACATAAATCACATCAACTAATAATACCATGTCAAGTAATTACATCTGATTTGTGAGTATACAAAAAGTTATTACATTCATTTAATATGAAAAATGATACATTTCAAAGTTAAATATTTCAAACAGTACAGTTATCATAACTTATGTAAGTGCTTTGTTAAAGCTGCACTGACTGTGAAAATGTTTGGCCTGCCTTTTTCTTACATGTAGCCAAAACTGAAGCTAGGTGGCAGCACAACACTACGATTAGTACGACGGTCTTTCACCTTCATACCAAACAGAGACCATCCATCACTTTAGGACATAACAAGTCCAGCTAAAAACAAGATGACTCAGTTGTTTTTAAGTTACCATGTATTACTCGAACCATGCACATAGACACCTGTAAACATGTTAAATGCAATTCACTGTCAGAGGCTATAATAATTACAATCATGTTAAAATAGTTAGTTCAACACAAAAAGGATAGCATGATTATTTACACATTTTAAGATACTTCATTGAAGTTAAAATCCAAAAAAATGTATTCAGGCTGTATAAAAATATAATCCTATGGTTAAATATAAGGAAGCTTTATACCCTTACATACAAGATAATTGTTACATATTGTTAACTATGTGTAAGCACGGTACATACTATATAAATTGCACTTCATAATCACGTCACAAGCAGTTGACCACATTCAGTTCACGCCTAAAAGGCTCCTCCTGCTTGCAGCAGTTTGGGATCCAGTTATATCAGTGCCTTTAGAAAAAACCCGCCCTCTTTAAAGCCTCGAGTCTTCCTCAGTTCATGATGGATGTCAGAGAAGACGTTCAGGGATCATTTTCTACGTCACCTGCCAAGTTCACTTTGGAAGCTGAAGAAGAAGTTGATAGATTTTCTGATCAAGCCAAACATGTTGGACTTGATTTCATCCATAAACCTCACACTGGTTGAAACCCAGTCAAACCTGCACTTTAACAATATCTTTGTATCTTGCTTTTAGTATGAGTGACCTGAGCAAATCTTCTGCGGATGGACTGTCAGTTGCAGCAGCTTTTTTTCTGCATATGTAGCAGTTAAAAATCTCACTTATTTCATCTACTGTGTGCAAGTAACCCCAACAAGATTTTGCCTTAGCCTTCCCATTACAGTCTTAGGCCACTGTGCGTTTGCTTCTAAATCGGTGGACACGATGACCAGCCGTTGCACCCCTCCTTTCTCTTCCTGTCTTGAGGGCGAGTTGAACCCCATCCAGCAGTGAGCGACGGCGCCGTCCATAGCCAGTGGGATCCAACTTATCCTTGGGAGCGCTGACCGTTACCTTGCTGTTAAGCTGATGAAGTTTGTAGAGCAGGTCGTGGTATGAACACGTGATAAGGACACAGCCAGCTGATTTGGATGATGCTGACCTCCTGGGTCTGTTATCTAGCCCAGTGCTGCAAAAGAAAAGGAAATGTTCAGGTTCCATTTCAAGACTTACGTCAAGGTTTATGAAAGCTGACTTGGCAATATGTTATGTGTGGACAGGGTTTTAGTCAGAGTTATTATCATCCACTGCTCTGTCACCTACAGTCTTAAAAGCACCTGTATTTCTCCACATGCTGAACATTTCATTTAAGATTTAAGTGAACCATAAACTGCTTAAATATGAGTATTTGTAGCACCCTTGGGCACTCTGAAGTTCCCCTGGAAGCCTGATAGTCAGAAGGTTAACCATACTGCTGTCACGATCCTGAGTTTCATCCTTGAGGGGGGGTTTTGCTTTATTTCATACCATCTGTTCTCTTTTGAGACATGTTCAACATCTGTAAGAGTTAAAAAAAAAGAGTAGCTCTCATTCTTACCTTGGCGAAGGTGAGACATTGTTTTCAGTGTCACCCTGCTGTGGCCCATTTAAGATCTCAGCGCACAGCTCATCTGCTGTCAATAAGCTGTCGCGCAGGTCCCTCTTCATGCGGCCGTGCAGCCAAACTTTTAACCTGCCAGATGACAAAAGGGAACAACGGAGGCTTTGATTTAAAACAATGAAAAGATACTGCAGCTTAAAGGTATCAGGACACAACACATCATTAGTATATTTTTTAATACAAACAGGTGTTGGGATTATATTGGATCAGTTACAGTATTCTCATTTATGTCAGGTTTTATTTACATTGCATCTGTAAGTAGGAATTATTCAACCGGTAAATCTGTGAGATTGACATATATTGGCAGAGAAGAACTTCCGACTAGTTCTTAAATATCTGCACATAAATCATCATGAATAGCAATAAAAGCAGTGCAGACATGTTAAAGACGTGCTTGAGGTAGTTTGGAAACAGTGCCAATTTTATTCCTTCACTTAGAATGTCCCCCCTGACGATAACTTGATAACTTTTCAGTCTAACCTAAGCAGGGACCCCCCATCAAACATGGTATTTATGGTTTTTAACATGAGCTTTCACAGTAAGCAGATATTTTACTCTTAAAGATGTCCCCAAAATATAGAGACAATCTATGACTTGACTAGAATATTTTAATTTCTTGCTGTCTTCAACTGGAAGATTCAGCTCCATGTGGCCCCCTGATTTGAATCCTGAAGGACAAATCATGAGGCTTTTTTTTCTGAAAGTGAACACAATGTTCTCTCAGTGCCTGCTGATCAGTCCGCTCACCTTTTTTTCAAGCTGGTGTTGAGTTCCTCTGTTGCACCTTCAACCAGTGGCAGGACAGTGGTGAAAACACAGCAGCAGATCACAGTTTGCAGGGCTAATTTCATTTTGACTGGAAGCTGTCAGTGACAAAGAAAGATGAATTACTTTGGGAGTTAGCTCTGATTTGATACCACAGCTGGTGATTGACTTATTAGCACAGAAAAGCCTCTCCTGTTGTTAAAAGATTGTGTTAAAGTCACAGACTGTTGGCTCATTAATTAGGAATTGGCTTTAATGAATTTTTTAGATAGAAAAAAGAAGTCATTAAAACACTCAAAATAACAAAAAAACCCATCTTAAATCTAAACTCAAACTCCCTCCAAGTCTCTCCCCAAATTTGACAAATCTGGCAACTCATTTCCAATCTGAAACACCCAACCAATCTTCTAAAATCTTGAAAAATAAGCTTGAATCTTTAATTTCATCTTGAATAAAAAGTCCCTTACCTTGGTTTGTGGCTTGTAAGGCAATATTAAGAATATAGGATGCACATCCAGATTTGTTGTGTTCAGTTAAGCAGAGTAAGTTGTTTTTTTTCAAGGCTGTAAAGAGTTTACCATGAGTTGAAGTCTGGAGTTTACACTGCTACCATGAGAGGCTTTATAGAGGGAGGGAGGGAGCTGTACCTGAATGCCAGACCCAGTGGGAGGGACTGTGGGACAGTTCACGTCAACCTCATCCACCCCACATGTAGACAGTCAAACCAAAAACATGCAAATGGAGATCATAATGGAGTCAGCAATCCCCAAACTGACGTGACCAATGCATACTGGTTTTCATAAATCTTAATTTAGGTGTAAAAACTTCATTTGAGTGGTGATAAAGTTTAGTTTAGTGTCATTGTTCATGGACTCTCTTCTCAACTCTCTTGGATGTAAGACTTGACATACTTTTGATAGACTTCCACGTACCCAAATGTGTTCGCTTTTTGTTTTTTTTACTACATATATCGTTGATTTCTTTTACACTGTATTTGTTGGCCATGTGCGTTATTTTGTTGGGCGCAGATATTTTAAATACCTGACTTAATTCTAAAGGGAGACTTAGCTTGGAAATGACACCTTTTTTTGTAATCTTAGTTGACCTTTTGTTACCTGTCGAGTCTAATTATATCTCGATTAGTGTGTTATTAGCTGTGTTGTTGTGGTAACAGCATGCACTGTCAATTTAAGGAAAGAACATGTGCTTTTTAGTGAACTTGTCCACCTCCAGATGACCTTTTTAGTCACTCTGAGGGCTACTTAACACGCACCGGTAATACCTTCCGCTCCAGCATGAGCAGTGTGTTCTGCACGAGTAGAGATAAACACAGTAAGGTGTTATTTGTAAGCTACATCGCGTTCCTCATGGAGTTATGAAATATTTAATGGGATCAAAATGTCCAAGTTTCCAGACCTATGAATGTATTTGGACTGAATAATGTTACTATCATTATGGTTTTTCGTAGAGGAGAAAAGTGACCCCACATTGTGGCCAAACTATCTCTGAAAAACCTCCTCCAAATAACCAGGCTAACCCAGACCTAAAATCCACATTTGCATTGTATTAGTCACTGACACCAGCTGATCAGTTTGACCAGAATGTCTTGGAATGAAAACAGAGCTTCTAAATTGTGTATTTTAGGCATGCTTATCAGTGAGTAACAAGATGGAAAACAATTTACAGGAACACATTTCTTCTTTGGAAAAATATCCTGGGTTTGCACACGAAAAGGATCCTGACAAGTTCTCTGAGCCTCGCCACATGCCAGAGCCCCGGCCCTTCAGCTCTGTCACAGGTCTATCCTCCTTTAAGATGCTGTAAATTTCATCCGTTTTTGGTAAATCAGTTTACAACTTTGCAATTAGATCTTCTCCGCCCTCATGATTATGTTTATTTAAAAAGAGAGGTACATGAAGTCACTGCGAGGACAATAAAGCTGCCTCTTTTCTGCAATTTCTTTGTCTCTCTAAATGACAATAGTGAACCCCACAGAGACATTGGATTGCTGCAAAAGCTGCTGTTATTCACTGAGATTTCGCTCCCCAATTTAGGTCAATGTGGCACCAATAATGCAAGGGTGCAAATTAAAAAATTGGTAACAGAGGGTCCTGAGGACTTTCTTTTAATTATTGCACAACCCCAATCCTAGAAAAGTTGGGACATTGTGTAAAGGATTCATCAAAAGTACAAAATTTCAGTTGTTGAGTTTATTTTTAGGGTGTTTTTTTTTTTTTTACCCATTATTTTATAAGATAGCTGAGGTGGGACCTGGTGTGAGCGGGGAGTAGAGAAAGCATGGGGGAACCTGCAACACATGTAACTCCAGCCTCTTTGCATGGGGTGCACACTTGGGATGCTTGCACGGTGCAGTTTCAGCCGCATTTGTGGATAGAGTGGTGAGCTGTGTCCGTAGGTTTTTGTAGTTGATTTCTACTTCATGCAGTGGTTTTCACTACAGAGTCATGTTTGTTTCTAATGTAGTGTTGCCAAAAAGGGTCTAAAATGTCAGCCATGAAGTTTAAGTTTTGACTTTGTCTATTTGGTACAGAAAGTTCTTTAGATTCCCTAAATCTTTTAATGATATTATGCACTATAAATGACGAAATGCACAAATTCTTCACATTTCTGGGTTTAAGCACATTATTCTATGATTGATGATTTATGTGTTCAATAAGTCTCTCTCACAGAGGTGAATCTCTTCCCATCTCTTCCTCTCTGTAAAGTCCAACACTCTGTCCAAACTCTTTTGAAACATGTTGCTGGCATCACATTCAAACTCAGCACTTATTTTTCACTAAACTAAAGGATCTATCAGTTTCAACACTTGATATGTTGTCCTCGCACTGTTTTCAATTAAAGGGTCTGAATGATTTTCAAATCATCAGATTTTGTTTTTAATAACTTCTTACACCGTGTCCTAACTTTTTGGAGCTCAGGCTTGTATCAATAAATATGCTCGTAAACAAAGTAGCCCATGGCCTAAGAATAGTGTTTTTTCTTAATATTTTCTTTATTTGGTCTGGACCAAATAAACCAAACTACAACTGTGAATGCACAACAACTGGCCCAAATTATAGACTTGCTTATTAGCACAGTTCCTGGCGATGACCTGAATTGACAGATGACAGATTATAGGTGATGGGAGACCTTCCCAGTTTTTTCATTCTCTTCTAACTCCAACTTGTGTTGACCTGCATACGACTGATGCAATGTCAGCCCAAATTACAACCACTAACACCCCCACAAATCATCATCCCTGTCATGTCCCTGGGCAAACTCTCAGTGGGAAATTGTGCCAACGTTCGGTCTGTTTTGTTATGACTCTTCAAGCCAATGGCACTAAAAGGTTTCATGGGTCCGCAGAAGCTCTCGAGTCACGCGTTTGAACAGCTTGAATAGATACACAGTGGCGTCATGGCAACAACACAGCCCTTTTCTTAGGCCTAAAAGGTGATTCAGTGATGTGTTTTGACTTGATCCTTGTACATTCTTAAATGAGTTGCCCTCTATTTTCAAATGTGTCTCATGCTGCAGCACTTAATCAACAATACACTGAATCAGTTTTAGCATCAGCGCTTTGATAAATTGCTTTTTGGCCGTATTAGGGGGCCTACTCCTTTTCCCCCTCGGGTTAGTGCCGTAAGAATAGCTTTTACATTACATTACATTACATACTCAAAAAATGAAGACAATATGGTTTGGGGTTGGGGATGGATGAGCGGATGAGGCTGTGATCAATTTCCACAGGCTGGGGTCAGCAGAGCGTAAGGTGAGCTCAACATTGGCAGGGAACCACTCTGTGATATTATTAGATCAACCGTGTCTATTTTTAGTCGTCATTTTTTTACTGTGTATTTTTAACTACTTAGATAAAAAGGCATGAATCACAGGGGTTTTATTAGCATCCCTCCTAGGGTATGTAATACCATAGCGCTCTTCATGGGTCTGAAAGAGAATACTCCCTGGAATTGCGCTGAGCAATATGCACTTGACCAAATGTGAGGCCCAAACATTCCTCCAAGTTTCTTTCCAAACAGCGGAAAATCCCAGTCTGTGTTGTTTTTTTGTGAAAAAATTCCAGGATCAGATATTTACCACATACAGGTGGAAATTATCAGTTTGCCCAAGGGAGAGACGATGTTCCAAGTATCGCTGATTGATGCAGTTACAGAGAAAAAACAGAACGATCTGGACTGCTGCTTTCTATGTTTACTAGGCTTTGGCAACAACTATATGATCCTGCTCTTGTCAGTTCACCCCCACGGCTCAGCCGTCACACTTTTACAAACACTCAGACATGATGTACAACTCCTACATTTTACATATAGTGGACTTTTATGTGCTGTTATGCAGCTGCTGCAAAACATATTCCCTTGGCTTGATGAAACTTCTGTCAGATCAGGTTGTTATAGCACATCCAACACACAACAGTTTATTGTTATAAAACCTTGAAAAAAAATTGAGAGACCACTCCACACTTTCTTTCAATCAGCATCTTTAAATGCATGAAAGCAGCTCTATGTCAGTGTCTCCTGAATGTTGACACAGGCACACCTTATTCTCCCTAATGAGGTATTGATTTGGTGATTACCTTGAAAGCCACAGAACAAAGCCTAGATCTTTGAACTTTGGGTCTGGTGTAGCATCACGTCACCCAACAGCAATGTGAAAAACTGGTGGGGAGCATGCCAAGACAAATCAAAGCTGCTATTACAAGGGATTATCTGCAGCGGCTAATTTCTTAGTCCTTTTAAACCAGAATTTAAATTCTGACGGGCTGACGAGCCTCAAAGTACGAAAACAGTCCTTAGACAACTGTGTCTCAGTTCTCTAAAATGTCCTTGGTTCTCAGCCAAGGTAGTCAGGGACCTGCATCTTCTAAGAGCATTTGCCCGCACTGTGACTCAGGGGAAAGGATAAAGGAGAAAGGAGGGAAATCAGAAACCAAGGATGCACCAAAGCAGCGTCACAGAAGTCTACTGGTTGACAGACATGCTCATGTATCAAATATCACCCACTGAGTGGACACTGCAGTGCGCTGGACTTTACCGAAACTTAACAGCACTGGATTTTTTAACAGGAAAGACGCACCTTAAAACAGAGCCGTGAAACAGATCAGAAACATGAGTCAGTTTTTAAACAGTTGCTATATTCTCAGCTAAGTTTAAAACTGTGTTTGAAGAACAAAATATTGGGCATTGGCTGTATGTTTCTATAAACCCATGAAACTTTAAACCGCAGTGGCTTTTAAAGAGTCACAACAAAACAGATCAAATGTAGGGCTGGGTGACATAACCTGAAAATAAAATCTCTAACTTTTTCACACTAAACTCAATTTATGATTCTTATATTTCATAAATGACACTTTGACTTTAAAGCCAGAAATGTTGTGTGGAATCAAACATAATAATTTTACCCACATTAACTCATGAAAAGCAGCAGCTCCTTAATTTTCTCAGAACTGCACCTTGAGCACAAAGCGTTGCTCTTTAAGTGAGGACAAGATGACAGAAGAGCCACAGTTTTTTCTAATTTCGTTAAAAAGACGAGGATGTTACACAAGCGTTGTTGTCAAACATCAAAGCTACAGCATAACTTAATAACTCAATTATAAAATTCTATCTGTATAATTGCATCTGAGTTTGAGTAGATGAATACAGACACTTCCTCAAACAGAAATAAAACGCAGCATCAGTCTGGAGCTTGTCCTCAAAGAACATCACAGAATAAGATAAAGATGGTCTGTTAGAGCAAATTTTCTCAGGATTTTCATGAAATTTTACATTTTCCTCCACTTGCACCAACTTGCATCGAATTAGAAACCCTGCTGCTTGCTTACAAATCGGATACCTACCTGGAGCCAATTCTACTTACATCTGCCATCAATACTCTGCCAACGAAATGCTCCTGGTATCACAGCAGGGCATTGAGTAGTAAGCTAGACTTGTCTCTACAGTAGCTCCCTGGTGGTGGAGCAAGTTATTGAAGTGCATTTGATCCCCTGGGTCCCTCACAACTTTTAGTTTAAGGCGTAAGACTTGGTTCTTTCACACGCACTTTTGCACTGACTGATATTGATGCTGTTGATGATGAAACTGTTGAAAACCAGGGACTCACTTGATCGGACTTGAAACTTTTTTTAGACACTTGCTGATGTTGTTTCTCTCTTGTCCAGATCCTGGCTTATGTCGTCCTTACTCTCAGATGTATGTCCCTACAATGTCTGCTTAATGAAAGTCTGAAACTTCCACATGATAGAATAAGCCTGAAAGCACGGGTTATACTATTGATGTCATATGCACAATAATTTACTCATATAACTCAGTGTCTTTTTCTTTTCTTGGGCTCAACATTTCAGGGATGAATAAATCAAGCCACGTAGAAATAAAAACAGCTTAACTTCAGGAATTTTAAAAAGAAACCTCATTTGTTTTCGCAATTATTCAAGTTTATAACATGATGTTGAGAGCAAAGTGCATTATCTTGAATGTGGTCAGTGCACCAGTTAATCCCCCCCTCTGCTTTTTCTTTTGTCTGTCAAACAACTACAAATACCTGACAACATTCAGCTGTTTCTCAGTGGGCAAATCACAAGAATCTGTCGTTTACCGCTGGCCTATGAAATCGTAAGATATGCAGCTTTTTGTACTTAGGGAGCCAAAAATCAGTTGTAATTCATGTCGTGACACTGAGGATAAGAATCAAGTTGTAAAGCTACTCCCGACGTTTCTCAAGTTCCTCAAATATTTTCCATGTTTGAGCTAAAAATAACATTTTCCTATCCAGCAAGAGCTCGGATGACTATTTGTTTCAGATTTATACCATGTGGGACCTGCGGGTCCTGAGGAGTTTGCTCTGAGAATTCCTGCACACAAACACAGAAACCAATGTCTCAACACCTGCCCCAAGTGATCAGCCCATCAGAGGCAGAGCAGGGAATCGAGACAGAAGACAAAGTAAATCTTTGGTCGAGCGGCTAATGTGTGGAGGGTCAAGTTTTCAGTCAGTATTGTTGGATTCAACTCTCCAGCCTCAGGGTTTTATTCTGTTGTAGATGGTAGTTTATAACTGTTTGCTTTATGATACAGTAACTTCAAGACTTTTCAAGACCTCAACTGAGGAAAGGTATTTCCCAGTGAGAGTATGTAAGAGGGCACCTTATCGGCTATCAGCAGATTTATCTGGACCATAAAGGGAAAGGGACAAATATACATACAGGGACAGCCAGGAGTCTTCAAAAGGTTGTTCCCTCTGACCCTAAAGTCTGTCTGCGTTTCACTTCCATCACTCCACAGACCCGCTGCCTGTTGCTTCAGCTCATTGTAAAGTTATGTCTGCAGTTACGGTGAATCCCATACCAAACTGTCTTTAAGTTGTGGTATAATTTGGTAAGAGGTGTAAAGGTTCACCTCATCTAGTAGACTGTAAGGTTAAAAGAAATAAAGTATATTACAGTACAGCACTGTCCATGAGTGAGCACTGATTCAGCGTCTTTAAATGCTCTTTTCCATCTTACTCCAGAATGTATTTTTCCAGTCACTCCAGGTCACTCCAGTCGTACCCTTAAAAGCCTTTTGTGAGGTGACTCTCCAACAAATGTCCTGCAACGTTTTTATTGAAATAGACAGCTTTTTAAAAGGTGCAGATGTTCCATTTTCTATATTATCTTCTCAGCTGCGACTTCAGGCTCCAATGGTTTGCCAGTAGCTCTGTCGTAGTGCTGGTTTCCATTATGAGACAGTTGAAAATGCGAGTAGCGTGTCAGGATATCAGGGGGTGAGATTTTGTTCCAAAACAAACCAGAAAGTGACTTTTTGTGGCCAGAAACCTCAACACATTGTTAAGCCACAGATGTTAGATAATCTGATGTTCTGACCATTTGTCACCACATGTTCCACTTAAAAACACTGTCAATGGCGTCTATGTGTTGCAATGGCGCTGCTCCTCCGTGTTTCATGAATTACGCAGATATCAACACACATGACAAGTGGTTATGATTTCAGTGGTTTATACTGTACCCGCAGTCTCATGCCTTTTGACTTAATCATGTTCCAGATGTTCAGATAGCTGAAAAGAAAATCACAAAACAGAAAAAATATCTGAAAGGTCAAAGAAGTTAACCGTAGTTCCTTCATATCAGTGGCTTTGGAGAAGCAGATGCTGTGTTTGCCTGCTCATTAAAAGAAATTATCCTGATATTAACTCAGCTGCACAGCCAAACAGATTAAAAACCAAAACTTTGTTGGCAGAGCTGTGAGGTTCAACTAAGTTTATGACTGAATATGTAGCTTCTGCTTACATTAGAACTATCTCATTCAATGTAATAGCTAAAATATAGTTGAGTGGTAACTCCATTCTGTATTAGAACCGGACTAGTGCTCAGTGCTCCAGTGTCCTGTTTTCAGATGAAATTTTTTCATTTCATTTGGAAATTAAAAGCCCAGAGTCCCGTTGGAAGATCGGATAGGCTCAGAATCCAGAGTCCAGCGTGAAGTTCTCTCTGTCTGTGATGATTTAAGGTGCCGTGTCATCTTCTGGTGTTGGTCTACTGTGTTTTATGAAGTCCAGAGTCAAAGCAGCCCAGAGTCTGCCCGGAGATTTGAGAGACCCTCACGCTTCCATCTGCTGAGAAGATTTATGGAGACACAGTGTCCCCTTTCCAGCAGGACCTGACACCTGCCCACAGCGCCAAAACTACCAGAAACTGGATTTTCAGCCATGGTATCACTGTGCTTGATTGGCTAGCCTGAAATTCATAAAGACTCTTCGCAGGAGCAGTAAATGTTTTGAAAATAATGCTTACATAGATTAATCCAGTTCATCATGACAAATTTCACAGAAGAGTGTCGAGGATCTTTTAGAACAAGAGTCAGAGATACGGTAAGAAAATTAGAAAGTGTCCTCCTAAATCATGGCTTTTTGTCCAATAGTTGTTGAACTATTTCAGCTTTGAGCGATGGGATGGACTGATTGTACTGTTTGTTAGGACATTTCCTGATCAGTGCTGAGTAAATGCAGTTTTGTAAAAATATTG